TCCACTCCTTCAGCTAAGAGTTATAAACTGCTTCCATCGTAGTTTGTTCCCGTTTTTACGATTATGCCAATCGCAATCGTCATGGGTACGGAAATACACGTGTCATGCCCGGCGCCTCGGTGGCCTGCTTGTTACCACAGGCAAAGCCGGCTGTCAGACCCACCGGCGTAACGAGTTAGTCATACGACCACCACCCAAACACACTGAATTGAACCCAGGCATGCACTGACCCTGTTATTTAAGGCATGTACAATACACATTACGTTGAGCGGGGGCTCATGCGCCGCCCCCCCCCCCTTCCCTGGATATTTTGAAGACTATACGGCCGATTATCAAAAAGCAAACTGCGTTCGATTCCCCCCGACATGATCTGCATTTTTCAGGAAACGAAAATCGAAGAGAAAAAAAACAAATTCGTGGGCGCATCCATGAAACAAAAAAGGAAGAATGACAAAAGGCCCTATACCGCGCTTTGCGCGATCTTGACCTCTGACCTTTGAAATTACTTCTGGAAAACGTGACGAAAGCGGACATCACGAGCACCACCATAAGATACCTGTCTTGTTGCCTTTCTGAAGTAAATGATTTAATCCTATGGTACCCCATGTTTGACCTTTTCATGGCCTATAGGGGTCAACATAAGTGATGCAGAGAGAACATGATCGCATATTTGTGATTAATCGTGGTGGTAGATCGATGGAGGAAAGCTGGTGACAATGTTAACTTGACGCAGAACTCGAACACGTATACGACGCTAACTCGACGGACATTGGTCTTCTACCAAAAATACACACTCAAGTGCAAGCTCTCGAGCTGTTCTCAAGAAGCGCCCTTTGCCTAACACAGCGCAGGTTCTCCCAGCGGAAAGGTTGTTAGTTTGTTTCATATGCGTGACGTAACGCCCCCTTCCACCAAGGCCAGAACGAAGACCTTTACCTACTGCGGCAGCGCGCCGCCCGGTCCCGGACCGCGGCACATCACGCAACAGCGGCCACGTGCGCCAACCGCAAATAATGCGTTTGTCAGCGTTGCCCAACAATCGGTGGGCACCGAGTCCGCTGGGGCGGAGCGCCCCCGGTCAAGGGCCGCAGGTGCCGACAGCGCGCGCGGCTCCCACCCCACCCAGCCCGGTCCCGTCCTGACGGTGCGAGGTGGCTCGGCCACCACCCAGTAACGATGGGGGACAGGTCGCCGACTGGGAGCGGCCAGGGTCGGGCCGGCTCACATGGTCCGGGCGTCAAGAACCCCCGGCACTGCACTCTCCCCGGTTGCGCTGAGTGCCGCCGTTGTCGAGGGGCTTTGCGAGCTGGGCAGTGGTGACGCTTCTCTCTGCTGTTATTTCCCGGACATCTTGATGCAGAATGCAACGCCGCTGGGTTGGTTTGGAGCATTAACACTGACGCAACCACAATCTGGAATGATCGTGCTGAATCACGTCCGCCAGTGAACACCTGATATGATTTAAGTTGTGGCGGCGCTTGCTTAAAAACCGATCTCCGCACTTGCGGCCCAGTCTCTTGCTGCGACAGCGTCATGGAATTGATGATTCATAGGAAATCACCTCTGCTGGACAGGATTTACGGCGAGGAACACTGACAAGAGTGAAAGTGACAGGTCATCCGTGTTTTGCAAAAGCGCCCGCATAATTATCTGGTGGCCGTCTGTAAGTCGTATATTGCACCCCTCGTCACACCCCGACAGCGGGGACACTCATACCTTGGTCAGCGAACAGAGCGCACACATCGGCGATCCGCAGTCAGGTGTGTGAAAGTGAAGACGATCGGTATATCCCGCTGGATGTCAGCAGACACAGCGCACACATCGGCGATCCGCAGTCAGGTGTGTGAAAGTGAAGACGATCGGTACATCCCGCTAGATGTCAGCAGACACAGCGCAAACACCGGCGATCCGCAGTCAGGTGTGTGAAAGTGGAGACGATGGGTACATCCCGCTGGATGTCAGCAGACACAGCGCAAACATCGGCGATCCGCAGTTAGGTGTGTGAAAGTGAAGATGATCGGTACATCCCGCTGGATGCCAGCAGACACAGCGCACACATCGGCGCTCTGCAGTCAGGTGTGCGAAAGTGAAGATGATCAGTACATCTCGCTGGATGTCAGCAGACACAGCGCACGCATCGGCGCTCCGCAGTCAGGTGTGCGAAAGTGAAGACGATCGGTACATTTCGCTGGATGTCGTTCGCGAGTTCACACCGTGGTAACAAAACCAACAGCGCAACGATAAACACTCGCACGAGCGAACAACGGCCGCGGATAAATGTAGCGTCGAGCGCTAGCACCGGGTCAGGACGAGCGCGAGGGCCTAGACAGAGACAGCAAGGCACGCCGGGCGCGGTATCGGGGCATGTCAGCAGCGCGCACCACAAACAAACGCGACACCACCGCGCAGGATCCGACGGCGTGGCCAACTCAACGAAAGGGGCGGCTCGTCATCCACCCTGCCGCCTTCCATACACACAGTCGCCGTGGCACCGCCGGATCGCCGGCACAGGGGGAGCACAGGCACGACGGTGTGGGTGGGAATTCACACCCTGCTGACGTGCGCGTCCGTCCTGGGCCGGACCAGCCGGTACTGGCAGAGTACGGCGACCTCCGCGCCATCCACCCGGACGGCCCCCGGACTCAGCTCACAGGCCGGCCACCCAGACGGACCGGGGACCCTGAACTCACGGCACACAGACCGGTCGTCCGGAGGGACTCGGGAGTCTGAGCTCACGGCACATACGCCGCCCGACCGGACGGACCGAAGATTCTGGACTCACAGCACACAGGTCGGCCGTCCGGACGGACTCGGAACTCTAGACTCCCAGCACACAGGCCGACCGTCCGCACGTACCAGGGACTCCGGACTCACAGCACACTGGTCAGCCATCCGGACGGACTCGCAGCTCGGATTCCAGGACCCTAGACTCCGCACACAGGTTGGTCGCCCGGACGGGTCGGGGAATCACAGCACACAGGCCGGCCATCCGGACGGACCGGGGACTCCGGACTCACAGCACACAAGCTGGCCGCCCGGATGGACTCGGGACTCGAACTCGCGACTCACAGACCGGCCACCCGGACGGACTCGGGACTCTGGACTAGACACTCACAGATTGTCCACCCGGACGGATGCACGCGCGCTTTAGTCGCCCCCACCACCAACCACGCCGCCGCAGCCAAAGCGGCAGCAGAACTAGCTTAATCCTAGTTATTGTCGGAAGAACGCGCTGCCCCGACGACACATAGCAACCTCATTTCATAAACTATGGGTCCGTGGTGACCGCTGCGGAGAATTGCTGCTCTCTCGACGCCCGACAGTCTAAAATACACACGCGTATTGTTTCCAAGCAGACCTTGACTGGCAGCAAACATAATGGCACATAATGCTGAGTAGTGTGCCACCAAAGTCGACACCCAACGACGCAAGGTTTCGGGTGCGCTCATTAGTCAACTGGCATACAAGAATCGGTTTGCGACGCAAAAATCGCGGCAGTGCAGCAACCTGTCAGTGACATCGTCTCACAATGCGTCGCATGGCATGCTATTCAAAATATGGTTTATAGCTTGCCTAATTTCCTTCATGCTGATCTTCGCATTGTGCGTACTAAATGAAGAGACGAAGGTTGTTACACTGAAAATAATCAGACATGGTATCATCATGGATGCAAATATACCTGTCCCATTTCCGTATAGCCAGTCGACAAGTCAACGGAAGAGGGAGGGTCGAGCGTACGATGTTGGGCATATCACAATCTCACCCAAAAGGTGAGGTTATACTGTGACCTCATTCACTTCTAAACGAGGAGTCCACACCACATACACATGCAACAATGCTCTTAGACGCCACAATTCATGCAATTCATCCGGAGTCACCAAGCCCCAGAAGGCGTCGTCAGGGTGAGGAAAAGCTCCAGTATTTCCTGCTCCAGTTTGGAATGACAGACGCTGTAATTGGGAAGATTGGACGTGGTCGCGGCGATTGAGTGGCATTATTGCTACAAACAAGGGAACGAAGCTTACGATATAGTCTACCACCTCAAGGCTGACAGAAAACAGCAAAATAATCTCGCGAGTTTGATCAATGTGTGAACAGTACGAGCATTGTCAGGGGTATTAACGCGATAGAAATGGCTGGCTAAAATGGGAAGGTCGTCTGGCCACTTGAGCCGCATCGTCACCTACACGACAAAAAAGCGCAGCGTTCTCCGTGCCCTTACGCCCATGGGGCACGGAAGAAATCACAACCACCAAAAGGAATGCCCAGGATTCCATCGAGGTGCCATGACCAAAGCTGGTCATGGAGATAAACAAACAAAACGCATTGGCAAATAAAACAAACTCCAACGCTGCACACTTTGGACTAACCACGTGCTGCCCTTAGTCACAGAGTGCAGCACCACCGCACGCAAACGCATTTCCTTGGTCCCAGGCGAGGGTGCAGCCGCGAGTGATCCGTATGCTTCCAAAAGAGGGCGGAGACTCCCCTGCGGCGCACGAGCGAAAAGGCACTTCGACTCGAGAAGTCCAGGAGCACTTCATTAGCGCAAATAGTCCTAGCTGGCCACATATGACCTAAACAGGCCCGAGATTGGCAAGCACAGTCTTGCCGCTTCGCTGGTGAGCAATCCGATGTACGGCGGGTCCAGGGCCCGCATGCCGGTCCCAGGTGTGGTCCCAAGACAGCCCAGTCTGTCTCTGGGGAGTCTGGCGGCGGGAAGCTCTGGTGGGAGGGAACAAGATCCTCAATGAACCCTAGCACGCTCGCATCCACGCACGTCCGCACGTGCGTGCGCGCACGCACGCACGCACGCACGCACGCACGCACGAACGCACGTACGAACGCACGCACGCACGTCAGTCCCGGGCGTTCTAGAAGTTTCGACCCGTCTTTGGTGGGTTCAAGAGGTCCAAAGCGGCCCTCGCGAATCCACACGTCGCCGCCGACCGCCGGCGGGCCTCAGGTCGGCACGCCGGCGGCCGGCGCCGCCTCCCCGCCGGCCACTGCCACCATGTCGTACCGCTGGTCGGCCCGGCTGCGCTTCTTGATGCAGAGCAGGCGGCGCAGACGCGAGCGAGCACGCGCGTCCAACGTCCTGGAACGAAGCCGGGCGCTGTCAGATGACAGGGCGGGAGGGAGGGAGGTAAGGAAGGCACGGGAGGTAGGCAAAGGAGGCGAAGGAGGAAGGTGAAGAAGGTGGGATATATGTCGGGAGTTGGATGGAGGCGGGCGAGGGGGGAGATCCTGACACCCAGGCACAACGCTATTATAAGCCGACGCAGGAGACACGCAAGACAACACGGAGAGACGGGTGGGAGAGGGTCAGTAGCACAGAGAAACCGCCAGGTATCGAGAAAAGTGCAGCAAGACAGCGACAATGGCGGACAATGTCGACCAGAACTGCGCTGGCACGCAGGGCTAAGCTCTGAAGCTGATAACAAGTCGAAAACTATCACACCGGCTGCTGAGTTCCGTTGAAAACAGTGCAGTGTGGGGTGGCTACACCATAGCGATTTCAAAAACAAGAGGGTTGGGCAAACATCTGTAACAGAGCGCGTACACTGTGTGAACGAGCGAAAACTTGGAAACGCTGAACAGAATGAAACAAAACATGAAGCCGAAATTTGTTCTCTAAAAGCGTAGCAAGGGAAGCATCTTACGGCAGTCAAAAGGCAGTTGAAATATGCGTTATGGGAAAAGCATGCCGAGAAACCCCTTTGAGAAAACTGCCCTGAATGTATAGTTCATTGTACGTTTGCCCCGCGCACGCTTCCCGCAATGTATTTTACAGAGGCACGGTAAAAAGAAAGTAGGTCAACGGCAAGTTGAAACCCAGGACGTTGCATTTTGGGAACAACCAAGCATAGTGCAATCCGTGGTAATTACTTAAGTTCAACATTCGCAAGACCAATCAAGAACGATCAACACCGCATCACACAAAACAAGACTGGAAAGGTGCCAAAGGCAGAGTGAACTTAAATTGTCAAGACACTGCATACAACTGAAATAAAACCTTTGTAATGCCCAAAAACACAGGCTTTGCTGGGAGTCGGAAGGCTTCTTGTTACCTCCTGTGTCACACAGCTTTCCCCGGCCCATATGGGGGGGGGAGGGGGGAGGGGGCGTACGGTGCCAGCACGCCTGACGCACGCGCAAGCCTGTGCAGCAGGCCGACCCGACCAGCCGGCCTTCCCTCACCCAGTCCTACCAGTCGGCACGGGTCACGGCCCCAAGGCTAGCCTGTGACCCAATGGCAACGGCAGCGGCGGCAGAGGCTGCGCGGCGTGACCCAGGCGTGGCAGGCAGCTAGAACGGTCCGCGCCACGCCCTGAGCACGGCTGGGCCGACGCTGACCGCCGGCCGAACAGAACGGCCGACACAGGGGCTCGGACCACGCACAGCGGCACAGGCCATTGTAAACTACACACAACGGCAGTACAGACAGAGTGGCGCACTTTGGAAGGAGACGCAGATAGACTGCCAAGCTGCACAGAGCGCAGGCAGAGGACCGCGGCTTAACTACGCACGAGAAGCCCAGACTGCTGCGCAAATGGACTGTCAGGCATGATATCGGCGGCTGCTTGAGTTGGCAAAGGAACAATGGACGGAGGCGGCGTTCCTCAAACGCACTGCGTAAAATGTACGTCCGAGTTGCGTGCATACGAACGAGTTGTAAGCACTGCATTCAGAAAACCATCTTCTGATACGGTTGGAATTGGGAGGGACCGAAACACTGATATAACAAACAGACGTGCTTGTTCTGCAAAACCGCAAAGCCGATCGAGTTGGAACCTTCACTAATCGATTCGGCGTGATGAGATGGGCATGGCGGTGGCAATAGCTTGACCTAGCCTGGTCAACTGCCTTGATAAAACGAAGGGGAAATTCCAGATGCAAAAGAAGACAGCTCAGATCTCAGGACCTATTGCTACGACCGTTGGTAAATATTCACTATTCGATGCACCATGCACGGTTCCATCTTGATTCGGATATGACGACCCAAGGTCAGGTCAAAAGTCATCAAATTCACAATTTCTAAAATTCTTGCTTGCAGACAACTCAGATCTCCAACCCTTTCCTACCCAACATTGTGAGAACCTCGTCATTTCATGCACCATCCTAATTCCCTCTTAAGGTTACGAATACGGTGACCTAGGTCAGGTCCAATGCCATCAAATTTCGACACTCCAAAACTTGTACCTGCGGACAACTCAGATCTTATTAACTATTGTTTCAATCGCCGCCAAAAGTTGATGCACCAGACATGACTGCCTTCAAAACATACGAAAGTAGTGACCCTTCGTTAAGTTTAAGTCGTAAATTTTTGCATATAACATTTTAAAGGAAGTATTGGAAATGGAGAAAACTCATGCCTTTTGGGCCTTTCACTTAGGGCCGCCACATTTGGAGCTGCAAAGAGAGAACCAAGTATGGCGCAATGAGTAGTGCATATTTCCTAGTGACCATAGACGCAGGTTGTGAGATATGAGCTACCTGCTTTTGTACCTGAAATTTCCCTTCTCTTTTGAGATGCTTGATCTCAGTTCAGGTCACGCTATTGCCACCCCATGCCCATCTCATTACACTGAATCGTTAAGTGACGGCTCCAAAGCGATCGGCTCAGTGATTTCCCAGGGAGGGCATGTCTGCTTGATGCCGGCTGTTGAGTGCCTCCCGCTGGACTCGATGAAGCGGCCTCAGCATGACATACTCCTACGTCAAATCACGCATACACCTCTTCCTAGAAGACCTGATATCACTTCGATGTTGTACATCGTGCTGGTCAGCTACCAGTCCGTCAACTAGTTCAGGTCGAAGCAAGGTCGACGCAGTGTCCACACCCACTTTTTGCTGAGGTCCTCCGAGATCTCGTGCAGGGTGCGGCCGCGGGTCTCCGGCACCACGAAGAAGACGAACATGGCGGACAGCACGCACAGGGCGGCGTAGCCGGTGAAGGTGCCACTGGCGCTCATCAGCTCTGGAGGGTGCAGGGGGGGGGGGCGTCAGTCCTCGGCTGGCACGTGCGCCGCCGCTACCGGTACTGAAATGGCCGGCAAGGCTGCCGCACGCACCAACGATGGCAAGTCTGCACGTCTCGAAAAAAACACAATGACGACTTCCGAGGGACGACGACGACGAGAGCAAGTGGTGGCCGCGCAGACGAACGCCCACCGCGCACCCCAGCGTGATCGGCGATAAGGTCCCTGTCGCTCGACCGCGCGGCCTCACCGACAGCCTGCAGGAAGGTGGCCGAGATGACCATGTTGGAGAGCCAGTTGAGCGACGTGGCCACGGCCACGGCGCGGCCGCGGATCGCCGGCGGGAAGATCTCGCTCAGCACCAGCCACGTCATGGGCCCGAAGCCGAACGCGTACGCCGCCACGTAGCCCATAAGCGAGCCGAGCGCCAGGTATGGCAGGTACGGGTGGGCCAGCCCGGCGTCGCCGCACGTCCCGTTGCCGGCCGATGGCGGCTTGGGCCCGGCGGTGGCCGGCGCCCCGGCCGACACGTTCAGCGCCGGCGCGCGCAGCGGCAGCGGCGTGGGCAGCGGCTCGGCCGGCGGCTCGGGCGGCGTGCAGACGGCGCCCGCCGGCAGGCCCACCTCCTGCACGGACGTAGTGACGGCCAGGCCCACCAGACAGACGGCCATCAGCAGGCTGCCGACCAGCAGGAACGAGCGCCGGCCGGCCCGGTCCACCAACAGCAGCGCCACCACCGTCGACACCATCTGGACGCGGGCGGTGAGCTCGTTACGTCACGACAGGCGTTTGGCAGCAGAACGCAACAGGTGGCAATGGTGCGCAAACGAGAAGAGCGCCCGGAGACAGATGCCTCCTACGCCAAACGACAAAAAGGAGAGGTAGTCGAGTTTTGAATGCTTTTGAGCGCCTGACGGGCGATGCCAAGGCTGACGCTATGACACGCAGGAAGCTACTGTGAACAAGGTGCAGAACCGTGCCGGACACGGCAGCAAAGCGGAATCACGCCGGGAGGCGCTGTTGAGTAGAATGAGTGGCTAAACGTGCAAGGCAAGGCTGATCAGGAACTTTCATTAACAAAGAAACAGTAAGAAATAAAGAATCTGCAAAAATGGAGTTCAGACCAGAAAATTTAGAGTGCCAAATGGTTTCCAGAGCGCAACAAGCTGCATCGATCGAGTAGCAGGTTCACGTCATGAAGAGCACATGGTACAAAGAAGTACAAAGAAGTTTGATTCAGAGATTAGTCAACAGAAAATACCAGCCTGGAACTGTATTGCACCCCATCACTGCCCGTAAAAAACAAATACAATTACGCAGCTCGCATCCATTAACCGTGTGCCGTCCCCGGCCAGTTTCCTGCGTCCCAGTCTGCCCCGCCTCATCACCTTGACGACCCCGAGTCCCACAGTGGCCATGGTGGAGGCGGCGTCGCCACAGAAGCCGACCATCTGCAGGATGGTCGGCGCGTAGTTGAGCACGTTCGGCTGCCCGGTGAACTGCTGGAAGAACACCAGCCCCATGCCGATGAACATGCGGTCGCCCATGTTGTGCTGCATGGCGCAGATGTCGGCGCAGCGGGCCTCGCGCTGCTCGTCCACCGCCAGCCGGATGTGGGTCAGACGCTGACGCACGTCCTCCGCGCCTGTCAGACGCTGCCGGCGACCGACGGCCGGGGTCAGTGCCGAGGTCAGTCGGCACGGCGGGGTCACAGCGTGATGGCGGGCGGGGGAAGGGCCAGGGACAGTCGGCACGGGGGGACAGCAGCCTAGCAGGGACGGCACCGAAGAGGTAGAGGTCAAGCAGGATCGGTGCAGGAGCGGGAGGCCAGACAGAGTCAGAAGATGGTTGCAACGGAGAGGGTATAGGTCATGCAGAATCGGCGAGGGTCATAAGATTTCAACAGAGGAGGGCAGTGGCCAAGCAGTGTGATCAAAGAAAGGCATAGGCTTTGTAAGGCGAGCCCAGCTTGGGCCATTTGACTTGGCCCAAGCTGGGCCAAGTCAAAATTATCATCACATATCATCGCATGCAAAATTATCGCATCAATCATTTTAATTAAATTATCAAACAAAAGACCTGAAGAGCTACACAACACTGAAAATAGCAGTACACATTTGTACTATCAAGCGGGAGGCACAAACAACTCTACACCGGCACAGCAAAGCTCATTCGTTCAGCAGTAGCCCTTAAGTCCGGTTTTAATGTGAGCCTTCGGCGGCAGTTGTTTGTAAGCGAAGGATGCGCCGCAGCCCGGCCTCCGAGAGCCCACATTAGCTCTGGCTCTAGGCCGTCGCAGTCGGCCGTGGGGTCTTGCATTGTTTCGATCAGGTACCACCGAAAACTACCCCGCTTTCCCAGCTGGTTTTGATGAGGTACGACTGAAAACCACCCCGCTTCCCAGCTGGTTTTGATGAAGTACGACTGAAAACTACCCCGCTTTCCCAGCTGGTTTTGATTATGTACGACTGAAAACTACCCCGCTTTCCCAGCTGGTCGCTCGGTGGCCAATGCCCTTCTGACCACGAGGAGTCGGTGATTTAGTGCAAGTGCTCCTCCGGACGTAACAAGCCCAGTCCTTTGAATTCGGCAGATGTATGGTCACTTTTGTTTCTCAGCACTCACGCACAGATGTTAAGGCGCCTCTGCATTTGATCTTTTCAACCCCGTCCATGAGCCATGTAAAACAAAATGCGACAACATATCGTGGAAATAACAACCGGAGTTCACCATGTCACAGATAATGTCAGCATGTACGGAATGTGTCACGTGTAACAGAGTCAGAAGCATCCCTGTCACTTTCTTACAAGCTGGTCAATATGCGATCGAACGGTTTGTAACAGTGCTACTCTCACAGACGCGTGAACCAAATCATTTGGAAAACAACAACATTGACCTTTGATAATCCACATAGCGTTTTTGCTCAGCTAAAAACGATTCGATAAGCTATATCTGTGTTGACATCCAAGGTGTGAGAAGAAAACCACCCGATAATTTCAGGTAATGCTCCCTCCACCACCATCATACGGAAGTGGGCGGGCTATTTCATGACCCGCGAGAAGTTCCTGCGTACACTGATGTTTCTTTCAGCTACTCCAGTTTGAGTATGCTACAGGTATGTGGCCGACAGAAAGTCCCAGTGAACCAAAGCTGGAGTAGTTGAAAAAGCATCCTTACAATGACAACAATATACTCGGCCACAAAAAAATCCTAGCATACCAATCAGCAAAAGGAAAACGACAAGTGTAGTTCGAATTTAATGGGCCCGGTGATATAATGGCTACCATACTGAACCGGCATTCCAGAGATCCGGGCTCACGCCCCGAAGAGTGGACCCAGATTGTCTGTACTATCTGGCGAAGAATCTCACCAAACTGCAAAGCAGTCAGAGAATTCTGGCCGACCAAACCTGGAGCAGCTAAGAAAACATCCTCACTTTAACCTGGGTACCACCACTATACTGGCATATCGCACAGTTGCGACAGAATAAAAGGAAGTTATAGGAAGCCAAAAAAGCGAAGAGAGCAGGGGACCGAGCGACGTGCCTTCATACACCCCAACAGTGTTTAAAAGGGCATCAGTCAGAATACGCCGCAAGACAAGGCAACAGCCTAGCCGAAGAGAGGACAAAGATGTGCAGCATAATAGAAATGGTGGTGAAGGAGATCACAGGTCAGAGAGGATCAGCAGAGGAAGACAGAAGTCAGAGAGGGTCTGCAGAGAACACCAGGGGTCCGAGAGGGTCAGCAGAGGACGACAGAGGTCAGGCGTGGTGAGGCAGCTTCAACACCTGAGGACGTAGTCAAACACTGCTGGTGGGCCAGAAACCGGGTGGGGAGCCGACAACAGGGGCGCCAACGTCATCACGTCGGACGTCGGACAACGACACGGTTAAAACGGACACGGTTAAATCCCACCTATGGCGAAATTATCTGAATAACTCCAGCACACGACCGGTGAAGTTTTGGTGCCAAAGACATAGCAATAATCCCCGTCGATGGATAGTCTTATGACCATTTCAGCTAACGCCGGACCGCGATGGCCAACAAGGGATGACGTTTGACGGTGTCAGTGTTGAGCGGTGTCGCCGTGTTGCCCCACTTCGACAAACCACAACGTCCTTCATCGTCAACGTACAACGCCAAACGTCCAAGGTCCAACACCATCACACATTACTGCTGACGGGCGATGCGTCTCCGTGCGTGCTGAACTACCCACACAAAGCCAGTAAACATTCCAACACCGCTCTTGCCCGCGTGCTCGCCCCGTGCCAGCGTCAGACCTGCGGCCCGAGCCGTCCCGCTGAGGTACAAACAGCGGCGCGCCGCCACGTCCGACCGCGTGCTCGCCTCGCGCCAGCGTCAGACCTGCGGCCCGAGCCGTCCCGCTGAGGTACAAACAGCGGCGCGCCGCCACGTCCGACCGCGCATTGGACGCACCTGCAGGACGCGGCGCGCCTTCTCCTCCTGCCGCTTCAGCAGGAGGAAGTGCGGCGTGCGCGGCAGAAAGAGCATGCCGACCGCCTGGAACACGGCCGGCACCACGGCCAGACCGAACATGAACCTGCAACACGCGCCCACGTCATCCGGAGGCGGGACAGACAGACGACGGACTTGCCCCGAGCCAACGTGTGTCATGAACAAGCGACCTGCGGCTTCCGCCAAAGTTGACATAAACATGAGATATTCGCACCCAACTCAGAGCGGTTGAGGCGAACACGCGCGTATAGACGATCGCGGGGAGTAGTGAGGAGGCCATATCAAGAGGCGGAACAAACTCTCTCGTTGACGGCCGCTGTGCGAGGAAAGATTCTCTCAACAGTGCTGGCAACCGAAGCGAAGCTGCGGACGAGTTTATTTCGTGAGGACTGGGCTGGAGTTGATATCAAGTCTACATCTATTTTGTTGAAACAAATGTAAACAAGGACATGACGCCGAACGGAACTAAGACACCATGTTTTTGTAATACATCACGAATATGAGCCATGTGTGAAGCTCATGGATTCCAATTCCATCCACCCCTAACATCGGCCGCCCTCCAGCCAGTGTCCCACCCGCCAGAAACATGACTCAACAACATTTTTACAGCTGAAATCAAGCCAAGACCCTGTCGCTATAACCACGACCTCAGCGTCTCCCCACCCGACCCTCCGCGGCGGCTTCCCTAGGCGCCTCACCGCCAGCCGCCGTCGGTGTCGACGAAGACGTAGCCGGCGAGGAAGGCGAGGAGGAAGCCGAGGGTGATGGCCGCCTCGTTGAGGGAGACGAGCATGCCGCGTCGGTGCGCCGGCGCTATTTCCGATATGTAGATGCATTCGCTAATGGCCGATAGGGAGACAGCGAAGCCTACCACCACCCTGCGGAGGTTGCAGGGACGGGTCGGTCGGCACGGTCAGCGAGCACGCCGGACACCCCACAGACATTGCACCGCATTCGAGGTCAAACGGGTCCCACTGTGTCCCTTCATCACTTCCGGGGCACGGGGCAAGTAATCCGCCAGGGAGATCAAACAGACCACGTGAGCTCTATCACTCTCCGCGGCACGTTCCCGAGGTCACGGCCAATGGGGGTCGACAGGTCACATTGAGCTCATCGCTACCCTGGGGATACTGCCGGCTCACGATCACTGGGGAGCGAGAATCACAGCGAACCCCCAGAATTCTGGAAGCATTTTTGAAGGCTCTTCTCGTCATGGGAAGTGGGGGTAAGAAAGGCAACAGCGTGAGCCCACGGCTTCTTTCGGGACATTGCAGTGGCCACAGTCACTGGAGATCACAGAGGTCATCGGCAGGAACATGCCGTCACCTTAGAGGCATTGGGGGCCAAGTCACAGTGAGTTACGGAGGATGCCGTGAGCCCATCATTCTGGCAGCCCTAGAGCCTGGCAGGATCACAAAAGTCAAACAGATCGCAGCCAGTCACACCACCACTGTCGGGATGTTCGCCACGGTCACAGTCGCAGGTCAGACTGGTCCCGGCGAGCCTCACCACCACTCTGGGGATATTAGAGCATCACGGTCGCGATAACTCAGACAATAGATTGATGGGTCAGCACAGCTCTGGGTGCAACCAACTAGGTGGTGGGCATCACATTACACGTGCTTTCATAGTGTGGGTGATCCGCCGTTTTCCACTTCACGAAGCACATACAAAGAACTGTTGGTTACCTGCCCAGCAGAATGATGGTGATGCTGTTTGCGGAAGCGAGGATTGTTGCACCGATGATAAAAAGGATAGCATTGACGATGATGGTGACCTTGCGACCGGCGGAATCAACGATGATACCTGTTGACCATCCCAACAACGATCACACTTAACTTAAGACAGGACATATCAAATTGTGACAAAGCGAATGCCTTCGAACGTTTCGCACGAAGCGCAGAGGAGATATATAAGTACCAACGGCTTTCCTGTCAGTTAACGCAAGCCTGACGTAGACACCAAAAATTGGAGAAATGAGGAAAACGTGAAGCCTTGGAGCAAAACCTGAAAACACGTGAAAGGGATCGTGGGCAGTCAAGAATCTAACTCAGTGCCTCATGCAAAAGACCAGCATGCATGTGACATATCCTGCACAGTCCCCTCCAGCCTGAATGTGACATCCTGCAGACTCCCTCCAGCCCGCATGTGACATGTCCTGCAGACCCCCTCCAGCCCGCATGTGACATGTCCCGCAGACCTCCTCCAGCCCGCATGTGACATGTCCTGCAGACTCCCCTCCAGCCTGCATGTGACATGTCATGTGGACTCCCCTCCACACCATTCAACCATCCCTGCAGTCAACCCCAGCTGCGTGCCACCGTTCGCCGCAGGTCCTCTGTCCTCGCCAATCCCACAAACTCGACCAGCATGTACAACTTGGTAACTACTCCTATTACGTCCGGGCATCAATGGCACCTCCACGGTATTCCCCACCATCCTAGCCTGCATGCATGTCCCTGTATCACGGCGTCCCCATTCCACTTGTAACGCAGCAGTCCCGTCGCACTGCTGCGCGTTTACCCCAAGCCCCGTCCCCATCTCAGCGCCCATTACACCCGCGTCACGGCGTCCCTATTCCACTTATAACGCAGCAGTCCCGTCGCACTGCTGCGCGTCTACCCCAAGCCCCGTCCCCATCTCAGTGCCCATTACACCCGCGTCACGGCGTCCCTATTCCATTTGTAACGCAGCAGTCCCGTCGCACTGCTGCGCGTCTACCCCAAGCCCCGTCCCCATCTCAGCGCCCATTACACCCGCGTCCTGCCAGTGCCCGCTGGTGTGGGAACATCCGGTCATTTGGGTGGCACAGATGTCGAAATTTGTTTCGTGCCATCGCAACCCCCAGTAAGGGGATCATTGCCTGCTGCCCTCCCCTTGCTCAGCGTCTGCTGAATAGCATCCAGCCGACCGGTGGTCCACCCAGCACCTGAACGCATCGAGATTGGCAAGACGGTCGGGCTGATCGGAGTACCAAGGTTCGAGGTCGAAGGGCTACGGATTAGTAGTCAACGAAATGTGCGCGTAGAGGCCACGGGGGAGCCAGAGGTCTGACAGCATTACTGTATGTCTACATGCTTGACATACAACTGGACGGGTTCTGGAGCGGCCGTATCCGCGTCCTTTGCGCCACTCACCACCGACGGCCGACATCAGCAGCGGCCGGGCTCGCCCCCTTGCGCCACTCACCACCGACGGCCGACATCAGCAGCGGCCGGGCCCGCCCCCTTGCGCCACTCACCACCGACGGCCGACATCAGCAGCGGCCGTGCCCGCCCCCTTGCGCCACTCACCACCGATGGCCGACATCAGCAGCGGCCGGGCCCGCCCCCTTGCGCCACTCACCACCGATGGCCGACATCAGCAGCGGGCGTGCCCGCCCCCTTGCGCCACTCACCACCGACGGCTCACATCAGCAGCGGCCGTGCCCGCCCCCTTGCGCCACTCACCACCGATGGCCGACATCAGCAGCGGCCGGGCCCGCCCCCTTGCGCCACTCACCACCGACGGCCGACATCAGCAGCGGCCGGGCCCGCCCCCTTGCGCCACTCACCACCCACCGCCGACGCCAGCAGGGCGCCGGCCATCATGCAGCTGACGACGGCCTCGCGGTCTGTGCAGCTGAGGCCCAGCTGGCGCTGCAGCTGCAGCTGCGCGCCGCTGATTACGCCCACATCGTAACCGAAGAGCAGGCCGCCTGTGGCCGCCACCAGCGAGGCGGCCGCCACCAGGCCGGACGCGCCGCCGGCGGACGGCCGGTCGGCGGCCGGCGCGGCGTCCGCCGAGTCGACGCTGTTAAGACTCGGCCCTGTAGGCGGGGGCGTCGGAGGGAGGGGAGGCGATCAGGGGCAAGGCGCAGCGCAGGCGGTGAAGAGTTTGACGCGAGTGCGGGCGGAGGCAACGGGGATGCAGGCGGCCACTTGCAGTGGCAGTGGTGCGGACAAGAAGGGGCAGCAGCCAGCTGGTGCCAAGTGAACATTTTGTGCGACATGTAGGCATATGTTAGTCAGAGTGGTAAAAAACAACATGCATTTCCTTATTGACATTTCAGAACCACTAGATGCATCAATGAATAGAATGTAGGCACTTGGATAGGACAGCAGAAATAGCCTTATTCTTCAGAGAAAAACCAGGAGAATAGAGAAATAGATTGGCAAATAGAGAAAAAGCCTCCATCAACACTGTTTGAAAACCTGGAATAAGGCTATTACTATTGTCTTATCTATATGAATAATATTCTTTGTGAATGCACTGAACAACTTACAGAATGAAGATAATTTAAACATTGACATGATCACATATTTGGGAAACATTTCAACCATTCAACTTTGCACAGGCTTTTATGACTAGCTTAACAGTTTGAGCCTCAGGAAGTCCAGTGTCATTCTACACATGTTTCAATGCAGCATGTTTCAATGCAATTATGTGAGAGGAAAAATGTACAAAATACACACAGCCTATCAACTGACCGCAGTGCTCAACCGACTCCTCTAAAGTGTCTTCACAGCTGTTTAATAAAATGGTGGTGTCCTCTTCATCATGCATGACTGATGTTTCTGTCTTCACAGGAATATTTCAAAGATATGGCAACTGTTGCAATCTCTGTTCTGAAATACCAGGCTCGGTTTATCATACAAGAAGCAACCAGACAGGCTGAGCTAACTAGTTGACATGAATGCTATTTAAACTACAAATGTATTAAAAAGCAACACAGATTCAGAAGCAGGTCGATCCATGTCATGTTTCAAAGAAAGCAGCCCTTGCATTCTCACAAATCTAAAAATTGATTTTCTTGTTATACAATGTTCTCTTTTAGTTCAGGGGTGCAAAAATAATGGATTTATTCATGGCAGAGGAGCAGAGGGGCACCAGGGGATGTCAGCACAACCAGGAGAGCCTGTACATGACATACTGTCCTACACTCAAGATTCATATGTGCGACCATCTTTGATTTGCTCTCAGAGCCTCCACTAACAATTATTTGACCTGTGGACTATACATCCTGTCATCCCACTAGTGCCATTATAATCCAGCCAGGCTGTGATTTTTAATAGTACCAAAATGTTTGTGATATATTAATTTTGCTTCTGATATGGTGAGTAAAAAAAGTGCTATGCATATTTTTTTAAATCTGAACACTCTGGATGTGAGTGTCTGAGATGGGAGTGCTGACAAAATGCCATCAAGTCTGTGACATGAGCTGATTGCTAATTTTATGCAAAGACATAGTGATAAAATAATGGTGTTTATAAGACACCACTTTTGGCCAAGCAATGTGCTGAAAGCACTATATATTCAGTGTTGCAATGTGTAGATTCAGGGTGAGACCTGAAACACAATGAAAATAGCAAATAACCTCTGAAATTATTGCATATATGAAGAAGGCAGTGAAAGCTGCAAAGGAACAAGTGGGAGCATCCCAGCAGCTTGCTGCAAGAAGAATTGGATGCAGTCAATCACTTATCCATGGAGCTTTCCTGAAATCTAGATTGAAGTAATTAAAAATGCAGAAGACCTTACAGGCAACAAGTAACCAAGAATTATGAACAAAACAAAATACCAAATAGCAAAAAGACTGGGGAGTAGTAGTCTGTCTGGGAAGAGGTATCCTCTACAGGTGTGGCAGGCCTCATCATGGATGACAAAGCATACTTTACTTGATGAATGTCATTCATTCACCTGTAATGTGGATTTTATGCTATTACTATGATGGTGACACTCTATGTTAAACCTAACAGCAAATGCCTGCTAAGTGACCTCTGCAAATAAGACCACTGCAAAGGCAGTCTGCCAAAGTTACCTAGAAAACATAGTAACTCCTTGAAACATTGGCTGTCTATGCACTGGAATTGTTGATGCACTGACCATGCATTACACTTGGGGCCCTCATGTTTAAATGGAAAATGGACCAACTGGAGGAGAAACCTTGGGGAACATCCTAGTTTCAGATCTCGTATGGTATTTTGGTTTTAAGGGATGAGCCAGCTGCAGCTGTCATTTTGCACCCACTTTTTTGGACCTTGGGGGTGGATTTCAGTATTCGTTCAAATATCACTGGTGTAGACTTCACACTTGTGATTTAGCTTCAAGCAGCTTAAGTTAGTACAAACCCATGAAATGTGAGTGTCTGGTGACATAATTTATGCTTGGCCTTGCCATCGCCCATCTGCCGCCTCATTCCGGGGGAACCAAGTACGCCCAAACTTTGTTCCTCATCAAATATTAAGCATACATGTCAACGTACAATAGAACAAATATTGCCGTGTGTCATGTGGCTTCTCCAGTTAATGCCACATCACCAACAGCAACACCATCTCCACCCGCCCAACGACACTGCGGACGTATGAATAGCATGCTGCGTTTGTGGTACACACACAGGATGTGACATGAGTCGCGCGGCTGTTCCAAAATATTCCACAGACGACATCGCCAAATTCGAACCTTGAGAAATGAAGCGCTTATCCAGATGGTACGGTTAAATGATTTAGTGGGACAGTGATCCCCTCAACAATGTCGTTGCCCCCCCCCCCCCTGCCGTGTACTGCTTGATTGCACATCTGGAGTGTCCAACGAACGACCAGAGCAGTTAGCGTCCACGACCGCGAAACTCCGCGGCATCGTCGAGCAACAATTCAGATGGCGCTCCCCGCGTCAGAAACACTCCATCCACTCGCTTGCATGCACGGTGCCGCCACCTCCTGCGCCGTGCGTCGCCTCAATCGATGCCAAATCGCGTATCACATGGGCACACAGTTGATGATGGATAGGTGTAAATCTTACCTTGGTAATGTGTCAAGTCTATTGCTTGTCGCTCCCACACTGCCGGAATATCTAGTGGCCCATGCTGCCACTGCACCTGTGCCGGGTCGACAGACTAGCACTGGGCACAGCTGCTCACCACATCGCTCGCCAACACCTGCGCCTAAATCCCTCCAGGCAAACAGCCACGTCCGCTGCACTTTCGGGTGCCTAAATCTTCCCTGGATGGCCCGCAATCGCTCTCGCCATTCTGAACCACGCTTTCTTCTCCCACGCCTGCCGTGCCACGAAGCCTTCCCTTAGATAAGCGAGTGAGTGCATCTGCCGAGTTGTGCTCAGATATCGCCAGGCTAACTGTCAAAATTAGATCTCATTCTCCCACGAGCCGACTCACAATTTTGATCCTCCGGCGGATGAGCATTTCGCTGTGCACTTTGGTCCGAAGTCGGGTTAGACCACTAAACACACCATTAACCACTTCAAACCGTAGCAGAATCGATGCGAAGATCAATCTCAAAGGAGTTCCGCAGGCGAAGGTAAAGTAAGGTAAGCAGGCGAGCAGGTTCCGCAGGCGAGCGTAAGGTTAACGTCACTTAGAGCGACGTCTAGCCCCAACATGTTGATACGCAAGGTGATTTTCGCCACCGGCTTTAATCCACCAGTGATTTCAGTCACCCCTCCATCATGGGCTTCCATCAGCATGATCCCCAACGCGATAGAGCTTGTATGCGTCCACACCATCATCCGCCTCCCCCCATAAGCGTAGGGATGTTTCAAAAAGTGGTGGGCGGGCAAGCTCAGGCTCAGGGACTTCAGGAACTTTTTCTGGAAAACGAGCCCGATGACCGGGGGGTTGTGGGAGGGGTAGGGATGGCGGTTGTTATCGTTCTTTATTCAGATGTCATGGCTGCTATGCTAGATATGCATCTAATGCTGTTTCTCACTGGTGCGCAATCTTGCCTATCGGACTCATCTGTCATTTGGCAAATAAGGCTATCCAGGTTCCCTAGATTATTCGTCCATTTTAACATTGTCTTGCCCGGGGGGGGGGCAAAATTCCACGAGCGGGTAGGCATTTTGGGTCATTGAGGAGGCATCTGCCTCCACAGTGTAGATGCCAAAATACGGCCTGGATATAGGCTGGTGAGAATTTTGGAAGTGGATCGATGGCTCACAGTTCGACATATTTTGTATGCGCCCTCATTTTGCTGGCTGCTTTTCAATATATAAGACATGTCGTAACATTTTAGACGGAAACGAGTTCGGGAGCTTGAAACCTCAAGAAAGAATTTAACAAAAGCCATAAAACTGGAGATTCTCTGTAAGAATCAAGCCACTTAATAAGGCCCATCTGTCATATTTTCCTTACCTGGTCCCTGCTCCTGTCCGCCGCCGGTGGTCACAGCCCTGGCTTGGATGTTTTCCGCATGACTGACTGCGAACTGATCGTGTGTCTGCTTTGTTACATACCTTTGGATCAGCATTACTACTACATGGTGTATGAAACACGTGTTGGACACTTGCAACAGTATCGTTTTCCGAATTAGCTTCCCTCACACCACACCATCGCAGAAAAATAGTCTCCGGGAAGCTGTCTGCCTTAGGTAGAAATTGGCCCAACGGACACTTCCTTGCCCATCATCCAACGTAGTCCACTTGATCTGCTTTTGTGTGTAGGCAGGGGCATAGCCAGGGCCTTGCCAAGGGGGAACACAAGGTTGCCAATAGCCTACCTTATGGTGATCCCCAAAGCCCCCGGATATAGCTCACTTGTTAACAAGTGACACGGTTTTTCGTTTTATTGCTTTTTTTACATTGTAACCAGAACAGAAACCAGGAGCTACCGTGAGCTCGATTCCGTTTGCATTTTGAGGTCAATAAGCTGCAGAAATCAGGTGTTGAACGACTGCATGGAGGAAAACACTGGCACTCTTCATTTACAATGGCTAGTTGACTCTTCCTAAACCAAGAGAATTCAGATGCTTTGCCAAAATTTTCATCTGGGTTCCACAGACATTAGGGACATCGCGAAGGTAGATTGTAGATCGATATGTTTGATCCAAATTTGAAGATGAAATCTTAATTTCAGATTGAGTGGTCAATAATGTGTATGATCATGGCCAAGCCATGTTTGTCTGATAATGTCCACCATTCAGTCAGAATCGATTAGTCATGCAATTTATGTAACGTGTTTTTTAACACGCACGCTCGCAAATCTTACGACAAAAATCTCGACACCAGGCGTTGCAGTCTCCACGGTCCGTGGAGCGTTAGTCCGGTGGTTAATATTTAGCTGTGGCCCACCAGTGAACGAAAATGATGACGCTTCTGATAGTATTACCTTTATTTTAAACATTTAAATCGACTAGCAATGCAAGCTCTTTGACGTAATTTTGAGCATACGCACTCGAAAACCTTGAAAATGTTACACAAGCCTCGACCCCCAGGCGTTGCAGTCTCCGTAGGCCTCGCAGCGTTGGCCTGGCAGCTAATATTGAGTTGTGGCCAACGGATAGACAAAAATGACAACGCTTCTGAAAAAGCATCCTTGAGCGCGTCATGACACCAGATCTTACATTTAGAAGGCAGTCTGAGCGCATATTTCACGTGAGCACTTTTAAGACTGATAAAAAGAACGGATTGACCTTAAAGCGCCGCGAAGTGGGGCTGGAATCTGGTGGTCGAATTGGAAGAGTGAAGGTAAAATCTCTATTTTTCGTGTTTTTGCACCTAATTGTTTATCCAGAAGACAGATTAAAACGGCGCCCGCCGTCTGGTGGCACTTGCAGTGGCCAAAACTTTTCGGTTTTACGGAAGTTGCAGCCCGGACCATCCTTGTCCTTGCTCTCGAGGCTTCGGGCGGGCATGTTCAAGCCTTTTGACGTAATTTGTTTCACTAATCCATTCTGAAAAAATGAACGCTCTCAGGCAAACATGGCATGACCTTGACCCACCCCACGACAGGCAGGCGTGCCACAAGAGCCCCACACCATGTGAAGACGTTATGGCGTGCCAACGTAGCCAACTCACCATGGTGAGCGCTGACTCACATTTACTAATAAGTCATCCACGAAGGGTAGCACCACGCAGCTCGCGGCGATTCCCGGCGCACGAAGGCCCGCAACACTGGCCTCGTCGCCAGTGGTGTCATATGCAGGCCAAAACCCAGGCGCGTACCGCCCTATGCTCCCTCTCATCGCACGACACCAATCATCTCACTTCTACCCATTCAGCGAGCTCACGCGGCTGGCGGCCACCGGAGGAATGGCATTCCCTGTGACCTTTTCATTCAGTTCTTTTCCTTTCGATCGTCATGCCTGAACCGAAAGTATTGCACAAAAATAGTGAGTGTTGATACATATAATATCGTCGACATCATCGCTACTACCTGTTCGGTGAGGCATAACGACAAAGCACCAGCTCTAAACTGACTATCGCATTTGTCGGTCGATACATCAACCGATCAGTAGCCTTCTGCACCCTCGTCATGTCATATCATTGGGGCTTTACGACGCACTCAGCTGCTGAGGCTATATGGCGTCGCCTGCCTCTCACCCGGCAGGAAGGGCGGGCACCGCGGGGAATCGAACCCCGTACCTCTGGTTTCCCAGACGCGCAGTGGTTAACGCAGACGCCTTAACCACTACATTACCGGCACCCCGAAACCGGCACCGGCACCCCGCACCCTCGTCACCAGGGCTGCCAAGCATTCCGTTGCTCTCCCATTGGGGACACACAATCCCGTCACTGGGACGCTCAGCCCGCTAACCGTGGGGATACACAATGCCAGCATTGGGGCACCCAGCCTGCTAACGGTGGGGACACACATTCCCGCCACTGGGGCACCCAGCCCACTAACGGTGGGGACACACAATCCCGCCACTGGGGCACTGAACCCGCGAACCGTGGGGACACACAGTTCAATCACTGGGGCACTCAGCTCGCTAACCGTGGGGACACACAATCCTGTCATTGGGGCACTCAGCCCACTAACGGTGGAGACACACAGTCCCGTCACTTAAGCGCCCAGGCCTTTCATCAAAGGAACATAATCCCTGCCACATAGGCCGCACCACCGGACCGCACCGTCGTGGGTGACAACAACCGAGCTCCACCCAACGCTTAAATTTCCTGCATGTCCAGGATCTTATCGAATCACAACGGGCGCTCATCTACCACCAGCGCATCTAGATCTCCCTGAAGGTCCCGCACTACCTCTTACACAGTCCCTTCTCCACAGCACCACAAGCTCGAACCATTCACCCCTGTGAGCTCCATTGAACAAGCCCGCCTCCTGCTGCGGATACCTCGGAAGGGCAGGTTGCCCAAACAGCCCGAATCTACACGTGCTGCCCCACCGCCACACTCACAAGGGAGGCTTTTAGGCGCCGGTAGACGGCACTCGCACCGAGGGAACGCCTTCGGTAGCTTTGGGGGGCCTCCCGCGCACGACAACCGGGCTGGGACAGTCGCGAGCGAAATTACCTGTCACCTTGCGCCAGCGGTAGCACCCAATCGATCGTGATTAGTTCCTCCGCCACCGCCTGGCCGCATCATCGGTCGGCGTCGCGGCTTAGATCCAATTCCACTCGCCGTCAGTGCCGCCACAACCAGTGCCGGTACGCCTCTCCGCCTTCATCCTGGATCCGCCGCGCCCGCTTGCTCGACTCCGCTACAGACCCCGCCGTATCTCGGGCGCCGGCGCTCGACCGGTTTCACAAAGCGGTGGATAGACCGCACAGGTACAGCAGCGTGATGTCAGTATCTGACAATTCAGCGACAACGGCGAGCCTCGATAAACGGCGCAGGTCGCTCCGGTAGGCGCCGATCGATTCATGTTCGACACCCAGAAGCCACCGGCTAAAAGACGTCTGACACGCCATGAACGGGTCCGTCTTTCTGGTGGGATAAGGAGCCAATCAATTATCCGTCGCCGACACAACTTCAATCCCGGGTGAACCAAGCGACGATATCTCTTCCTCCACTGAGCATAGGAATAGCACAACCGTTGCGTTCCACAAATGTCACTTGCACTTGTCAAATGTCACTTCCATTTGCACCGACTTCTCCAGGTCAGTCGACATTGTTCCGAAGCATAGCTTGCCAGTACAAATAAAAGTGTCCAAACACGGAGCCGTCTATATTCGAGCAACGTCGCATCACAACAGTCTGTAACTCCCTGTCATGCCCAGCCCGCTTCTGACCTAGGCCACCACATTTAAGATCCGATTGCCGGCGGCAGTGGCGGCAACGTGGCGGTAACTCAGCACCACGGGGGAGCATGGCACCCCACCGTCACGTCCGCACACCAGACCGCTTTGCCTTCTTCTTGGTTGTACATTCGAATGTACCCCTGCTGTGGAGCTGACCGTTAGTCCATGCGTATCACCAGTTTGAAGTAACCTGCATCTGGACCAAAACAGTGGTGGCAAGTCCTAAACAGTCGGCGACAGTTAGAATGATAATCCTATGAAATATTGGTAAAAGTCGCCTTTATTGGATGCATCGCATAGATGCATGCACGCAAACATGTCGCAGTGATACAGGCTGGTGTTGAATTGTGTAACCAGCCACATGCATTTTACCTACGGTATGGCTAGAATACGTACTAACGAATGTCTCGCGCCTCATGTTGTGGAAAAGAACGGGTTGCAAATATTTCAAACGATTATTGAAATACCCATAAAGTGATACCCTCAACAATTTGGTGTCCGCCCTCCCTACCAGTGTGAGAGACAGGCGACGCCGCATAGCCTCGGCAACTGAGTGCGTCGTGAAGTCTCAATGACGACGACGACGATGCCCTCAACGCATGAATGCCTTAGGCAGCCTCATGGTGACGTCGCCGCGGGACTGCCAGAAGTAGTCCGGGCTGGGCCCGAGTCTTTAATTTCCACCTCCGCTCTCTGCTTAGACCAGTAAGCTAAACCACGGTTCTTCAATAAACCAAACCACGAATGACCTTGGTCAGTGTCAAACCCTCTGTTCGTTATCAGAGACGAACAAAGAATCATTGGTGTGAGAATCTGCCTGCCAGCAGAAAAGTGGCAGAGATGTTCAAAGCTAGCCACGAGTGGTTTATTTTTGCGATCAGCACGTATCAGCAGTTTTATTCGAACACGTCCATCGAACGGACCGGCTGAGTTTCGATAGTAGCGCTACAGATACAAACAAGGCTTCAGTCGACTTCGACGGGGACCGGCGGGTTGGCTGGTGAGTCGGACTGTCTTCGTTCGCGTATTGCGTGCATGCTTCCACTTGGGAAGACTTTTGAAATGCTGTGAACGTGGTTTTGTTTGTTTCTAGCAAAACGAGCGCCTCTATGTTGCCGCTGCGTTGAATAATGCGTGCGGCGTTTGTGTATTCATCATTTCTCGTCAGGTGTCTTGGGGCGTAGTGGTCGCTCCTCAATTGTTGGCAAACTTTGGTGTTTTAGTAGTATTTCCCTTACATCACCTCTAAGTGTTTTTTGGTGGAAAGTATGCCCCTTCCCAAACTGGCACCTTGCTGCACGAAGAAAGACCAAGTGGAAAATGCTTGCCCTGAGGATAATTCTGAGTCTCTGGAAGCTGATGGTGAGAATGTAGTGATGGAGAACACATGCATTAGACCTTAAATCTATGTAATGCGCAAGATGCTGCCAGCAATGGTTGATGTGTTTACTGCAGATTAACTTGATTGCACTCACGCAGCACTTGGTCCACAGAGCAATGTTGAGATCATGGTCAGAGAATAGTGATGTAAAACAACTAGAAGGCAAAGGCTCAGCTGCTTGTTCAGACTGAAAAAATTAATTATTTTAAAATCATGTCCTGTTCCTTGTAGCAGTGAGCTTGCATAACAATTTTAGTGAATTGAGATGTGACATCATAGGTCCCAAGTTTGACACACTTATTACCATTTGCATTATGAAGACAGCATATTTTTTAACAGATGAGATTGTGCTGAAAGCTTCCAGCAAAATTATTCCAAAAAATGTTTTCAGGCTAATAGTTTGGAAAACCTTGGGCTGAATTAAGTATGTACCAGGCTCAGCTCGTCAAAGTGATTAAGGTGTGCCACTCAGTGGTTTCTTTTAAAATTTGTTACTGGTCACAGACTGGGGCTAGACATCATGAGTGTTAAGGCATTGTCTTTGATACATTTCCTTGTAAATCATGTTAATTGCATGTGATTTGGGTGGGTTAAATCACCTTTGACAAACAAATATCTCAAGTTACCGTGCAATGAATGTGCCTATTATGCCTAGCCAAGATAGGGGTCAGGGTGTACTTTCCTACCTAATGTTAGAAAAAATCATTGTACACCATTCGTCGTGTTTAAGGCAGGACATATCATAAATCATCTTAAAACAGGTAGAATCATGCTCCTACCTTCGAATTTCAATAACTTGGATGGCGAGCCCCCGAGCGCCGCGCGCACCGCACCGCCTGGACTCCCTAGCGCCGTTTCTGCGTTGCCGTCGCGTAAATACAATATTTCTGCTTACCAAGAACTCTACAAAATGTACGGGACCAAGGTAAACTATTCGTCGTGTTTAAGGCAGGACATATCGTAAATAATCACAAAACAGGTAGATTGATAATCTTACCTTCAATTTTTTATAATTGCGATGGCGAGCTCCCGAGCGCCGCACACACACAGCACCCGCGACACCGGCCGGGCCAAGGTAACAAGAATCCATGAAATTTGATCCTCGACGCCAACGGGACCATGGGTTGCAGGGGGATTGGGTGGGGAATGTAAAGCAAAATGAGAATGTGACAGCTAAACAAAAGCTCACTATATGGCACCTATATATGGCATGGAACATGGATGCCAATGGGATGCTGGGTTGAAGGGGATATAGGGTGGGGAGGTTAGGTTAGGTTAGGTTAGGTTAGGTTAGGTTAGGTTAGGTTAGGTTAGGTTAGGTTAGGTTAGGTTAGGTTAGGTTAGGTTAGGTTAGGTTAGGTTAGGTTAGGTTAGGTTAGGTTTGGTTAGGTTAGGTTAGGTTAGGCTAGTTTAGGATATGTTCTGGACTATTCTGGCCTGTGTGTTTCATAAATGTACCTAAACTCGATAAGAAACGATTTTGGTTGCTTTATTATTGTTACCTTGGTCCCGTACATGTTTATGTTTCTTGATAAGCAGAAATATTGTGCTTTCGCAACAACGCAGAAACGGCGCATAGGAGTCGAGGCGGTGCGGTGCGGTGCGTGCGGCGCTCGGGAACTCGCTATCGTATTTATTAAAATTCGGGGGTAGGAGCATGATTCTATTCTATCTGTTTTGAAATTATTTACGATATGTTCCGCCTTAAGCACGACGAATGGTTTGCCTTGGTCCCGTACATTTTGTAGAGTTCTTGGTAAGCAGAAATATTGTATTTACGCAACGGCAACGCAGAAACGGCGCTGGGGAGTCCAGACGGTGCGGTGCGCGCGGCGCTCGGGAGCCCGCCATCGAAGTCATTGAAATTTGAAGGTAGGAGCATGATTCTACCTGTTTTGAGATTATTTACCATTTGTGCCGCCTTAAACACGACGAATGGTGTGCAATGATTTTTTCTAATGTTAGGTAGGAAAGTACACCTACACCAAGATAGGTATTTTCACTAGACTGCAAAGGAAGTCAGTGAAGGGATAGCTATATGTATATAAATCAGTTCAATAAGTGTAGTCTGGAACTTGGTGTTTGGTTTAGTATGTTACACTGTAAATTAACAATTTATCCATATTGGCATGAAAAATATTACAATTCTTATTGTGAAAGGCATTGAAAGCTGTGAAATTTCATGTCAGGCATCTCAAATTTCAGCTTGTCTGCAATAATCATTTAAAGTTGCCTTGCAATTCTCAGATTGGCATCATGCAGCAAATCTTATCAATTTCAATCAGTACAAATCAATGATCATGTCTCAGTAAATGGTTAGGTTAAAATATTGATGTAAAAGAATGAAGATCAATCATTGCTAGCAAACCTAGCAGCTAACCTTTTTCCAGCTTTGGGTCCCAAAAGTATTTGTGTATGGCATCAAGATGTGGCTCCCCTGAAGCCAATGTATTCCAGTCCCTGATTCACTTCACCCAGAGCCGGGTTTTCAGCACACTGTGGCATGTTGTCTGCTGATCTAGGCAGTGTGAAAATGGCCATAATGTGACTTGGAAACAAGCATGCTCAAATTTGATGCTGAGGCCCTCAGTCAAGTATCCTGCCTTTCAACATTGGCCTGGCATCAGGTACTGCACGGGTTTTAGACTTGAACATGTCTTTAGATACACTTCCCCAGCATTACAAATGCCATGTCTGTGGATGTCACCCCAGCTCTGAAAAGGTTTACAGCCTTAGAAAGATTCTAGCTCAGGATGCTGCCCCATCTCTTAAAAAAACAGCATTAAGAATTTGATGTGGTGTAGACAGCTTTTATTCTCCAAGATCACAGTTTCTGTATGGTTTATGAGAGCACAGGCAAAGCAATAAGTGCTTAAATGGTGAGGTGATGCTTAGCATGAGTATCCTGGATCACATCCTTGTGCAGTTTCAGGGGCAAGATGGACTACTGTTTCAAATCTGTGCTCAGCACAGCTCTTAAGCAACAACATTTGCCGCTGCACTGAGCTGAACACAGTTACAAAGAGCTTGTGTGATCTGCACGTTTTAAGGCATTTGATTATAGTCTGTTTTAAGTATGATCTCCCTGTGGTGTTGTGACAGGATTGGAATGTAGCATTTGGATTTTATTATGGTAGGAAAAGTTATCTTTGTTTTTTAGCATTTTTGAGGACTGATTGCCAATCTCAGAATCAGTGGAGCAGATAAAGGTGTTGAGCAAAGAGCATGAAAGACATGAGACCAAGGGCGCAGAGAAGGCAAATATACCATCAAGAAACCATGCAACTCTTGTCACCATCTGGCTCATTACTACACAAGCAATTGACCAGGAAGCAGCCAATGTCATCCATTTTCGAAACCTGTCTCCAATTCGGTGTGCTCTGACGCAGAGCGAGGAAGACGGAGATATGTTGAATCACCTCGCATGCCGCAAATGGCATTGCATGGATTTCAGATGCACAGAAGTGGTCAGCAATGGCTGCACTGTATTCAGCACAATGTTTCACAGGATGCAGTATTTGAAGTCATATGCTCAAATTCATTGGCATTTATCACATGGCATGATACTCCGTTGATTGATGGTCACGAAGCCCTGTTTAATGTTTCCATACCTGTGCTGTACTTACGTGGTCGTGCAAAGCTGTGCATCAGGGGATCCGCCCCTCTTATCCTCTATTTCGCTTCACCCTGCATCCTCGAGACACCTCGCTTGTCCGGGGCAGGCTGCATGTCAGCCACGAGTGGGCCGAGAGCCCGTAGGAAGGGTGACTCCTACCGGGTACCCAGCACGTATGCGCGGGTTAAATATCGGCGGTTGACCCCCCAGGCGCATGCAAGCCTGCCCCACCGTTAACCATTTTCCTTCATCCCATAGCCCTGAAATGATCAGTTCTGGTCCAAAGGGTTCTTATCCAAACAACCAAACTGTGCACCAGGGATGTGGCCAGGACTTTCTTAAGGGCTGGAACTGTTACCTAGAACTCACTTTAGAGAAACCGGAGATGATCGAATTTTGACATTTTGCAATGCGTTTGCCGCGTGACAACGGACCCCATCGTATTGTCCAAGATAATGCGTACTCTGATTTTTAACTTTCCATTTGGAGGTATTAAATCTAAATATGCTGGCTTATGAGGGTGATGATTAGGCCACGCCCCTCACGCCCCCCCCCCCCCCCCCTCTACCTTCAGTATACCGGCAGTTACTGGCTAAAAAAGACCTGCTTTCAATTAATCAGTCAGCAATTAAATAATCAATATGAATCTAACAATCAAAAGAATGCGTTGTGAGAGTGTTCGACATTTTAATAGGTAAGACAGTAGTAATAAGTGCTTAAGTTTGACACCTCATTTCTTGAAGCGAAACCGGGAGAATTCACGTATGCTACTGTTTTGGGTAAGGCATGCTGCCGAAATATGAACCCATCTATATTTCCATTCACCTGTTTTTCTCCGAGGAATAAGGCTTTTCCGTGTGTGTTATCTACGCGAATAATGCTCTTCAGAAATGCACTTAACAACTTACGTAATGTTCGCCATTTTAAGGCGGTGCTAGCCGTTATCTATAAAGACGCAAATCTCAGGAATAGAAAAGCACCCCTCTGAATCCCTGCCCCTGGCCAAAGTAAGCAAGTCGTGTTTGAACGATATCTTGCGTTTTCCAAAGTAACTTCTTTCCGCCTAAAAAGCCTGAAATCGACATTGCAAGTGTCTCGAGCGTATTTTGATGAGTTTTGATGGGTTGGAGCTGACCTGTGACGTCACCACGCTCATTGCCGGTGTCAGCGTGGTTTTAAACGGATGAAAAATGCAGGGTTATCGAATGGTGTGTACATTTTTGGAATCTTGCGATTAGATCCCGAGATAACAGGGGGCTAGTTTAAGCCACTGAAGATTTCCGGCAGGTAATTTCTTGTGTGGCGCTGGGTCGACACGAATCAGCCGCAGAAGGACAAAAGGTGACATGTTCATGACAACATCTGTATCCGGCGACAACTTGAATTCACATGATCTGTTGTTAGATAGAAAACGGCGTTTGTGGTGTCAACCGCCAACAGCATCACGTGCTCCCTGAGCCTGCTCCTGAGGGCCCGGCACGCTGTGGTCTTCCCATTGGCCTTCTGAACCACGCAGACCGCAGAGCATGCATCAGCACGCGTCTGGTTAAACCGTTCAATTCTACACTCGCACGATCTATGCTGAACCGATGTATACGGAGCAAAAGACCTGCTAGAAACCCTACACCGGCTTGAGGAAGGGCCACGTGGGCAATTCGTTCATCCTGCTCTACAACCCGCTCTTCTCTGGTGTGTCCAAGGACTTCTTTGACTCTGAGAAGGAAAGCTACTGACAAGCCGCGCTGAAGTCCGTGGTGGAGACAGCGCTGGAGCAGGAACAATGCTTGTCACTAAGACGGTGCTGCCGGAGCTGGGCGTCGCCTTGGCGGCAGCGACGAGACTGCGGACTGGATGAGGAGGCCCTGTCCGTGGAGTTCGTAGTTGAGAAGCAGACCAGAATGCCAAACGACACGATTATTCTCGACGCGGACCTGTAGCGGCCCATGGGCAACAATCTGATACGGCAGATCAGCGGCTACACAAACCGCTGAAGGAGCAAGCACATCGCCCATTTTTAAGAGCACCCAGTCGCTGAGGGAAGCCAGCAATGGGCCATCCTTCGGGTCTTTCAACAAGGCGGCGGAGCTGAAGAGAGAGAATATTAAATGAAACAAGATGCAGGAGGCGAAGTTCAATGAATATGCCTTGAGGAAGCAGGAGGTGGCTTGGACCCAGGAGAGGAAGATAACGATCTTTCGGCGGTGTTGCAGCAAGCGTGTGGTTTATTTACCAACGCAGGAGAAATGGAAAGTAGGGAGTTCGTGATGCTGGTGGTGGGGCAGCACGGAAGCCATCCTGTACTCAATGGCATGATGTGTAGGCAGCTGCTGGAAATGCATGCGGCTGTTAATAGGTTCACTTGTTTCCTTATGCCGCTGTTGTTGGGTTGCTTGGCAGCACCTGAGGCCTTTCCCCTGTTTGACCGCTTGAGGGTTAACAGCATCCCTCCTGATTTTAAAAGCCAACCGACAGTGAAAATATCAAACCCATTCGTTGCCTCGGCTTTTGTCACCAGTAAAACACTAGGCTGGCTCTGGTCATGTGTGTGATAGCGTCACAGGTCAGAACATCTAGAGCCTAAGTCCAGAACGGAATCAATGACAAATAATGTGGATTCAAGTTGCCGGAAATAGATAACTCCGGAAGCGTGTCACATTGTTTCCTTCCGCGGTTGATTCTTGTCAACTTGGCAGCATGTGAAATATTGCCCAGCGCGACCGAGTGGGTGATGTACAGTGTTCTGTCATCTCAGCGTCTAATCGTCAGATTCCGAAAATTCAAACACCGTTCGATATGATCCAGCCTTTGGCACTCGTTCACGCTACGTTGGCACCGGCCACAAACTTGATGGCATCAAAGTTAGGTGAAATTGAACAATGCTCATCAAGATATGCTGTAGACCGTCATATAACAAGCGGCAGAACGTAGTTTTTTTAAGGTGGGAGGGATGCTTGTGGAAAACGTTATGCATTGCTCATTAAAATACCGCTTATTTTGGCCGAAGGAAAGGGTTTACGGTGTCACTTTTCAATTTTTGATGTATGTTGGTAGGTATAGGCTAGCAATACTGAGCCCCTCGAGCTACTCATTATGCTGAGAGCTACTCAAAATGCATGCACGGGGGCGGAAGGGATAAAACATGTATTGATTTCATGCGCGCATTCCGGAGCCCTAACAGCACACAAGCACAAGCTTTTTGGCGTCAACCGATGACACGCGCTTTGGGGCTTAAGTTGGCAACGAAATCAATCAAGTTTTGGTGAGACGGGTTTGCACTGAACTGAAATAAAGGACGAAGTGGGAGAGTTAAGTGAAATAGAGCGGCAGATGGCATCATGAAAGTCAACTATGCTACCTCTGAGGACCTATCAAAATCCATCCGGGAGAGGGTGCAGAATGTCGCCACCGGTTATACAAACCCGAATGGAATATTCTCAAACGTGGTGCTGAACTAGCTCCCCAGAAAGTGGCCAATCTTCAAAAGCCATTAAAAAGCAGTGGATGGCGTTTGCCATTTGACTGAAAACGAAGACGAGAGCCAATTCTGTGTTTCTGAACCTCATCTTGCCCAGAGACAAGACCCACCTCTTACTGCATTGGACATTTCATGGATAAGGGCAAGGCCCAGAACTGCCGGATTTTGGCCTCGGAGCTGTCAGACACCGTGCTAGCGGGGCTCGCTGTATAGCCAAAATGACCATGCAGCGTCACAGTAAACAACGAGCGGTGCGTCGACATGGTGAAGTGCTTCTTGGGGCGGCTGGAGCGCGACCCTGATGGCAAGAGGGAGGCATCTGATGCCAGCCTGACCGGGGCGATCAATCGCACATCAAGGGTGGCCCGCATCTGGCTGCAGGAGCACTTCGTCGAGCGCATTGTCAGCGGCAGCAGAGACAGCTGATAAACGGGCTGTTCTCCCGATGGGGTCCTTTACATTTTTTTTCTCTGTACGAGATTTCTCGAATTCCGAGTCTGTGAGAAGAGACCCCGGAGCTTCGGTGACTGAAATAGCCCTCGGATCTTCGGTAGCTGGAAGAGCCATCAGAACTTCGGTGGCTGGAAGAGCCATCAGAACTTCGGTGGCTGGAAGAGCCCTCAGAGCTTCGGTGGCTGGAAGAGTGCCTCAGAGCTTCGGTGGCCAGGTGGCGCGCAAAATTGTACGCGACGTGTGCTCAGAGGTTATGGTGAAGTGATAGGCGCGCAGTCCTCCTCTCACGAAAAAGGTGGTCATCGGCAGCACGAGTGCCCGAAGTGATGGCATGGTATGGATGGTGCTTGACACAAATTGCCATGGTTCGCTGAATCTTTGGCATCCGTACGCTTGTTAGCGTCATTTTTATTCTCGTCGAAGTGAAATCAGAACACGATTTTTACACTCTGTACAAGCTTAATTGAGTGTCAGACGCCAAACGGCATAAATGCCCTCGGCGTCAGCGCACGTTTGAAAATTGCGCTGCCAGTGTGCACAGCTAACACCCCCATACATAAGAGCTGGCGCGTAAAGTCGAGATGTCGATGAGTGGGGATGAGAGATGAGATGAGTGATAATGTTGATGTCGAGAGTATTTTTTTTTTTTAATGATGGTACCTACAGTTCTCCGCGCCTGGAAAACCAGACGTACAGGGTTTGATTCCTCTTGGTGTCCGCCCTTCGTGTCAGGGTGACATTGTTGGCCGAGGCGGGTATACCTGTTTGTTCTGGCACACTTTCTCGCGGCCTTGGCACCGTCCGTGGGTCTCAGTTGAGCGCTCGGCCTCGGCTTTGGGTTACGCTTGGTGGTTCCCCGCCGTCAGCGGGCATGGCGGTACTGTGAGCAAACCAGTCACCATTGTCGCGCCGTGTGGAGCTGTAGACTGCGCTTTCGTGTTGGTGCGGGTAAAGAATTCTCAATCCTAAAAGATTTTCTCCTAAAGAGACCGTCTACACGCTAATTCTTACCATGGCATTAGGCTTTCATATTTCATAACGAGAACTAGACTGAGCTAGTTCGTTAACGCATCTTCGTTTCTGACAGAACCTTCCGAGCAAACCATTGGAATCGCGGCCCACTTCCCTCAACTATCTACCATGGACCAGAAGCCGAACCTGAGGACGGATGCGGCGTACAAGAAGCTGGAGGCGCTGTTCAACAGCGGTGGCAAGTCGCTGAACATGAATGATATGTTCAAGGCCGACAGCCAACGGTTCAGCAAGTTCAGGTAAGGTTCCGCTCTCACTGTCCTCGTGTGCTGCAAGCTCTGTAGCAAGAGGAGCGACAGTTATTCCTGCTTTCGCTAGAGTAGTGTCGTGCATGTTGATGTCAGCTAACCTTGCGGATGCTGTGGCGATGCGCTAGTGGCGTTGGTTTTATACCAAATAGGGCTGTTCTACTGGTTGTAGGTTTTTGTGACTTCCTGTTAGTTCTTCGATGCTGGTTAGTTTGCGGTTAATTACCTTGCCTGCAAACTTAAGCTTTGCTCAGTGCAGACATGAATTTGAACTCGCTTAGTAGCTGCTGGTACAATAGACTATTGGAGCTTGACTTCTAGTAGCTTCTGGCCCCTCCACTATCGATGTATTTTAGTTATTTGAAGTTAGGTAGTTTTCAGTTACGTTTTTGTTCGCGCGACTTTTTTTGCTTTCTTTGCGTTTATGACAAAAAAAACGAAACCTTTGACCAGCGCATATAGTGGCCTGATCGGTTGCGTGTGTCATCTCAGTTGTGATGGTGGTACCTTCACGCTGAATTTGTTCATCGAGCAGTGCTTTTTGCTTGCTTCTGCTCAGGCTCCATCTTCATGTAGGCCAGACATTGCTTGCAGCAGGCCAGTCGCTGCGTGATACGAATGTTTAAAATGGGGTGGGCTGAATCGTACCCCATAGCCTGACACTTGAGGTCGTTGCGTGGCGCTGTCGGCTGGAGCTGCAGGTGTGCTGTGTCGGCTTACGTGCCTAGGCAGCTGTGAGCCGTTGTTGCGGCGGGCAGCGCCGACCGGGCTCCTTCGGCGAGTGCGAAGGTCGCGCCCGCAGCCGTGTGCAGTGCGTTCTTGGCCGTGTCCTAAGATAGGGTTGCACGACGTTGGAGTGGGACAGTTCAACTGTTGTACTTGCAAAGCCAGGACTAGATCAACACGTCCCGACTACACGACGCGGAGACTGGCCGGAGTACGCGTCACCCTGCTTCAACTAACATACTGGAGACCTTGCAAATGGAAGTGACCGGCTGCAGCGCTGGATGGGAAGCGGAAATACGTCCTCTGAGGCCGTGATTTCCCAGCCAATGCGGCAGTCTTGTAATGTTGGGCCCCGGGACTTACCTGACTTCCCTGGCATAGTGCCGCGGCCAGTTTACCCCAGCGTGTCGGGTCTGCAGTTTTGGAGGGCTTTCAGGCTGCTTCCAGTGTTTGTCAGACAGATAGGTGTTCAGAGCAACTGCGTTCTAAGTCGTCGATCCGTGGTGGGATCTGTTCTGCTCGCTATTTGTCTCTGGCTGGGGTGACCGACCGGGATTGCCTGCGGCCGATGATGGCGGCCGCGCTAAAAGTCACGTGGCGCCAGAGGGTAAGACGGAATAGGCCGAGCAATGCGGCACTCTAAGCTTTCGCCCCAAATTATAGCGTTGACTCGGGATTTCATGATCGTATGATGGGATCAGTGGTCGGACGGTGGATGGATCAGTCGATACTCACGCAACAAGCGCTGTTTGGCTTGGTTGTCGCAAAAATGCATCTAGTTCAAAAGGTGCGTACAAAATTGTTCGTGCAATTAAAAAGACTCCTCAACCGCGTCGTGGACAAAAGGCAGCGGCGCGTGAGCGCACCGACCGGGGCACCGTCACGCCGTCGGCGATGCCCCGGTCGAGACGGTGGCCCGCTCCCCAGCCGCGGCCGGATGTCGGCAGCGCTCCGGTCGAGACGCTGGCCCGCTCCCGCTTCCCGGCCGCGGCCGGGACATCGGCGCGCCGTCGGCGATGCCCCGGTCGAGACGCTGGCCCGCTCCCCAGCCGCGGCCGGATGTCGGCAGCGCTCCGGTCGAGACGCTGGCCCGCTCCCGCTTCTCGGCCGCGGCCGGGACATCGGCGCGCCGTCGGCGATGCTCCGGTCGAGACGCTGGCCCGCTCCCCAGCCGCGGCCGGATGTGACCGGGTGGGGTTTGCGGCCGGCCTGTACAGGAAAGGCGCCGATAGCGTTGCGGCCGGCCGGCTCGTACCGCCGGGCGACCGCGGGCCGGGGTGACCTTGCCGGCCGTGCGCAGGGATCACGCCGCGGACGCGCTCCTGCCGGTCGGGTAATGCCTGCTCTGACCGATGGCGGCGGCGGCGGCGGCGCACGAGCACGCGATTGTGCCGCCGAGGCGTACGGCTGACGTTCGGCTCGGCTTCTGGGTAATCAGGCTATGACGCACTCGTAAGCCTGGATCAGCTGGAGCCGGGGTCGTGAATTTCCATCCCTGATGGAATTGGGCTTTATGTCGAGCATACGAAAAAGGACATTGGCAATCTGTTAATATGTGACGTCGCTTTCGGTGATTTGTGGCTCTTCTGCTGCTGTGGATCTCTGTTCTTGATGCATGCTGCAGTATTGTGATGCTGCCAGACACCGGCACAACAACAATAGCCTGGCGAAAATGTCGGGAAAGATGACTCCCTCCACCCAAATACCCCACCCCGGTGCCGTCCGCCTCCAGCCTGCTTTTCCTGTAAGGTTTGTGGCCAGCGTTCTGGGGCCCGTGGCCCGTTCAGATCTGCCATCGGCGGACCTCCCCGACCGGCCTGCTGGGCCCCGTCTACTTTCGCCGCCGGCCAGCCGGCCGTGACCGGCCGCCGGCACGCTGGCGCCAGCGGCGGCCCGGCTCCGTTCTCCCCGCCGCGTCTGGCGGCTGCTGGCGGTCTTGTCGGCGTGCGATCTGCCCTGCGCGTGCACAGAGCCTCGCCCGGTGCCGTGTTGGAAGGAAGCCGGCAGGGTTTAGCCGAGATAGCCACTGCGTGGTGATACCCATGTGGCCCAAACCCGGACAACGTAGCAGAATTTCAACAGTTCAACATCGCAACGGCGTAGCTCTAGTCGGGCGGGACGTGTCGTGTCTGACGTCGTGTGACGTAACATGAAATTGGACTGCCTTTAGCGGTCATGACGAAACAGTCGGCCACCGTCGAAAACAGCGAGCCGACGTTGCCTGGGGCAATGGACAGACACTGGATCTGGGCCTTTTGCGCGGAGACTGGAGCCATCTCGGATCCAGCCGGAGACGAGCCGTGCTCGGATCCAGACGGAGTTGAGCCCGTCAGATATCAGCTGATGGGTGGGACTGGGCTGGACCGGACCGGACCGGACCGGACCGGACCGGACCGGACCGGACCGGACCGGACCGGACTGGACTGGACTGGACTGGACTGGACTGGACTGGACTGGACTGGACTGGACTGGATTGGACTGGACTAGAGTCGTTCTCGGATCCAGTCGGAGTTAAAGCCGTCAGTTAGTCAGCTGATGGGTGGGACCGGACTGGACTTTGGACTGGACTAAAGCCGTTCTCGGATCCAGCCGGAGTTAAAGCCGTCAGTTATCAGCTGATGGGTGGGACTGGACTGGACTAGACTGGGGCCTTTCTCGGATCCGGACGGAGTTAAGCTCAGTGGGATATCAGCTGATGGGCGGGCTGGATGGCGGCAGGATCCAGCTGGAGGTGGACGAACCCTGACGGGCTCCCACTTAGCCGCGCCCGGCCGCCACTGTCAGCAGGTGGCGCCGTCCCGCGGAAAGGGACTCCCATCCGCCTTTGGCAACCGTGGACAGCTGACTCGCCTGCGGGCGGATGAGTGGGGCACTCTGCGATGCGGAGCTGGAGAGGTCAGATGGAGTGCCGCTGCATCTGGCAGTGACGTGGGTGGGGCCGGTACAGTTTTGGGATAGAAAGCAAGCATGGACACCGCCCGCACAGGGGCTGTAGGAGGGAGAGGGGGAGGGAGAATGCGATGTAGAGAGGCCGGCGGAGGCATGCGTGGTCAGCTGACTCACCTGTGCGACGGCGCGGGCTTTCCTGGTGTTGCGAGATTCCGGGGCGCGCTGCACTCACCGTCGCAGACCGGACCGGACAGCGGTCCCCTGGCGGGTCTGCACACAGAGCCCTGACTGCTGACGCGTCGGACCGGGCAGCGTGGCTCGGCATACCTTACGGCCCACGGACGCGGCACCAGCGGCATACTTTATGGCCCACGGACGCAGCGCCGGTGCTCCATTGTGCGGGCAGGCAGCGGGGGCCTAACCGCCGCTCGGTGTACCCGGGGGCGTTGCCAGCACAATTTATGGTGGCATCTCAGGCACCTCCCCGGGGGCTGTCAAGTTCACAGCAAATAAGTTTCCATTGGCAGTGTATGTCGTGCCAGTGTTGCGCGCCTGACAATTGTAAGCTGGTACCACTGTGATCCAGGTTTCATGTTCATTGCACGGCATATTTGTGCTTTGTGCTGTTGTTTTATGGAGAGAGCGAGAGAGAGAGAAACAAAGGGAGAGGAAGAGAGAGCGCGCGAGAGCGAGAGAGAGAGGGAGGGAGAGAGCACGAGAGAGAGGAGAGAGAGAGAGGAAGAGAGAGCGCGCGAGAGAGAGAGAGGAGAGAGAGAGAGAGGAGAGAGAGAGAGAGGAGAGAGAGAGGAGAGAGAGAGAGAGAGAGAGAGAGAGGCGAGAGCGAGAGAGAGAGAGAGAGAGAGAGAGAGAGAGAGAGAGAGAGAGAGAGAGAGAGAGAGAGAGAGAGAGAGAGAGAGAGAGAGAGACGAGTTGGTCCAGTATTCATGATAAAACAGATAACAAATGCAAATGTAAATGTACATTGGTTGTAAATGTAAATGTAATGTGCATAAATGTGGCTTAGCGTTAATGCCCACCAGCTCGAGCGCGCATCTATGCTTATAGACCGTTCAGATAAACTTAGGCATGGAAGTTGGCAACGCTGCCAAGTGTGCTCGGTCCTGGTCAGCGGCCTGTTCACGCATCGCTGGCGATTGCAGCGTGGTGCTTCCTACACCCGCCGCCGGTGACATTCTGCTGGACTTCTCCAAGAACCGGATCAACGAGGAGATACTCGCCGCCCTGTTCGACTTGGTGAGTCGCCAGTGTCCACGGCGTTGAGTCTGTTGTTGCGTCACGTGTCCGCGGTCCGAACGACCGCCCCTGATGCGGTCGTGCCTGATGAGCGGGATGCTGAGCGGTCGTTCGGACTGCTGTTTGGCGAGGCGGCACACTGCCCAATGCTGCCTGTGGTCAGCGGGAGCCAGCACGGCTCGGCCACGGACTGAACCGTGCTCCGGTCTGGGCTGGTATAGCCTGGCGGGGCGTGTTCGTGACCATGGCTCGGTCACGGTCTGAACCGTGCTCCGGTCTGGGCTGGTGTAGCCTGGCGGGGCGTGTTCGTGTCCATGGCTCGGTCACGGTCTGAACCGTGCTCCGGTCTGGGCTGGTACAGCCTGGCGGTCGTGTTCATGTCCATGGCTTGTCTGCCATTCATCAGTTTGTTATAATGAAATTGAATATTCTGGTCCTTGGCCTTGGCGGTGTCCTGCTACTTGGCGGAGCGCAGTGTGCCTCTGCACCCTGCACCCTCCTGCCGTCCTTCACCTGACACCAAGTCTGGCGTGCCCCTGCACCCTGCACCTTCCTCCTGTCTTTCATCTGACATGGAGCGCTGGCTCTCGCCCGCGCCACATTGAGGGGTGGGCCGGAACGTTCCCATGTTATCTTGACGCAGCGTCGACCTGACGCCATCTGGACCTGGCGCCATTCTAGTCTGGTACGGTGTGAGCCTACCACCACGCCCATCTCACGCCATTTAACGCGATCCCTTGCTGACCTGACACCGTCCGGTCTTGGCACAGCGCGGGCCCGACCTGACCTGACCTGGCGCCGTGCCGCCTCGTCCTCGCACCGACTCGCCCTGCCGAGCTGACCTGACCCGACCTGACCTGACGGGACCCGTCGCCAGGCGCGCGCCCGCCACGTGGAGGCGGCGCGCGACGCCATGTTCGCCGGCGAGAGGATCAACTTCACCGAGGACCGGGCCGTGCTGCACACGGCCCTGCGAAACCGCAGCGGCCGGCCGGTGACGGTCGACGGCGAGGACGTCATGCCCGCCGTCAACGCCGTGCTGGCGCACATGAAGGAGTTCTGCGGCGAGGTGGGGCGCCAGCGCTGGCCGGCGGCAGGCCGTTTGGCCGACGGGGGGGGGGGGGGGGCGGGGATTGACCGCGCCCCGGAGCCTGGCGGGCGAAAGTGTGTGGTCTGCAAGCAGCGGCTGTGAGCAGGAGTGAGTAGGGGTGAACAGGAGTGAGCAGGGGTGAGCTGGCGTCGCGGAGACGTGTTTACACTTAAAGATAAGGTGTGTGGGTGTCCGTGTACGCGCGTGCATGTGTGCATGTGTGCTATTCGTGTGCGCGCGCGCGCGTGCGTGCGTGCGTTCGTGCGTTCGTTGGTTCGTTCGTTGGGTCGTTCGTTGGTTCGTTCGTTGGTTTGTTCGTTCGTCTATTTGTTTGTTTGTTTGTTTGTTCGTCGGTTTCCTGCCGTATGTGGTGGTTTATTTGTATTCATGATGCGACGAATGATGCATTGTGCGAACCTTTTGGATCCCCGTTACATATGCCAACCTCAGCAGTCTCATAAGCGGACGGAAATGGAAGTATGTTTGTTGATAACGGTGTTCCGGCCCTACAGATCCTACTGATCTCAACGATCTGATTAAGTTATCCGGTGATTGTGCTAAGCCTACCATGCAGTCACGTTGGGAGTTTGACTGCTATTAGTTTACTCGGTATGTTAACCCTTTGCTGTCTGCCTCTCGCTGTTACTCTTTTATTCATTCAGAACTTGATTTCATTTCGCGGGACGAATAGTACGGATTCGTGGGATACCGTCTCCAATCCGTGGCGCAAGTTTCTTTAACACTCTGCACAGCCCATCTCGCCAACCTAGCAGCCGGTTGATGGAATGGACGGTCAGTGCAATGGACGGCCAACATGCGTGTTGTTCAGGCCCATGTGGCGTGTTAGCCGATCATCGCAGGGGAGCGGTGCTCGCCGAATGTGAGGCGTCACCGCCTGTGCGTGCGATCCTGCCGATGGGCTCCGTCCATGCGCGCAGGTCATCTCGGGCAGCTGGAAGGGCTACACGGGCAAGGCGATCACCGATGTGGTCAACATCGGCATCGGTGGCTCGGACCTGGGCCCGCTGATGGTGACGGAGGCCCTGAAGCCGTACCAAGCCGGCCCCAACGTCCACTTCGTCTCCAACATCGACGGCACGCACCTGGCCAAGACGCTCAAGGCGCTGAACGCCGAAACGACGCTGTTCATCGTCGCCTCGAAGACGTTCACCACGCAGGAGACCATCACCAACTCGACGTCGGCGAAGGAGTGGTTCCTGTCGCAGGCCGGCGATGTGAGTTCGCACCCGCCGGCCGGGCGGTGTGCGCGCGTGCGCAGGCGCGTTAAGATGCTGCTCTGCTGTGGCACTCACCAGACTAGCTGCAGACCCGCTGTGAAGGCAGGGGGGTGGGGGGGGGGGGGGGGCAGGCTTGAGACACTGTAAGCTGTGCTATACTGGAATGATCGTCACCTGACCTGAGCGTCTGGCTATAAGCATTTATTTACATGCGAATCGAAGTGAGCAGCCCGCTGGAGCGGTCTGTTCGACTTCCGTTGCGCTATTGCCTGCCTGCTTCGCGTGTGTTGCAGTAACCTTCTCCCAGCTCCGCATGTGTTGCAGTAGCCTTCTCCCAGCTCTGCATGTGTTGCAGTAGCCTTGTCCCAGCTCAACATGTGTTTAAGTAACCTACGGTTACCGCTATCACTGGCCGCTGGAATACTCCGCGCCGCGACGGCCCCCGTAGCGCTGCACGTGTCCAGCTGTGACAGCGGCCGCGCCGTCTCCCCGGCAGCCGGCGATGGTGGCCAAGCACTTCGTGGCGCTCTCCACGAACGCGACCAAGGTGAAGGAGTTCGGCATCGACGAGCGCAACATGTTCGGCTTCTGGGACTGGGTCGGCGGCCGCTACTCGCTCTGGTCGGCCATCGGACTCTCGATCGCCCTCCACGTGGGCTTCGAGAACTTCGAGCGCCTTCTGGAGGGCGCCCACTTCATGGACAATCACTTCCGCACGGCGCCGCTGGAGAAGAACGTGAGTCCGCCGTCGGGGAGGCGGACGACTCCGCCGGTGGCAGAACCATTTGCCGCTTGGGTGGCGGGGATTGTTCCGGGTGGATATTTTTTTTTTGTTATATTTTGATCAGAAATAAGGACAGTGCGTGCCCTGTGGTAGCATTGCAGCTAACAAGGCATGTACACGTTGAGAGAAAACAGGCGGAGCGGGCGTACAGTCGGAGCCAGTATTCGAGATCCTGTTCGAGCTGAACGCTATCCGTTGCTTCTAAATAATGATGCTCCTGATTTGAAAATTGGCGGCCTGGGACGCAGCACTCACCGGACGTGATGCAGTGAATTGTAACCAGGTGTACACTGGACACCGCCAGGTGGGCCGCAATCCTGACGCACCACAGTGGGTCAGGACTCTGGGAAGCGCTATTTGTGCTGGTGGCTGGGTTGATGGCCGATGGTATGATTCGACATGATAGCCGCTTCGTTGGTTCAGGCCGGCCAGTGCCCATGCTAACGCAGGTGGGATGTCTGGCCTTCCCTATCAGCCCTGGCCGATAAGGCGCTGCAACTGGGGAGCGCTCTCCTCGCTCCATCGTTAGGCTGGCGTTCAGCGGGCCAGCGTTCGGCCAGTGGTTCAGGGGCACGGTCTGCCATCAAATAAACTCGTTTGCGCGGTGATCAAGACTGATCGGCGATCAGTCTTGATCATTGGAGGGAAACGTATGACTCAATGGAGGTCATGCCTACAGGTTGGAGGCATGTGCTTATTTGCTGTTTGCAGTTTTTGCGTATTACAAACCGTATCTGCCTAAAGAAGCCGTCGAGGTGGTGCGTCAAAGCCACTTCTTGATGGTTTGATATGACAGTGTGATACCCTGTGCTATAACGTACGGCTAATAGCGCGTTGAGAAGGACCAGTACGCATAATGCGCGTTGAAAGCCTTAGGCATCAGATGACGTTGAGATGAGCTGCGCCGCGAACCTGAGATGGGCTGATGGACTGCGGACTCGGCACGGCGCCGGTCCTCGCACGTCGAGCTGCGCCCGATGACCTCTGGGTCACGCGCCAGGCCCGGGTCCTGCCAGCGGTGGTGGTGTGGGAGCTCGCGCGTGGCCGGCCGCGGCGCCCCGCCTCGCTGACGCCGCGCCCGCGCCCGACAGTTGCCCGTCATTCTGGCCGTGCTGGGCGTGTGGTACAACAACCTGTTCGGCGCCGAGACGCACGCCCTGCTACCATACGACCAGTACATGCACCGCTTCGCCGCCTACTTCCAGCAGGGCGACATGGAGTCCAACGGAAAGTGAGTGGGCGCGCGGTCGCGGCTGCGGGCGGCCAGTGGAAACGCCCGGGGCTGCGCCGCCGCACTGTGCACACACAGCTCGGCGCGGTTGGGGCTGTGTCCCGCGGCGCCGGCGACCTCGGACGCAGTCTGATCCCGGCCCTCTGGCCGTCGTCCCCGCCGCCCTGTCGGTGGGTGCCACGCCGTGCTCGGGTCGCGTCGGTGAGCTGCCGTGCGACGAACGGTCGGGAGCGCGCGCTGTCACCGGCCGCGCGGTGCTGTTGCAGGTACGTGACGCGGAGTGGCGACACCGTCGACTACGCGACCGGTCCGATCGTGTGGGGCGAGCCGGGCACCAACGGCCAGCACGCCTTCTACCAGCTGATCCACCAGGGCACGCGCCTCATCCCGGCTGACTTCATCGCGTCCATACAGACGCACAACCCGATCAGCAACGGCAAGCACCACAGGTGAGGAGACGCGATGCGGCGAACGGCACGGGGGGGGGGGGGGAGGGGACGTCACTAAGGGGGGAGGCGGCGCGAGTGTAGCACGGACACATGGAGCGGGTGTGACACATACACGATTAAGTAACTAAGCAAAGCTCTCACTGTCTCTCTGAACCACCATCCAACGCAGCGGTCCCTGACAATTGTCGTCAGCACAAGCCAAGCGACCCTGCACTGTGATTCAGCACGGCCCCCGACTCACGCCCGCGTCAGCAACGTGCCCACCACGGCCCCGTCGCCGCCGGCAGGATCCTGCTGGCCAATTTCGTGGCGCAGACGGAGGCGCTGCTGCGCGGCAAGTCTGAGGAGGCGGCACGCGCCGAGCTGGAGGCGTCTGGCACGCCGCCCGACCAGCTGCAGCGTATCCTGCCGCACAAGGTGTTCGAGGGCAACCGGCCCACCAACAGCATCGTGCTGCACAAGGTGTCGCCGTTCACTCTGGGCGCGCTGATCGGTGAGCTTCGACGGCCGGCGGACTGGCGCATCGAGCGCCCGTCTGTCCGTGCTTGTATGTCTGTCTGTCGGCGTGCCTGTAAGCGTGTCTCGTCGTTTGTTTGCCTGTCTCTGTTCGCTGGCCTCAGCTCGGTCCGTTTATGCGTCATTTTACGTTCGCCTTCAGTGGGTGGAACGGTATGCTGGTTTGTGCAGTCGGTAACGTGCACGCAGCAGTGCACGATGTGTGTTCAGCGGGCAATGTGTGCACGGTGTGTGTTCAGCGGGCAATGTGTGCACGGTGTGTGTTCAGCGGGCAATGTGTGCACGGTGTGTGTTCAGCGGGCAATGTGTGCACGGTGTGTGTTCAGCGGGCAATGTGTGCACGGTGTGTGTTCAGCGGGCAATGTGTGCACGGTGTGTGTTCAGCGGGCAATGTGTGCACGGTGTGTGTTCAGCGGGCAATGTGTGCACGGTGTGTGTTCAGCGGGCAATGTGTGCACGGTGTGTGTTCAGCGGGCAATGTGTGCACGGTGTGTGTTCAGCGGGCAATGTGTGCACGGTACACGCAGCAAGCTTGGCCTGGGGAAGTGCTCGGAACCCAAATCACCCATGCAAACCAAGCGGAATAAACTGTAAAGGTGTGTCGGCCGGCCCGCCGTCTGGTCAGTCGGGTGCCCGCCCACCCGGTCTGTTCTGGTGGCTGCCCACCCGCTCTGTCACCCACCGGCTCGAGGGTGTGGAGATAGCCGATTGCCGCATCGGTGACGTGTGTTGAGCTCAGCTGGCTGCCGGCCGCACCGCCAGCGCGCCGCGCCCACCGCAGCCGTCCGCCCCGCTCTAACGTGCCCCCCACCCCCGCCTGCCGACAGTGATGTACGAGCACAAGATATTCACCCAGGGCGTGATCTGGGACATCAACTCCTTCGACCAGTGGGGCGTCGAGCTGGGCAAGCAGCTGGCCAAGGCCGTGGAGCCTGAGTTGGCAGACAGAACGCCCGTCAGCGGACACGACAACAGCACAAACGGCATCATCAACTTCATCAAGGCCAGCATGTAGGCGCGTCCCCGACTGTCGGTTCTTGCCGGCGTGTCCGTCGTAGCTGTGGTGCAGGGTAGCAGTCGTCTGTAGGTCGTGATCGCTCTCTCCCTTACACGATGGCTGCGACACGTTTCCGCCATTGGTGACGGTCTGTCGTCCGCGTCGGAGCGGAATGAAGAGTTATGTTTAAGGATCGTTGTTTTTTACGAAGAAATTTACGTCGCGTTTTCAGTGAACAAAATGTTTGTTGCGAGCTTTCAAATCTGCTGCGATTTGGTCTGCGTGATCCCTGGGGACAGACCACGGTTATCCCCCGTGACACCTTCCAAAACTGGCGGTCAACGTCTCGTCCGCAGCGCGGTCGCGTGTCGCGCGCGGTTACGGTGCTCCTTTGCTGTTTTGCTGCGTCGCTGCCACTGCGATTCGGAGTCATTTCAATACATATCGGGCCAGCCCACGCGCGACTCCGCGGTCTGCTCGTTCCGCCGGGCTCCGGTCGTGCTGCTCGTCAGCCCGTCTAGGGCTGGCCGTAGACCATCGGAGCTGTGGGGGCGTGCGGTGCCGCGAGCTCCTCCGTCTAAAGGGCGCCGGCGAGGCTCCGTATAAGATAGGATAAGTCTTGGCCCTTATTACGCGTGAACCTTGAGTTCAATTTAAAGACAGTCACCGAACTAGGGGGTCGTTCTCACGGCGCAGGTGTGGAGAACCAGATCCGGCAACAGATCTTATTACCTGGTGATTCAGAACTTGTGGGGTATGAATAAAATGGGAGTTGTAAAGGTTGTATAAAGGCCATTCAGGATGGCTTCACATCACGGCGATCACAATGCCACACGATGTGAAATCGTGAAGCCGCGGGCCCATCGGTGAAGCCTGCAAATTATTTGTTTTTGAATTATTTGTCGGCTTATATCGGCTGCCATGTCATGAATGAAAATTTTGTCCTCACTCGTGGGGTAGTATGTAGTTATTCGAAATCTAGATCTAACGAGGTAGTGTTTCCCAAACACCAGTAGATTTGAACTATGTTTTTGGCTTCATGGAATTCAGCCAAATTTTATAACATCTGAGGATTTCTTACAGTGTCTATTTTCTGCGATCCTCAAATAATTCATCCCTGGCAACCCATTGACAGGCCAGCAAGAGGCTCTTTTGAAGATATGCATCTGGTGCCGCAAGAGCGCGTGATATGAAATGCTCATGTGAGGTAACTATATATATATATATATATATATATATATATATATATATATATATATAACTGACTGGGCCAATGACGGGAACAGCGCCACCCCAGCGGCCAGGACCAAGCCCTTGCGCCCTCGCGCGCAGTATCCTCGTAAAGCACCAGGCCCTCTGCGTTCATTGTCAATGACATCTGTTCGGCTGGTCTGAACCCGCGCATGCCAGAAAGTTTCAAATATTAACGCACGGGCGCAGCATACCTTTATTCAGTTGAATAATCAACTAGGGTCCAGCTCAGCATTTTTTTTTATTAATTGTATTGGTCTCGGACCACGCTATAAGTAAATGGTCTCACAAAAACCGATTCCAGCACGCGGCCAATGGCCTGTTATTCTCGAGGCACTGGTACGACCATGTTGATTAACAGGGACAAGCGTGGAGCTTAATATTTTACGCCGCTCATTGAAGGCGAATGAAGCACAAGCTGTTACCAAAGCAGGGTTCCACATTCTAAATGTCCGCAGTTATGGCGAATGCAATTACGTCCGTCAGCTTTAAACGCTAAAGACGTAACGTTTTAAGGGAACATGGCAAGTAATGTCACCCACGGCCATTGCGTGGCCTCAGGTGCTTACCGCTGGAAGTGACGTGGTTTGATTTTTTGTTTGACTGTGCTTTCAAGTCGCAGAAAAACCTAAGCAGACAAGCCAAGACCGTGCTTGCCGTCGTTTGGTCGGGCCGAACAGGCCAACCGTCCGGTCACCCCAAATAACCAAATGTAAGGGGCTGCTATTTTGTTGGCGCAACTGCAAACGTCCTGTGCAGCTGTCCCGGGCGCAGCAACATCAACTGTAATGTCTCATCAGGCCTTACTAGTGTCCTCCTCGGACAAAGGTGCGAAGCAACCGTATCCGAGCCCAAACATCGGCTGACAGCTGGGGGGCAACAACGCAGCTCTGTTCCAAGCGTGTGAAGCTTTATTACACCGCTGATTTCAGAGAACGCTTGACAGAAAACGACAGAGCACATCCGGCGTGAGCCTGCACAGGTCAGACTGAGCTGGGCTCAGAGTTCAGCTCAGAGCTCAGCTCAGCCCATGACCGGCTGCTGCTTCAACGAATGTACGGTTACGTCATCCAGCCGCTTCACGCCGTCCTTGTTAACCATCAACACCTGGAATTTGGGCAGGTTCACAATGAGGCGGGTCTGGATCTCAGCCACGCATTTCTTCATGATGTCTAGCGCCTCCTCTTCGGTGGCATCTGGCGGCGAAAATTGCAGCGTTAGTTCAGGACCTGGCCGGCATGGGTCACCTTGACGCATCGACCAAAATTGTTGGAGCCTCCATCAAGAAACAAGGTCAGACCGGACGCCGAAGCTTTCCAAAATCGTATGCGAGTGGCAAACACGGTGCTTGGGCAATATTTAGATGAAGCCAATGGAAACAGGGCTTTGTTCTTCTCTCACAACGCCTATGAAGGACTCATTTCAGACGTCTCGGGGAGTGTACCTGCACCGGAAAATACGGCCAGCTCCACCCAGAGCGCAGTTCACACATCATTAAGTAGCCGAGACTCCCTACAGCTTCACTGAACTGTCATACGCATGCAAGCACCCAGGAAGAATTGCCGACGGGAACTCTTTTTCGTGCCTATGGCGAGTTGGTGAAGGAGACGGTAAATGCACTTATGAGAACTGCAGCTGCATGGTGCGTTCAAGCAACGGTTCACAGACGGCCGACGCTCCCCCCGGGTCGAGCGCCCCGCGCCGAACTGACCGGCCTTGTAGTATCGGTCCATGACGGACAGCGAGAACAGCCCGCCGTATCCGTGCGCGGCGTACGGCAGCTTGGCCATGCTGCCCAGGTAGTCCATGAAGTAGAGCTCGGGGCCGGAGTCGGCGCGGTGGCCGGCCAGCAGCAGGTTGCACTGGTAGGGCGTGCGCGTGCGCAGGTACTCGGCCAGCGTGCGGCGCGTGTAGTGCGCCGCCTCGGCTGGCGAGAGTTCGTACCTGCCGCCGCCGGACGACACCCGGTCACGCCGAGCGGCACCAACTGCGCACACCTCGCGCCGCGCGGGTCGCAACTTCCGGGGCAGAATTTAGTGACACACGTGCCAGCCCAGGTTAAGCGTCTGCCACTGGGGTCCGCTGTGGCCTGTCTTCTCAAATGTGACCAGAAGGGTTCATATTCACCATGAAATGGAGATTTTGTAGAGGTCTTCCATCAGTTTTCCTGCTTATTGTAGGAAGACAGCACCCTGTATCATCCCTATATCCACATCCTATATGCTGTGACAAAAGGTGGATTAGGCACTCCAAGCTAGGCTTTGAGGGTTCCAAACTTACATCTGGACATTTGAACCACATGGTGGCGATGATCAGGGTTTACGGAGCACCAACTGCATCTGTCAAATGACACCAGTATTATTATCAGAGGACACTGTCCTGTTGCAGGGTTTAGGGAGCACCAACTGCATTTGTCAAATGACACTAGTATTATTATCAGAGGGCACTGACCCGTTGCGCATTTTGTAGAGCTGTATGTTTTTGGCGATGTACTCAGCGAACTGGACGGTGTCGCCTGGCTCGCCGCTCACGGCCATCACAAGGTTGTCAGCCAGTTGAAAGGTCTTGTCGTCATCTGACGGAAAAAGATTCGGATCACAGTGTGAACTCTGGATGACATGATGGAAAAAGATGCGGATCACAGCGTGAAATCTGGATAACAGATAACAGATAACAGAATATTTGTGCATTCTACATTGAATATGTTGGAGAAATAGGGATCACCAAAAGGTCATGATGGCAAACATCCTTATCCTGCAATTGGTCAATCATTACACAATAGGCATGTGAAAAACATCAGGCATACAAAGAGTGGTTGCTAAACCACTGTGTGCACCTCTACTGGTGTGAATAAATGAACACTTGTGATTGGCCCAGCAAGGGCCTGTTGGCCTTCAAGCTGGTGGTCACTTGGATTGTGTGATACTTGCATTTCCAAAGCCAAGGTGTGCTTTGGAAAGAGCTACTTTGGTGTGGTAAAGGTTGATGCTATGAGGGACAAATCAGTCTGATAACATAATGTTTCACTGAGTTTGTGGGATAATAGCTATATGTCCAAATGGAATTTTGTCTAAATACAGTGTTACAAGATTTCACAACATTTATTACACAAACATTTCCATACAATAGTGTGCTGCATACATTACAGAACACATAAACTGGTTAAGACAATGCAACTGAAGTTTACATTTTTCAGTGGTGAGCAGGGAGACAAATGAGATTTCTCTGCCATGGTCAGCTACTTCAGTTCAAAATCCTGAGCTATTCAGGAAAATTTTGAGAAAACTGGTGTTACTGATCAACTTGTGCATGATGTTAAACTAAGCAAGGTGGAACACTCCCTTCAACATATTTGTGTCTGAGATACTGCCGCCTAACCTGCTAGCACAATTAACTACAGGTTACAGAGTACCTCATTTTCATCTCCAAGTAATTGTAATCATATGGGCACTTGCAAAGCATGGGCATAGCACTATGAGATCTGTGATTAGAAACAGCTCACACAGTTACAAATACAGCTACAGCTAACTAGACATACAGCCACCTACCAACTAGATAAAGTTAACAGACAATGAACATGCAGGATGCCCAACTCATAACAGGAATGTGGTTGCTGTTATATTGGTCCTAATTCAAATGAGAGATGTTTTGATGCAAATATGACCTAAATGAGCGGAGCCAGATACAACAAATAGGAATTGGATTACACAGAAAATACTTACCGGGTTTCACAACCAGTATCCCATGTGCAGAACATGTTCTGTCGGCAGCAAGAAGAACGAAGTCTTTAAACGCAATTCCCATGAGACACTCCATTTTGCTGCAACGCGGCCCAGACGCTACTCAAACTGACACGAGATAAGCCAAGCCGCAAAACCGAACGCACGCACTCCACACTTAATACAGGTCAAAACGGTGTTTCAAGACCCCGCATAGGCTTCCACAAGCGACTACGAGAATGACTCGGCGCCTAGCCCGTCTACAGAGCGCCGTTTTTGAACCATGGAATTTGACGAATACTAATCTAAAAGACAGGACGAAATTCCACAGAGTTTCAATGCGGCTTCTGAAGCAATGAGGGACTTTTTTAGCTCATAATTGTTAAACAACACATTGGGCGGTCCAACCGAGAAATTTTGGTTTTAAGAAATGGATAAAATTTAGTGATATTGGTGAATGTGTATATAGCGCCTTTAATGAGGACAGCACTAATTCGCAATCATCCATGTAGCTAAGTCCAAACTTTAGAACTGCTGCATTGAAGTTCTCCAAACTAACAGCAATCGAAAGAAAAATACAATTCTGACATCTGACATGAAACTGGTGGTTTCAAGCTGCATTTTTACCTTCAAAAATTTCATAAGCTGCTTTGGAACATGTAGCCAAAACCAAACTTGGAAACTGCCGCACCGATCTTCCCGGAATTTTTTACCAGACAATAGAGCACCAACGACGTCAGCTGTATTCTTAATATGCGCTCAGTGGAGGGAGTCAGTTTGAATGCCCCGAAGATTATTCCAGAATGATTTCTGAACTTTGGACAGCTGTAGAGAATTAAATAGCGGATATCTTGATGCACAAATAGATGCACCTTGCAAGGTCCTTGACATGCATGACAGGTTCAGGTCAGGCTGTGGCTGTAAGCGAAGGATATTTCGGTGGAATTGTTCGATGTGATGGGATAACAAGGGTGTTAGATGAAACAGTACCTATATGACATATTCCTTAGGCAATACAACCACTTAAAATAAAGAACAGCAAGTTTCATGGGCCTAGGGCGACGTAAGAATGTCAGACCGAGGTCAAAAGTAACCTGCTTTTTACTCAACCACGTGGTTTATGGTGCAGTTTCTGGTGCTCGTTCCGAATAAATTAATGACAGGGACTGCAACAGCAGTGCAGGCAGAGGAAGCCACAGAGGGTGTCTCCCCCCCCCCCCCCCCCCCCCAGGTTCCAAGGAGCCCGCAGGGTCCCTCGGAACCAACGATAAAGGGCCGCTTCAGTAGGCCAGGAGGGCCCAAAAGACATACCGGAAGTCGCATTTAGGGTCCCGGCCTGCAGAGCCGGGCACTCCAATGCCAGCCATAGGGACCTGTGCATTAGAGAGTGGCTAAGGGCCCATTTTCCAGGCAAGAACAAAGCCGCAGCCAGGTCGAAGCCGGAGCCATTGGTCGGGTCCTTAGCGTCTGTCAGGGCCCCATAGCCACTAACCCTGTGTTGGCAAGGGGCCCGAGTCGGCCAGAGGTAGTGTTCAGGAGGCCCGAAGAGCCTAGAGGGTGTACCGGATCCGACGATCAAGGGCTCAATTGGCGGGTCTTATAGGCACGAGGGCTGGTCGAAGTCTTATTTAGGGGCTCGCTCTGCGGGAACATGCCCTTAAAGGGCATTTAGAGGGCCCTTTGTGCCGATGGGAGACCCCCTGAGTGTCTATGGGCCTGTATGTTGGTCAGGTATCACTAGTACCGCACAATCGCCTCCGTGTCGGTATGGGTCTAAGAACCCACTTCCAAAGCAGCGACAAAGCCGGAGCCAGTGATTTGCACTGGTCGGGGGCCTTGCATCTGTCACGGGCCCACAGCACCTGACAGAGAGTCCTGTGCACGCAAGGGCCCCATCCGACCAAGGGATGTGTTCGATGAGGCCCGAAGAGGGGCCCGGGCAGCCCACCGGAACCGACGACAAAAGGCCCGGTTGGAGGGCATAAGGGTCCGAAGTACTGGCTGTAGGTCTTGTAAAGAATCGTGGCCCGTAGGTCGTGACCTGAAATATCAGTCAGAGGTCCTTTTGCATTGTTTGAAGAATCCCTGAGACAATGTGGGTATCTAAATCGGCCAGAGATCACAGAACACCCAACAGTCGGCTCCATGTCTGTTGAGTCGTCGAGGCTGGCTCATTTCCGCAAACAGGAACGAGGCCGGGGACCCGCCATTTCGCAATTCCTGGGATCCCTGACATAATGAGGGCCTTGTGTCGGTCAGGGGCCACCGTGCCTAACAGGGGTCCTGTGGCAATAGGTGGCCCGGAGTCATAGCGGTGTTTGAGGGGGTCCGAAAAGGAGCCGGGGGGAGGGGGTCCCTCGAGACCAAAAATATGGGGCCCGATTGGAAGACTGCATGGTCCGAAGGGAGGGCTGTAGGTCATATTTAGGACCCCCCTCCTTCCATGGCACCGTGGTTTCAAATGTTAGCAAGAGGACCTTTTGCCCCGATATGGACCCCTGCGGCAGAGCGTTCCTCTAAGTCGGCCAGGGATCACCAACAACGAACGATCGGCTGCGCGTTGGTCTGAGCTCTGGGGGGCCATTTCCCAAGCAGGGACAAGTCCGGCCTGCGATTTACATTGTTCGGCGCTCCTGTATCCTTCAGAGGCCCACAGTGCCTAACAGGGCATGCTGACGGTGACGGGGACGGGAGCCCAAATGACAGTGGGCCTCTTACGTAGGTCGGGGCCTTCTGACAATGAGAGGAAGCATGATAACTTATGGTGGGTGCCCACATTGAAGTACTGGAAGGGCCCTGTGCCTGGCAGGGCTCCCAGTATCGAACGGTAAACATTCTAACCCAATTCCAGCATGGGCCCGTTAAGCCGAACTGGAGTCTATGTGCCAGTTATTTGACCACCTGCAGCGATCAGGGATCTTGTTGCGCCAATGCGGGTTCCTGCATCGATCCGGGGTCAACTGTGCAGGTCAGACGGCTTCCGCGTCTTGGAGGCGGACCAATGGGATATGATATATCCCTTCGAGGGCCTCTGGATCAGCCAGGGATTCCGCCCCGCGTCGCCAGAATGATGACCGGAAGACACACTGTGGTGGAACATAATGGCCCTTCAGCCCTTGACCGCGAACAATGATGTGCTTCACAGTGTTTTCTCAAGCGGCCCCCTCTCCCGGAAAGAAGTAAGGGGTCGTCTCATTAGTGTTGAATAAAATGGGTCGAAATTAGTTTTAAAAATGCACAAGGATATCCCATATTTGCCTGAGAACGTTTAACCTTTCAGAATCGATTAGTGAAACAAATGCCATTAAAAGGTGCCTGCACGCCGGGTGCCGCTAGTGTAGTGGTTTACGCGCTTGCGTTGACCACTGCGTGTCTGGGAAGCCAGAGGCACGGGGTTCGATTTCTCACAGTGCCCGCCCTCCTTGTCAGGGTAAGAAGCAGGCGACGCCACATAGCTTAGGCAGCTGAGTGTGTCATAAAGCCTCAATGACACACTGACAACCTCGGGTGGCAAGCACAGCGTTGGCTGGGTTGCACTTTCCGTAAAACCGAACGGCGTTGGCCATTGCAAGCACGGACGTCGATTTGTATTCTTTGGGGTGGGCCACTGGCCTCTCCAATGTTCAATCTAGCCCCCCAACTGCGAGTTTGCCGCCCCCCCCCCCGCCCCTCAACTTTGTGGAGCCCAAGTTCATGTAGAACATTACAAGTTTAAGCTTGGATTTATATAACATGTGAAGAAAGCCTCCACCAATTGTTTCACAGGGAAATGAGCCAAAGAAAATAAAAAAATTTATATCATATCCAGTTTCACGAGCCTGACTTAGTCAGCCACACTTCTAAAGCTCCATGGTCGTTCCGTGTTAACTCGAGTTTTTTCTTCCGTTTTTTTTCTTCTGTACGCTGTATGTTTCAAACTGCTAGGTCTCTGGTTGACCATAGTCTAGCTTTGTACTATTGTGGGAGTGTTATGGCATTATTCAGCGATGTTAAATCACAGAGACCGCACCAAGTTGCATTGTGCTTCGACGCCTTATCAGAAAATGAAAACAAGGCGTTGTAAATATATTAGCCGTCTACATCCAGATGAACCCTTGAAATGTGTGAACCTTCACTTCAACATTAATATTCGATGAAACAGTAGCAAAAACCTGACGATCTACACCAGCCGACCCAACCGATGGCTCGATCGTCCGACGATGGCTACTGACACTGGCCGTGTCGTACAGCATGCCTAATGGGAGTGATGCGTCTGCACCCCGCCTTGCAGCAGTCAGCGGAGATTTCCATGGCAGACGTTACTAGTGGCGCAAATCAACTAACACTCTGTTCCCGAAGCCGTATACGTCCAACAGCGTCTGAAGCCACATAACGTCGACTCTACGTCGATGACTGGAACCTGGTTTCGACGATCAACGCCAAACAAAATTAAAATGATGCCCAACGGCAACATCTTGCGCCGAGACACAGCAGGCAAACGTATTGGACCAGGTATATATTTTTCTATTCTGTTTGAGGGGACTCAAACTTGGTAGCGTCACTGAGAGAAAACTGGGTTGATTCCGAGAGGTAACCTGTTGTTAGTGTATTTGGCGCCAGTTTTTTCTGCTCGGCCTGGCCAATCCTATTATGCGGAACTCACTACTGTGGTAGTTTTAGCGACCGTGACACGCGCAAGATTCGTCACCAAATTATACTCCACGGTCAGATCTGGGACTTAGGGCTCATTTCCCAAGCAAAGAAAGGGCCGAGATCCGTGATTTACATTGATCGGGACCCTTAAGTCAGTGAGTAGCTCCTGTGTCCGTCAGGCGACCACAGTGCCTATGAAGGGTCCTATATTGACAAGGAGCTCAAAGTCGACCTGGAACAGTGCTCGAGGGGCCCGCAGAGGAGCCGAAGGGTTCCTCGGGACTGATGATCAAGTGCCCGATCGAACTACACGAGGCCAGGGCCGGGCCATCACTTGTCAGTTAGAGGGCCTTTTTGCACCGTTTGGGGACACCCTGGGACAATGTGGGTCTCGATCTCGATCATAAACAGCCAACATCGAACAGTCGGCTCCGTGTCGGTCTGAGCCCTGGGGCCCATTTCCTAATCAGAGCAAGGTGGGAACACGCTATTTTCATTGACCGGGACCTTTAAAGCAATGAAGGCTTCTTTGTTGGATAGAGACCTACGTTGTCTAGTAGAGGGGCCAATGTTTGCAAGTGGCCTCGAGTCGGTCAGGCCAGCATCTGTTGAACAGGAACAGGGGTGGGACCCAAAAGCCAGGGGCCTCTTGCGTTATTCGAGGCCCTTTGACACCGAAAGTGGAAATGGGAGGTAATGATGTGAGCCCACAACGCGATAATGGAAGGCCCTTTGTCAGGCAGGGCCCCTGTACCGAATGAAGGGCTCTCCATCTCACTTCAGCCAGGGGTCCGTTATGCCGAACTGTAGTCTCTATGCCAGTTATTGGACACCTGCGACGAAAAAGGATCTTTTGCATCAATGAGGGCCCCTGTGTCTGTTTGGAAACAAATAGCCGGATCAGGGGGCCTCCGGAATCAGGGAGGCGATCAACGTGTGATGTATCCCTCTAAGGGTTTCTGTATCGACCACGGCATCCCTCCCCTGTGTCACCGGCTCGACAGCAGCAGGTACCCACGCTGTAACCGTTTGACACTTGAGCCCCTGACCGAGAAATAGAATGTGCCCTCTATTCTTCTAATTACTGGGTCCATTGACCGAACAAGGAAAAGGGTTTCCTTAGTGTCAAACTGGACGAATCACAAGGTCAAAAATGAAAAATGGACAACGGCTTTATTTAAATCGAACAATTTTGAGTTCACTCCATAAAGAGATCAACCGCGACAGGGACACGAAAATAGACATTTTACCTTTCCTTGTCTAGTTCTCCAATCAAGTTCTTGCAACGGTCCGCGTTGCTCGAATGCTAGTGTGTTTGTAAAAATAAAAATAAAAATGCACGGATGAAACATTTTCCCGGAACACCTTTCAAGCGTTTCAATTGACCCCCCAAAGCGTACAAAGGTACTTCCTTCAGAAACGTTGCCGTTTTCGTCCGCCCGTTGGCCACCGCCTAATGTAAGACACGGGACCGACGCGGCATAGACTCCGGAGACTGCAACGCCGGACGTCGGGGTTTGTATTGTAAGACGTATGGGCACAGATGGCCAAAACTGGGTTATGTATTTCTTTCCCCGTTTGATTCTAAACCAAGTTTAGCACCTTAGACCAAAACAAGCTAATGTGAGAGGAAATTTACGACCTTATTTCGATCCAAGATCTGTGTTCACGATATCTCTTAACAACGCAAAAAAAAATCCGATGCAGCCCGAGTGCTATCGGCTTGGGAACAGTCCACTGAAACATTGAAAAATGAATAGCACCGGTGTGCTTCCTTCAGTTTAACAACTTTAAAATGCAAACGGCATTGTGTCTATTGGCGACCCCTGGCTTTTAAGAAGGGCGGGGCTCCCCACGAAATCAAGTGGGCCATATCCGATGACTTCTTTCTTTTGGGTGAGGGCTGTTTCATTTTTCATACGCTCGAAGTGAAATGGGTGAGGGCCGCTTTCCCTTCAGAGGCACAAGCGCTTAGAACAGTGCCTCTCAGACGCATAGCTGGCTTGTATTTCGGGTTTATTTAAAAGAGCGGGGAAAAGGGATTCCCAACAAGAGTGTATCTGTCTAAGCTTATTTGTGGGAAGGTTAAAGACCATGTTCTTAACTTATGCATGGAGTAAACATCTACAGCGTCTCACATGAATTCGTTAACATTGATATTCACTAAAATGTGTAGGTATTGTGACCTGTTGCATGTGCATGCCTTGGTGATTGTGCACGTGCTGTTGGTGTCGCATGCGGTATTGGCTTGCATGGTGGCTGCTTGGAGCATGCGATCGCGGACGCTCTCGTTGCTGCATGCTGCATGCCCTTATGCTAGCATCCAAGGCTGCATGCTGTGTATGGCTAGTTGCCAGCTAATGAGTCCTTTGCAAGTGTTGCAGAATGAGTGTCTTGTTCGACGGTATACTACTTCGTGAATAAACTACACTTTGGCAGTTGTCACAGCATTATCGATAACATTTTGGTCTATGGGGAACCTACGCATGGAGAACCTACGCATAACGAGTTATGATAGCCACATATATTGTGGACACTGGACGATTCTCATAATGGTAAATTATGCGCCAATTTTTTTTTCAGTATGTAAGAGAGAGCTGTAACTGCACCCCTCAGCTTCACAAAACAGGTGCCATTAAAAGAGGCAGATGTAATCTGCGAGACTCCCATGGATAGGCGTATGAACGTTTCAGAAGTGTGTGGGGAGGGGGCAAGCTCAGGGCGTACTTCAGGAACTTTTTCTGGAAAGTAAGCCCAATGACTGGGGGGGGGGGGGGAGATGGGGGGATTATCGCTCCTTATTGGAATGTCATGGCTGCTATGTTAGACATGCATCTGGAGCTGTCTCTCATTGGTGCACAATCTTGCCTATTCGACTTATCTATATTCTTTGGCAAATGAGGCTATCCAGTTTCCCAGAACGATTCGTCCATTTTAACGTTATTTTTTCTGGAGAGGCGAAATTCCACGAGCGGGTAGGTATTTTGGGTCACTGAGGAGGCATCTGCCTCGACAGGGTAGATGTCAAAATACGGCTCGGATATAGACTGGTGAGAATATTGAAAGTGAGTGGATGGTTCCCAGTGCAACAGATTTTTCGTGCGCCTCCAATTCGCTGGCTACATTTCAAGAGATAAGACTTGTCGCAGCATTGACGGAACAGCGTCCGAGGCTGCCCGACCGTGGGCGCCGGCGCCGGGGGTCACCGCGAAACCGGCAGCTCGGCATTGCCGCTACTGCTACTGCTGCTACCAGCTACTGCGTCACCACCGCCGTCGATCGGTTTACCCGGATCACGTCTACCCACTCCCCGGGAAAGGCAGGGGCCCAGCGGTCTAACCACCCTCGTCAGCGTCAGGCCGGCTGACCTAGTCGACCACTTCTCCGGCGGTGGCAGCGCTTTAGAAGGCCCTGTTCTTAGGTTATGACTGACACTGATACTGGCTCTTTCGCCGGGACTGCCGAGGACGCGACCACGCTGCTGAGGAGAATAGCGCTGCAAATTATGCAACAACTTATACATTTCATCCGGGATAAGCTGGGATGTAATGCCATTCCGGATGGACAGCGTTAGGTGGTGGCTCTTCGTGCCCCTGTGTGATACCCCAAGCACATTGGTTTTCTTAGTGCGTTTGTGACTTATAGGTGTTATTCCCTTTTGGCCGACACGCCACCTATAAAAACACCAGTATTCCACCAGCAGCCTGGCTAATATACAAATACACGATTTGTTGTGTGCCAACGCTTTCACCATAAACTGACTGGGTGTCCAAACACCCAAGAACCACCCAAGTCCAGGCAGATGACTTAACGAACAGCGGAACCGTACAGGAAACGATTCCAACAATACCGGGAACGCATCAGTGCGAATGCGACATGTGACCTGTTATCACCAATTGCAGAACGGCTGGTGAGATGGCATGTGCTCTATCTTCTGGAAAAAGTTGCTGGAAGATCGGTCGAGTGGTGTCCGACTTTGGGCTTGGCCGGAATGGCCCAAAAGGGGTATGCGGTTGTTGAAGGTGAAGGTGGCCACCTATGTTACCAGTTTCAGAGCGGCTGATGAAAGCTCAATCTTTCTTCAAATGAAACTGGTTTGAAAAAAAAACCGTAAAGCAGTTCCGAACTTTGGACTTGGGTCCATGGATGGCGACGAAGTAATTGTCCAATCTGGAAGCACTGTGGAATGAATGTGCTGTCTTCCGGTGTGTGTTTCAATTTCGGCGACTGTGCTACGAATAAACATGCCGCGTGTTGCGTATGGCGGTTTCAATTAACGCACAGCGCTCGCAACGGTTCTGGGTGTGATGCGCTGGGTTTCTATTCCAGCCTAGCAGCGTGTGTTGGTATCAAGGGTTTAATTGCGTTGAGAGCCGTGTTGTACGTTAGGCTGGGAGGGATTCGGAAGACGGAGAAGCATGTTGGTTCTTTTTGAAACGGCGGCGGGGTTTGCCCTGTTCAAGGTGAGGTATTGCTGTGGCCGTTCTACACAAAATCCATCCGTTGCGCTGGCTGCCTATCCGATGTCCTCATAATCCATCTGCAGTGCTGAATATTTATGTGACATAGATGGAATCTTTCTTCTGTAAGTAGGATGTGGAACAGGTCAAATTGCACTGACATCCATGCTGCTGAGTTTTTTAGGGTTTTTTACTGGGAAATGTCTGTAATGCCCAAATTTATTTGTGCATAGGTCCTGTATGTGCCCTCTGTTCATCAAACTTAGCGCTTGGATTTATCACAAGGATGTTTGCAGTGATGACTAAGTCACAGGAGACATGGGTAATGGTGTAACACAATTTTGTTGCAGTCTGGACACATGCAGAACAATAATGGGCTGAACCTTGTACTCAGGTGCTGCACACTTGGGCCAGGCCAAATCATGCAGATTTTGAAATTATTTTTGTGAAAAAGCATTGTTCAAGCCTGCTTGCCTGAAGTTGCTTTTGCAATATCATCATTTGTTGAAACATTGGCTTGGTATGGTAGGGTCATAACAACTATGTATTTAACTGGGGGCATGGATTTACAGCATACATGCGCTGGGGTTGTTGCTGGTCTGTTGCTGTTATGGTAAATGTGTTCAACATAGCATATATTTTTGCAATCTTCTCCTCTAATCCTGGTAGGTGGAGTTTTTAGAAGGTTTCAATATAATGGCACAATGTACTTACAATGTTTTGGGAACTGTTGCATGACACTGTCATATATCATGACCCATCAGAGATGAAAAAATTGTTGCTGTCAGTATATTTATTCATGAATCTTCATTATTATCACCTGTTAAATTAGTGTGACAAGACAAGCATCTGAAAAACACTCGGCATCCATCCAGTTATCCATTCTCAGTATGCTGTATGTGCTGTGTTGACACCATGTGTAATGACTTTCAGTGAAACCAGGCTGAAAAAATATTTTGTGCAGACCATTTGCAGGGTGGCAGTAATGTCCCAGCAATAATCTCAGCATACATGCATTGTAAATCTGAGATCATGAATGTGGCTCATGCCACCCTCAATTTCAGCACATATAAAGCTATTGCTTTCATAAATGATTATGTTTCTGAGGTACTTTCACTGAGCAAGTTACACAATTTTGTGGAGCTAAACAAATTTTGAAAAATTAGCACAATTTAACCTTTCCTGGATAGAGCACACACATGCTGCAGTCTCAGTTTGCCCACTTCACATAATCATGGCACAGTGAATGATTGTTTTGGAGGCTGGTGGTCAAACATCTGCTTTGGCATAACAATGGTACTAAGGAGGTGATGGAGCTAAAATATTTTGGTAAATAAATTTTATAAGATTTCATGATTTTGTGTTACCAGAAATGAAGTATGTTATTGCCAGAAGTTGTTGATTGGGAAGTGTATGCTGTCTGTATCAACATGTTTACTAACCTATTATGATCAAACTTTTCAGCTTTTGGATGAGAAGAAACTCAAGTCAACAGAAAATTTGTTTGAAGACTTTGAGACACCTGAAAAGGCTGGCAAAATGTGAGTAAATGCTAACACATGCAGTGGTTTTACTTGGGAGACTGATTCCCAGTATTTGAGGTGCTGATTGCTCATTCATGTGCTTACTTTGGTGTCTGCTTTATACAGTATCTCAAAAAGATATAGTTGTAATTAAATCAAAGTGAATTATTAGAAGTGGATAGTTCCACAAAATGAGTGAGTGGGTAGAACAGTCTAAAATGATGTAACACCTGCCTCCAAAATGTGCCAAAAGAGGTTTCTCTCCAGTATTCACCCATTTTCTTCCAAAGTTGGGGGAGGGGGGGGCTGAATGGTCTCAACTTAATAGGAAACCATGTTCCTGCCTTTTAAGTTGATTTTTGCTATATCTGAATAAATACAATCTGTCTGTTGGTCGGTGAAATGTAGCTTTTGGATTCAAGTCATCTTGTAGTTAGTTAATACAAAATGAGCTGATTCAAACAAACTGACATCTTCAAGAACTTGCTTTGAAGACCTGTGCTGATTTCTGTCTGGCCAATTTCCAACCGTGAGGCACCTGCAAATGGCGGGTTGAAGGCGATCTGTTTTCATGCTGGTTGGCCAGTTGTAGTTGAGGTGGAGGGAGTAACGGGCAATCAACTGAATAATATAGTAATTTTAAGGTGCATCCTATGTTCTAAAAATGTATGTGGAGAGAAGCATTTTGGTGGAGTGTTTGTGTTTGATGTAATACAAGTATTTCTGTTCCAATAAAAAATCCACAGTATCAAGGCAACTGCCCAGTGTTCCTTGTGGTGACCTGATGAAATGCCTGTTCACTGATGCAAGGATATTAAAGTAACTGATCCTAATTTTCTCCTAGTGTTAAGCTGAAGCACTTCCAGAAGTTTGCTGACACCACTGAGGCACTGGCTGCCATTACTGGTGTCATTGAGGGCAAGATGAGCAAGCCACTCAAGAAGCTCTTGAAGAAGGTGGACGTGCAGGAGGAACTTGCACTCTCAGATGCCAAGCTTGGCAACCTGATTAAGGAGAAGTTGGATGTGCAGTGTGTGGCTTCATCCAAGGTCAATGAGCTGATCCGGTGCATCCGGTCTCAGGCAGACAGTCTGATCACTGGGCTGTCGGCCAAGGACGCCACTGCCATGCGTTTGGGACTCGCTCACAGGTCAGTAATGGTGAGCTGACCTGTGGGGCTCACTCACAGGTCAGTGACAGGGTGCTGGCATGTGGGACCTGCTCCTAGGTTAGTGACAGTGTGCTATGTGAGGCTTGCTCACTGGTCAGTGATGCTGGCATGTGCGGCTCCCAGAGCATGGACTCCCAGTCCGAGGAAGGAACAAGGAGTCCAGTGAACCATTTTGGCAATGTGGCATGATGATAACATTTGGGGTCGCAGTTACGTCTGAGCAAAAGTCGTTTTGCGACACTGGGCAGAATAAAACAGTCGCAATGACAGGAACATACCATTGGGTTCGATGTTGTTTATTTAGTATCCTTACATTGTTTATCTTAAGCCGTTGCGTGGGATGGTCGGAATTCATCGCGCATATTCGCCTTCCTTCCGACGGCTGAACACCTGCGATGCGTGCTGAACATCCCTGGGTGGTCTGGTGACGCGGTCGGAGCTCTCCTGAGCTAGCCTCGTCCGCTGGGAGAGATTCGCCGCCGCCTGACGCCTGTGTTTGCCTCCTCACGGCAGCTTGTCGCGTTACAAGCTCAAGTTCTCGCCAGACAAGGTGGACACGATGATCGTACAGGCTGTTTGCCTGCTGGACGAGCTGGACAAAGAGCTCAACAACTACGTGATGCGGTGCCGCGAGTGGTACGGCTGGCACTTCCCCGAGCTCAGCAAGATCATCACGGACAACATCGCCTTCGTCAAGGCGGTCACCAAGATGGGTAAGCGTGGTTCGGCCGCGGCGGGAGGGCCCGGCGCCGGTCGAGGCCGCAGGAAGCCCGCGAGATAGGCAGCTGACGACTATAGCGTCGCACCGATGTTTCATATGTATATCGCGTGGTAGCGATATTGGCCGCCCCAGTCAGCGCGCTTCAATTGCAGAGGGCTTCGCCACCAGAGTGTTTTGCCGAGTGACGCGACATGCGCGCGCCTGCTCTCCAGGTATGCGGACAAACGCACTGGAGACGGACTTCTCGGACATTCTGCCCGAGGAGGTGGAGGCCAGCGTGCGGAAGGCGGCCGAGATTTCCATGGGCACTGAGATCTCCGAGTCTGACATCGAGAACATCAGACATCTGTGCGAGCAGGTGCGTCGGCCTGCCCGTGGGCCCATCGCTCATCTCAATATGCTCAAGTCATTGGTTCAATACATATATATATATATATATATATATATATATATATATATATATATATATATATATATATATCGCTGCTGCAATGAAAGTGCCTTTGTTCTTTGTTCTGTGCTCGTCTCTCATAGGGCCCATGCTTAGGCCAAAACTTTGCTCAATAACAAATATGAGGTGCGACCATTTTGGCAACGATGCATGTGCCAAGCAAATGTTGCAGCATTTACATTTTGAATTAGGGGTAAGTGATCTGTATAGTAAGCTTGTTCCTCGTCAACCGTAACATTACACTTGTTGCTTCAGCACGCCTTAAGGCTCCGATAATGGTAATAATGTACAGCAATCGAAAGTTATCTAAGCATTTACATAGGAAGGGGAAGTGAACTGGAGCATGTTCGTCGTCTTGTACGTCACTTCCATATTTGCGTTTGTTTTGAATTCTGAGACGCCTATGTTGTGAGAGATCACTGAGCTTGTGGCAAGATTGACTTTTCCTACGATGGCTGTAAAGAGGCATCTTTCGGCACGAATAGTTTGCGTCTCAATGCCCTGCTACCATGCTGTAGCTGCGAGATGCGTCAACCTGGTGCCACACGTCGAAGTCACCTGCCAACAGATTCTGGAGATCACGGAGTACCGAGCTCAGTTGTCTGAATACCTGAAGAACCGGATGGCCGCGGTGGCCCCCAACCTCAGTGTGCTGGTCGGCGATATCGTAGGCGCCCGCCTAATCTCGCACGCAGGTTTGTAAACTACCAATCGTTAGTACAGTGGCTGGCAAGGAAACGGTCACGGTTTATGTATGCGGTCTTTGTAGGCTGCTAGGGATTCGTGGGCCGTGTACCTGGATCAGAAGTGCTGAAGATGATGCCTCGTTTCTACAAACATACTTTTTAGGTGCTTCGCGTGGCGGTGACAGTGTGTGACGATAATGGGGGATGTAACAGTGACACTTTGTTTTCACAAACATTGTTTTTAATCGCAACGAGTACCATGTGTCTGTTCAGTTTAACTGAAATGTAGGTGTGCACGTATTGCATTACTCCAACTGACAGTAAAGCCAGCCCGTCTGCTCTCATCACCGCAAGACGTCGTCTCTGGCCTCCTCGAACGCCACGCCGTCTCCGCTGCAGCCGCCACTGACCCGGTCATCCGTCCGCAGCCGCTGCTGACCCTGCCATCCGTCCGCAGCCGCCACTGACCCGGCCATCCGTCTGCAGCCGCCGCTGACCCGGCCATCCGTCCGCAGCTGCCACTGACCCGGCCATCCGCCTGCAGGCCGCCGCTGACCCGGCCCTCCGTCCGCAGGCCGCCACTGACCCGGCCATCCGTCCGCAGGCCGCCACTGACCCGGCCATCCGTCCGCAGGCCGCCACTGACCCGGCCATCCGTCCGCAGGCTCACTGATGAATCTGGCCAAGCACCCGGCCTCGACGGTGCAGATACTGGGCGCCGAGAAGGCGCTGTTCCGCGCGCTCAAGACCAAACACGACACGCCCAAGTACGGCCTCATCTACCACGCCCAGTTCGTCACGCACGCTAGCAGCAAGCTCAAGGGAAAAGTGAGTTTGTAGAGGGCATCTTTCATTCTTTAGAAGACCACTTGACCGTAGAACGCCAAAGCCCGTGTTCGAAAAGCGTAGTAAGGACACCCTTGCCCCCTGGTGCCCCATAAAAAGGGGCGTGTCGACGTGTGTCGCATTCTCTGTTGTATACAACAAAAAAGCAAACAATATAAGCCAGCACGAAAAGACAGAACACGCTACATTCAGCCTGAACGTGACAGCATGGGCCTAACAGGGTCCCAGTCAGCTTAGTACCACCGTGCGTTTAGGTAAATGCTTTCTGCACATGAGTGTAGTCTTGCTAACTAATGCAAGCTGGTTGGCAAGACCTCATGCCCCTTGTTTCTACACCTTTGCACGAGAGCCCTTAAGTGTTAACACACCCAGCACAACGCCGTAATTCACGCCGTCAAGAGCCGGGTTGACGTGGCGCGCCGGTCGGCAGGCGTCCCGGATGCTGGCCACCAAGGCGGCGCTGGCGTGCCGCGTGGACGCGCTCGGCGAGGACGCCAACGCCAACAGTGAGCTGGGCGTCGAGCACCGCGCCCGGCTGGAGGCGCGGCTGCGCGCGCTCGAGGAGGGCGGCAGCACACGCATCTCCGGGTCCGGCCGCAAGGCGGCCAAGTTCGACTCGTACCAGAACACTAGGTGAGTTTGTGTGTGTGGGGGGGGGGGGGGGGACGGACGGGGACTGGTTACGCGCTGTTCATGCAATCTGATGTCGTTGCTCGCTTTTAGTTTCTTAGTCGATGGTATTTAATTGTCTTTTGTTGGCCTCGGCGCCGCTTCGCGTGTGACCGGTAAGAAAAGTGCGCCTTCGGTGTGGCGGTGCTGGCCTGACGCCAGCGCTATCCGTTTCCAGCGAGATCAGGCAGTACTCGGCGGCGGCCGACTCGACCATTCCCAGCTCGGTCAAGCGCAAAATGGCAGACGGCGAGGAAGGCTTCCCAAAGAGGCCAAAGTCCGGTACGCCCTCCGCTGTGCTGTGTGGTGTTGACTGCAGGGAATCTCAAGTGTGTTTTTGGCTCCCATTAACCATCTATTTAGGTGTGCACAATTTCTGCCTTGCAGTCGGAGGCATACCTGCTGATGGCTCTGCCGCCCGAGTACGGCCTGCATGACTTCGTTTTAAAATTTGACTTAAGTGGTGTGCTATTATTGTACTTTCCTCACTGTGTTGTAGTGCCTGGTCGCATGGTAGTCAACTGGAAACGTAACATCTTGTTTACTTTAGTTGTCATATTTCAATGCTCCTGTCATCACAATGCCGTATTGGTTAGATGGCAGTTTGATTGAGCGATGTGTAGATGACGTGCTTAACAGTACGTCATATCGACCAACCAGTTGACCGATTTCCTGCAGATTCTTCCGTGAAGACCGAACCAGAAGACATGGACGGCTCTTATGCCGAAGCTTCCAGTGAGAAGAAGAAAAAGAAAAAGAAGAAGCACATGGAAGCTGGAGGCGACGCGGCCGCCTCGTCAGACACGCCCGTCAAAACCGAGGACAGCGACGAGGATGCGGCCCCGAAGAAAAAGAAGAAGAAGCGCCTCTCTGAAGCGGCGGGCGACGCATCTATGAATTTGACAGAAGAAGAGGTGGCCACCCCATCTGAGGGCAAGAAGAAGAAGAAAAAGAAGAGCAAGAGTGAGTCGAATGACGGAGATATGGCTGATCTTGACACAACTCAGGAGATGGAACCAGAAGTAAGCAGCGAGAAGAAGAAAAAGAAAAAGAAGGCCAAGTAGGCCAGAGGTAACACTCGAATTATCAGGCAGATGCCGTTCCTCGAGTTTGTGAACAGTGGCTGTCGTGTTGAGGAACATACGTGGCCTTTGGATCCGTTTATGACGTCATCACTGATCAGTCGGTGCGTTGGTTTGGGCAGGAAGCGGGCCGTGCTGCCATTGTTCGAAATGACGAGGTCATCAGAAGTTGTGACTCATGATTTCTCGGCGAAATATACATCGGTATAGAGTTTGTTTTTTTACGTTGAACTGGAAATTCGATGCCCCTGCATGGAACGTTGTTTTAGTTCGGAAGCCACGCACCTCGAGATAAAGATCGGGGCGCCGTGAAAACATCGCCAGATCACAGTGCCCCGTGATCATAATTCAGGGGCGTCACGTAAAGGGAGTCACATCTGAAGATATGGAAGCAAGCATCAGGTATGAAACAAGCTTGCTTAAAACTATTGGCATACTTTTCTTGTGGTAGACTGTTACAGACGGCACGATTCTGCGTTCAGTAAATATGCTCTTCAATGCGTTATGATTTGGTTAAGCCTTCGTACCTTGGACAAGGTTGATTGGCAGCCAAATGGCGGCCGTTATATATATATATATATATATATATATATATATATATATATATATATATATATATATATATATCAGGACATCGCACTCACGAACGCCAGATATGAGCGCCTCGGCAATCATATTCTTGGTCTTGGTCGCCCCGTGGATTATGGGATGACAGAATTTGAATGACGTTATGACGCCATGAATGCATAGGCAACTGAAATGCGTTCTCAGATACATCTTTTTCCATTTTCATAGGTGTGTAGCTCAGAAACTAGAGGTGTTTAGGCCTCAAAAAGGGCAGAACTGTGAACAGGATCGAAAGGCCTTCAACATGGCTATTTCGGTTCACCCCCCCCCCCCCCCCCCCACATTAATGTGGAATGCTTCCTTCAGTATACTTACGGGGTCTGAGCCCCCCCCCCCCCCAAAACCAAATGCATATGAGCAGAGAGGGATTGCTGGGCCAAATAAATACAGAACAATCATCTCACCTTTTGGCATGCTGTGTCAGATCACCACCACGGCTGCATGGCGGCCGTGTTGGTGGCCGCTAACGCACGATGTTGCTCAGGGAAGTGGTTGCGTGAGCGTTAGGGAAATATGTTTGGACGCCATGGACACGGCTTTGATAAGTGAACTGCTATCGATGATGTGGTAACTGCCACTACTCAGGCTGGAAAACCACGCATTGTACCAATGCATATGGTTTCGTTCACTCAGCTGGCACCGGAGGAACACATGACATGATGTAACTGACACCAGCTGTTGCGTGGCCCACACTCAGTAAATTGATTTTTATGCCATTCATTGAAGTGAAACTGAAAAACCTGGGCACCGCTATGACACAGTGCGTGCAGGATGGTTGGCGATGAGGTCGACGCTCAAGCAAATGCGCAGAATTAGCTGCTTCGCCATCTGTGCACACGTAGCTCCGACCGTTTCAAGCGGCGTGCACTGCGCTTCTTCGCTCCGAGGCAAGACACCGAACAATACGAAATATTTCCTGTTGCGTGCGTTAATAGGAGGGTGCGGTTCGCAAAAAGCACCTTTGCAACTTGGTTAAAAATCACGACTGGCTGTCATTTATAAATTGTACACCTTGCGTTATTCTGTAGCCCAACTCTTCCAAAACCGGTCAAAGTCCACAGCGCAGATAAAGCTCTCGGAATGGTCGTGATTCTTCACCACATCTTAATTCTCGGACACCTTCCGGCGGTCTTACAAAGATGTCTGAGCTTCGGTGATAGCATCGTTACCGGCCCGGCACGTCGTGACCGCGTGCCGGCAAAGTTGAGCTGGCTGCGATAGCTAGTTGAAGAACGATCGCGTTACGTTCTCCTTAATAGCTCGCCTTACGCGCTAGCGCGTCGTTGGTAGCTCTACTGTGTTTAGGCGCACGACAAGGGAAACTCGTGTCAGCAGAGTCCGCTCCGCACCATCACCAGCCGCGTCAGTCGAATGGGCAACAGCTTGCCAGCCATGGTGGGTGCGGAGTCGTCCTGTTTGCGGCGTTTCAGGAGGCGATATTCCCTACATTTGCACGCCTGTACGCACCCGAGTGGACATATCTCTAGTTAATTTGTTCGCTGTCCTGTGACCGCCGATATCTTTCATAACACGCCATACCGCGTGCCCCTCCCCGTGTGCGACCAATTTCGGGTCAGTTCGTGTCTAGAAATTCATACCGCAGCAACAGTCACGCCCTTTCGTCGTCGGTCGTTGAGTAATTCGTGGATGGTTCGTTGCATGCGCGCAAGGGACTTACATTGTCAGAGCCAGTTCTTGGTGCATATCACAATTCTCAGGGAGATTCGGCGCCAGTGTCTGTCCGACTCCATGACTGCGGGACGCCGAAGTAGCCCACGCTACGCTATGCTGGGCGGGAGTGAGGCTTATGCGGCATGTCAGTCTACAACTTCAATCCGATAATTAGAAGACATAAGTGGAGAGAACAGTTTCCTATAACATGTATTACGTATACGGGAAATACGTGAACACTGACGAAAAGCCGCCATAGACGCAGACATCCATTAATTATTATAGTTTACAACACTATAACAGTCCATACCAGAGGCGGTCGCCTTTACTGAGATCATTACTAACGGTTGTTTTCTTGAGCTGGTCTCTTGATACGTTTGAGCCGCACTTCACTGGAGATAAAGTACAAGAGAAGCCATTGGCAAAGGCTAATGCTGACCTGGCTAAATCCCTCACAAGAGCGTGACAGCAGAGGACCACAGGCCTGGCCTTCCAAACATCCATAGCAATCAGACACACATGTTTTGACTGCGTGTCATCTCGACCAAATGATAGAAATGCTCTAGGAATATCTAAATTTGTCGGCAATAACCTGAGAAAGCATGTGTTAAGTCGCAGGCAAGCTCCGGCCCATGGCTAACTTTCCTGCATCTCCCCGATATATACTCTCTTCTCATAATATGGCGACGGGCTGTTCACATTTCCAGGGTTTTAGTTTTTAGTTCACTGCCGCCAAGCCACCTATTCCTGCTGCGAAGCAGGTGAACTAAAACCGCCGGCCACTAGCCGTGGTTTGGATTGCACAGCACCACGACATATAACGCGTCGATGTAAGAAAAACTGCACCCCTCGGGTGACACAGCCGCTCCCGCACCCCACCGCACGGATACGGCCGCAATGCGGCCCGGTCTGACGTTCAACGACGCGAGGGCTGCTGCGTGCGCCACACCCCAGGCCGCGGAGGACAGCCGCCGTAGTCGATCGGACACCGGAGGCTGGCGCTCCCAGTCACGCTGGCAGTGCCGAGGTCACCACACGCTGGCGCCCACTGCAGCTCCGCGGTAGACGGGGCGGCGCCGACCCAGTCACTGCCGCGCCCAGTGGGCGGCGAGAGTTTGTGCATGCGACCACACATCGCCACAGATCGACCGTAAGCCATGCCGCCCCGAGACGAGGCCGCGTACGTGCCTTACATCAGCCGTCAGCCTCGCCGGCCGCGTCGCACTAGAACCCTTGAGCGACCGGTCTGCCACGCCCGCGCGGCTCCTGGCCTGGCGGAGCACGCACTGTTACCTATCACGAGTCGATACAACAGCCGCTGGCGCTGTTCACAGGTTGATGAAACGCGCTGGCGCCGCGTATGAGAAATGGCGGAAATCCCGCGACACCGGTCACGAATTGGTGGATGAGACGCTGGCGCCGCTCACGAATTGGTGGAGGAGACGCTGGCGCCGCTCACGAATTGGTGGAGGAGACGCTGGCGCCGCTCCCGAGTTGGTGGATGAGACGCTGGCGCAGCTCACGAGTCGGTGGATGAGACGCTGGCGCCGCTCCCAAGTTGGTGGATGAAACGCTGGCGCCGCTCACGAGTTGGTGGACGAGACGCTGGTGCCGCTCACGAATTGGTGGATGAGACGCTAGCGTCGTCCTCGCTGTCAGATGAGCTGTGTGGCGGTGGCTCCGACTGCTGGGGCGGTCGTTCGCCGCTGGCGCCCGCGCCGGCCGCCGCCGCTGCGTGGTACGAGTGACGCTTCAACTCGGCGCGCGGCCGGCCGGGCCGCTCGCGCATGCGCACTGCGGGCGCAGCGGTCGCCGCTGCAGCCGCCATGCCCACCTCTTCCTCCTCCTCGGGCAGCGCGGCGCGGTTGGCGGCGTCTGGAGGCCGGGCAGGTCAGTCAGGAGGACTCAGTGGCTGGGTCCATAAAGCTGCCTTCCAGACAATAGGAGTGGTTATCAAGGTTTGCTGAAAGTCAATCCCTGTGGCGAAACAAAATGATGGAGCGCGCCCCACTGTGGAGCGCACAATGCAAGACCACAACGTTGATTCGTGCCATTCTTTTCACATTAATCTACCTATTTAGCGCCAGGTGTAATACATGACCTATGTTATTCAAAACCACAGTCGTTGTTGACAATTCGGACCACAAAGTGCGCACTACCAGCCGTGTGATATATGCAACACATTTAAAACCATCATAAGAGCAGCAGTTCGGTAAGAGCAGAAGATGTCATATCGTGCAAAGCATGACATACAGTGCATATGAAGGGCGATCGACGACTGCCAACAGACGGGGCAAGCTCTTTACATGCATCAATCCTTCTTAATCCCTTTGCGCAAGGTCCTGCAAAAACGTGGCTAATTTTCCACAATGTTTCCGGGGTCGTCGAAGTAGAATTTCTGGCATCAAGGACGCCGATTGTTTTTGTGATTGCCGGAAGGCACATCTCACCCGCGAACTGTTTGGGATACTGGCTGCTCAGCTTGGCCTTCAGCTTCCTAATACGTTCAAAGATCTGACTGAGGTCCTTCTTCATGTCCGTCAGCATCTGAACGTGTTTTTTGAAGTCGACTGTAGTGTTCTGAAGTCGTTGTGCCGATAACGCATTGCAGTTGGTCAGCATGGCGTTGGTCTTCTCGAACCGCTGCAGCCTGCACATGGAGAGAGACATGAACTATAGAGTAAACGATGATATAAGGAGTCCTCAGTCCTTGCTGGCGCACTGACAAATGAAACCCCTTCATTCCCAACTAAAACGCACACCAGTCATTGGACCACTATTCTCATTGAACAGTGTCGCCTTCTATCACTACAGCATCACAAACGGCCGATTCGATACTCATGACAAGCACCACCAGCCATGGCCCACATACTCTGGCAACCCTCTCTCGCATGGCATATGCGTCTTTCCCTGGCCAGTCCGCCCAAAACGCAGACGGCTGCGCGGTGTAGCCCGGGCGGGGGTCTGGACGACAGCTGTGTCCGACCACCTCGGCAGGCAAATGAGTCTCAAGGCCAACCTACATGACTTTCTGAGCGCGTATGATGGCCTCTGTGTCTTCTGTGCTGACGGTGCCTGCCAAGCCCTGGATGAACACCTCGGGTGCTGTGTAGTTCTGGAAGCACTCGTAGCCGTAATAGCTCGACGTCAGCATCTCGCTGGAGGGCTCTCCCTCCGCCTCCGGCACATGCAAGGACTCAGCCATGCTCTGTAATAGATGGTGTCGTAGACTATATGAGGCAGAGTGGCACAGCGAACCTTCGTAGAGGTGGTTTCATTTCGTGGCCCCGTATCCTTTATTTTTAGCACGCAAATTTTCAGGCGCACCACAGCGGGCCTGAGGGCCTGCACTTCTGGGAGGCACAAATCCAGGGACATCGCAGCGTCATCTCCCCATTGACGAAATCTTATATCGGTCCATTCGGTGAAAGGGCAGCAAAATCCTCATTTCGGGGAGCTGCAACCTTAATTTTCACGGGACACTAAATCCAAGCGGGCCATGTAAAGGGCCCCACACCTTCATTTTCAAAGGCTTCAATGGGCCCAGACAAAGTCCAGGACATGCCCCTAGGTTAAGCGACATCAAAAACTTTCATTTCCAAGCATCACGACCTTTATCCCCAATAGGCACCCTACTCCAGGAGGCCCCAAGATGGGTCCCAAGTCCCACCCATCCCTTCATTTTCGAGGGACAACATATTGCAGGAGGCACACAAATTGCCCCACGATCTTCATTTTTACGAGCAGCCGAATTCCAGGGGCGCCACCATCGGATCTCGTATAACCCCGGATGTCAAAGGGCCTCTTGCGTTGATCGGGGTTCTCTTGACAATGGAAGGAGATATGTGGAGTGCCAGTGCAAGCGTTCATCTTCGAATGACACCATTGAAAGATCCTGTATCAGTCAGAGACCCCAGTACCGAACCAGCCGTCCTTCACCCCGTTTCAAGCGGTGGCGATTATCTGGGGTGGGGTTCCTGCCCTAAGTACTGAACTCACTGCGCCGGTAAGGGACCAGTTTGCGTGAACTGGCGCAAGCCCCGCGTGAGCTCTGTGACAGATGGTCCGATGACACGGCCTGTTCACTCAGGGGGGGGGGGGGGGGGGACCGATGCGTGATGTATCCCTTTTGTGGGCACCAGGGGCCGCAGGGGCCACAGTCCCTGCATCGTTGGGGACTCCGAGCAGCCGACAGCCATTAGGGACTTCAAGCTGGAGTGCAAGGATCTTGCAGCTCCTAACCAGGAAATTTCACCTGAAGAATTTCGATGTTGGTCCTCTCAATGGAATAGCAGTTACAGGCGGTCACCAATTAACAGCCAATAGAGATTACGCCATGACGTGTGAAGTTCATGGTACTGTATGTGTTTATTCTCTCTGTTAATCTGGAAATCGCACAGGTGAAGTTTACAGCCTATACTACTTCCCACGAATACACGCGAATTTATTTTATAAAGGGTTCAATAGTGCTATATGTGGTTCCGCCCCCTTGTTGACCACCGCCCGGTGCTAACTGCGAGGACCGACGACCCACAGCCCTTGGAGACCGCAACGCTGCGTGTCGGTGTTCTTTTTCTTGGACTGCAAACATGTATGCTCCACTACTTCAGATTTGTTATTTCACTGAGAAGTTGCAAAAAAATGATGACCTCTTCAGGTGAGTTTATGAAGTTGGGATAAATCAAAGCAAATTTCAAGGCAGCTCCGATCTATGCTGCTGCCCAATCCACTGTAGTTCACGTTCATTCGGCTATGGTCATGAGAGCCCTGACCCCCAAATTTTGTATCACACCGAGAAAGTTCAACACCCCTGGATGTCCGGAGATCGGTCCATGCCGGCGCAGCCAATGGGAAGGAGGGCCACCCACCTCCTTTGGACTTGTATTTTACTTTTATCACAGAAAATGGCTCCTGACAGAAAGTTAAAAATCCCTGCCACTTCAAGTCTGTCAACAATGTGAGAGACATCATCACTGGGTGGCTTGATATCTTAGGTAGCAATGACAGCAGTCAAATATGCCAGCATTCAAACCAATGCAAATTATAAGGGCAAAATGTCAGTGTAAATAACATACATTTGTTGCTGCATCACACACATGCACTCAAATATAAATATCCAAACAATGAGGACAGCAACAGTAAAAATTTGGCTTCACCCCAAGCCTGAGTGTGTTCCCTGACATACTTGACAGAAAACTGGCATGACCAAAACAATACATGTGCAAAATTTTGAGATATAGAGGATATCAATTTCATTCCTGACCATTTTGCTGCAGGTAACAGCAGCCATGTACTTTAATGGGTTTTTAAGAACAACTGCAAGGTATGTTGACATCCCTGCAGTACAATGTAAACAATACTGGTGCAGTGCAAATAATATTGTGCAGCTGTTTAATTGTCATAATCCTTCATGGAATTCTGAACAGGCTCACATGAGTTGCTCATTTCCAAGTGAACAACATAAAATGCTTTTGACATTCCAGGGAGATAGCCCTTTGTTTTATTACCAAGTATAGCAAGTCAAAAGTCTATGAAATTCACTGGCATCACAGCTTTCTGCTAACTCAACCACCATTTCAACATTTGTATCCAGCAATGTCACTTGAGTTATCACAATGTCTACTTCATGTATAAGCTACTGCTTAAATTTCTGACCATTCACTGCATGGTCAGTGACCTCAAAATGCATCTTATTGTTCATTTTGTTGCACACAACTTAAAAACACCTTTTCAGTTGAGTCATGTTGATGCACCTGACTGATGGTATTAGCACCCAACTTTAAGTTATGTTGCCATAGGCTATCCAATATTCTTAGGTCACAATGGCAGAATTCACCAGTCTTTGGACAACATGAACCCGTTCCATGTACCTACCTTGCCCAATCCCCCACAATGTGTAGGGGAAGATTACTTCCCAAATGAAAAAAGAACCTAAAAATAGAGTGGACAAAATCTGGGGACTTCTTTATGTTTTTGAGGAGAGGCACATGTTCAGCTTTAAAGATTGTGAATACATTTGCATATACCAGCTAAATTGCAAAATACAGTGGCAGTAAGTGATGATGCTGCCTTCCATGACCATACTGTTGTTATCAGCACACAATAGATGCCACATATATCCATCCTGGTCACTAATGTCAGTGTATCAATAAACTAGTGGTAGACAAGCCATAGGCACAAGTAAGAGATGGAAATAACTACAACTAATACATAAAATGAAATTTAGTGATAACCAAGGAGTTTGATAACAAAACAAGTATCTACAAAGCACCTGATTGAAAAACAATATTCACAGACATGAATAGCATGTACAATACAGATGATGCATAGATGAATACAAGATGATGAAGTGTTAAAAAGTGAACTGTGAATACAAAAGCAATTAAATTGGTACCCTTACTTCACTACTTTTCAACAACCACTGGGTGCCGCACCTTTTCATCAGAAAAATCTCATAACAGCTTCTCTCACCTTTAACAACAATCTGCACCAAAACATAATAAAAGGTTAAATGGCAAGACACATTCACTGTGACAATGGTTTCTTGCAGTCTGGCTATCTATCACCCCACATGCAAAACCATGGCAAACATAATGGGGAGATGTCTGAGGCAGATGGAAAAGTGTCCCAAATAGGATAGCAATCCATACAATTTGATAAAGACCCCCTCAAAACAATACTTTCATCAAAGTTTGTCATTGCAGTTGGTAATACCAGTTTTAAGCCATAGAACACATAAGGATGCCATCAGTACTCAACTTAAGCAATTTGAGCCACAAAATTGATCAGCTGTCCCAAATTGCAAGCTCTGCCCTACCTCTACACCACCATGTCTCCAAAATCTGAATAGTGAGCGGGCGGCACCACTCTGCCAGCCATGTCATGGCTTCCTTACTTCGGTAAGCAGGCACTCAAGCTGCGTCGTGTGTTAATGCCTAATGCCTATAACCTAGACTTTGTAAACAGTGATTCAAGCAACGACAAATTCAGGAAATTGACAGCAACCCACAGTTGTTGCGACAAATTTCCATTCCATATGAGCCGGGTCTTCACAAGCCTCACGCGGATAACCTACGAATGTCACGTACGTGACCGCACTGCGCTCCATGACGATCGTATCCAGAATGGCCTCATACCGTCGTTTTTTTTCTTCTTCGGTGGGCCAGTGCAAGGCCTCTTTTTTCTTTCGGCGGGCCTAAAGTCACCTCCGAGGGGGGAAATTTACTTCCGGCATAAGGCCAGGCAACGATTACTTTAACCCGGCTTATGCTGCCCGGTGCAAAGCGAGGGAAAGGGTGTTTTGAAGTGGCGTTAGGCTAACCTGGCTCATTTTTGTCCAGCAAGATCATAGCAAGTAAAGCAGACCGCAGCAATACATACATATATATATATATATATATATATATATATATATATATATATATATATATATATATATATTCATTTCATGACGGCACAACACGCATCCAGTACGTTTGAACGACAAGTGAGCCTCTTCGCCTGCCCCTCCGCCTCACTCCTAGGGTGCCGGGAGTCCTGTGCGAGGTGTCCGTGTCATCGGTGGCCTTCACTCAGCTGACTCGTCGGCGACCTGCGCGATGGATGGACGGATGCCGGGCCACTTCATCGCAGCAACGAAGAGATCAGTCCCGAGCTCCGCCGCGCGGCACGACATTGTAGTGCTGTGTGGTGCTATTGAGTCCTGGTAAGTCCTAACTAATACAAACCAGGACTCCTAGCCAAAAGGGAAAAACCTGCAACCTTTGCCAAATGATGCAGGAAAAAACCCTTTATTGAAATGAAAGTATCAAATCCTGTACTGTGTAAAGACTCAAAGAGAACCATCAAATCAGGATAAGAATCACCGAGGGAGACCGGAAGTTGAATGGAAGCTGATTAGCGTTGGTGTAATTGATGAGCGGCTGCCTTGATCGTTGGTATACCGGACACACGAGGAGTGAGTGATTTATTGTGAATGGGATGTCGCAGGGATGACATAGCGGAGGAAGAGCACGTTCGAAAAGGTGGCAGTGGGTGATTTTGGTGTGACCGATACAAAGTCCGGTAAGCAGGACTTCCTTGAGGCGATTGTCTTGATAAATTGTCTACCAGTGCTGAAGTATGGGTTTGATTGGGTATAGGTGGTGATGAGCGCGTTGATCCCTCTCGGATTGGAGAAAGAGACGGAAATGTAAATTGATGACTGTTAGAATATCAGAAACGGGACAACGAAGATGATTACGTCCCGGAAGCAGGAGGCTTCGTTTTGCTTCTTCGTCAGCAGTGCTGTTTCCATGAATATTTGCGTGTCCAGGCATCCAGAGAACATTACGTGAATTTGTTGAGGAAGGGAGCAGAGCGTTCGTCGTATGCCGTTAGTTCAGCCGTATACGCCGTATTGTAATTTGACAGGCGGTTTGATTTGTGGTAATTGTGATGCACGAAGGCAGCTCCTGTGCGACCATCGCACCGGGAGCCGTCAGTGTAAATAAAGGTGTGCTGGTCATGTCCTCCTTTGAACTCAGCGAAGAGTGCATGCACCTCGGTTTCTGATACGTCTCGTTTTTTGGTGTTTAAACAGATTAAGTTAGGTCAAAATGGTCGGGGACTGGGAGTTGGGCTGCAGGGAATGTCCGGGAGATTAAGCGCCCGCTGCGCTAGAGCAACGCGAGTACGCGAGTGTTGTACGCAGGGTTACCAATATGCGCTATGGTGCGTGCGTAAAATCTGAGAAGTCGCAATTTTCGTCGGTGTGATAGGGAGAGGATATTCCTGTCTGCGAGCAGATTTGGGACCGGGGAGGTGCGAAGTGCACCAGCCACTATGCGGAGGGCAGCGTTTTGGATGGTCTCCAGGGTTTCGACTTTTTGGAAGAAATATCATAAAAAGAGAGCCACCGTCACCCCAACGTTACCTTGCACCGAGTACGCGACAAACGCCGCGAACCTTGCATGGCTATTCCAAAATTTGTCAACTTTAGGAAGTGAAACCTTTAAGCATGTACAAAGATAACGGTCTCAGTATATCATTTTGTGTGTTTGTAATGTTATTCTAAGTACATACTTCAAAACAGTCCTCCATTTTAAGTTTGTGCAAAACGATCATAAGAGGTTGACATAAAGCTGTTTCTATTTTTTGCCTGTGCGTAAAGGGCTAAGAAGCGCTTTTACTTCACAATATGACGTCATGTCATTAACACCAGAAGCTATATCTCTGATACAGTATATACAAAACCGGATTTCGATCACGGTTACTGAAGGCGTGTCGAAAGAGCAAAAACATTTGAAATATTTTAAAAACATTTTCTCAATTATTTTAGAAACAATTGACCAAGTATGAATATTTTATAGAGAATTTTGCACTTTTAATAGGCTTTATTCCTCTAAAATATTAATTAAAGATAGACAAACAACAAAGTCCGCTAGGAGCGCAGGCACTTATTTCTATTTCCAGAACTTGATGCGATGCCTTGAACACGTACACAAGATTGCGAGCCGCGAGGGTTTCGCTGAGCGTGCTGGGGTTGTTCGCAAATGGAATAGTGGGTATGAAAGGTGTAATTTCCACCAGGTGCATATGCTTCCATTGGCAGGTTTTTGCCTCGCCGTTGCTATCTCCGTGTTGCCTCGCTTTGCCTTGCAGCGTCTTTCGGTGGCTCTGGGTGAAATACTTGCCGCCCAGCTACGGTTGTGGCTGTCAATTTTGCCCCATCGGTCACTGATTGCATAGTTAAACATAGTTAATCGTGTGTGCTATCAAACTGTATAAATGCTTACTCCCTGAACTGGTTGAAATTTGCTTTTTAGCTTTGTCTAGCAATGAAGCTTTTCTAGCCAGTTCCAGCCACAACCATTCATGCGTTTTTTTGTTCTTTTTTGATGTGTTGATTTCACATCATTACTCGCTATTTAGAGTGTCTGTGGGGTTAGTTCTAAATCGGGTTATGAATGGATATCCATTAAGCTTCATTTGTTTCCGCCCAATGTGTGGTTTGTAGTTGACCATACTACCAATACATGTCCTATGCGAACTGGATTTTACAGCATGGTTAGGCAAGTTCTGTTGTGTTGGCAATCAATACTTGATTTCTATCCAGCCCTGATTGGTTAAATAACTATTTTAAAATAATTTTTCTTTTTTCATGATGTGGAAGGGAGCCATTCTGCGTGAAACCATCCTCTGTGTAATACTCTGTGACTTCAGTGCCCAGAACCTTGAGTTTCCATGCATCAAATGAAGCCCAGGCCAGCATTTAGTTTTCAGCTTATTTGTGCTTCTGCAACTGCAGAATGCACATCATGGGAAATAGAAAACTGCTTAGGTAGTCTACCAAGTACTCAGTTTTTGATTTGATAATTATAATGTTATTTTCAGATATGTTTGCTAAGTTTAATGTCATCTTGGCACCAGGATAGCACACATTTTGAATGTTATTGCATCTTTATCTGCACATTGGATGTTTTGGTAATTTTATTTGCTATGGGTTGATGACAGCAATTGGCTGGTACAATATCAGATTAGTAATGGATTTTGGTTATATTTTTACTTTAATGTTTATCAAGGCTGACTCAAGCTTTGATTCTGGGATTGCATCAAAGCATTATAGACTATCAAAAAATGGCATTCCCCACCTGCTTTAGTATACATTGGAAAGCTCTATAGCTTGTGAATTTTGCCTTGCATCATTTTCCTCAATAGTTTGATACAAATGTAATGGATATGACCTGCTGTATTACCAATAAGACTAAAATCATGTAGACTTTAAAGCAGTGACTGAGTGTTATGTTTTGTGAAAATATGAAGACCTGTTGTGGAAAAGCGTAGCCATCAAATTATAAACTAATGCAGGCTATTTTGCACATATTGTTGATTTAGCAGTCTTTCAGTTTTAAAAAGATGCCATATCATTCTTTCTTGCATCAATTAGCTAATTTCAAGATGATTTATTCCTTTGTGATATGTAGGGAATGTGTCCTTTTTTAGACATTGCAGATAACCATATCATTTTGACTTATGGAAATCTGAAACAAACTTCTGTGAGCATGTGAACAATTGGTGGTTGTTTATTGGTTTTCAGCTTTACTTGTATATCAGTTTATTCTCTTCAGCATCATTTGAATCATGTTTTTGATGTGACTTGTTTCTTTGTGATATTCAGGGAATATGCATTCTTGTTACATATTGATGGTTACCATCTTGCTTTGATTTACCTGGAAATCCAATTTGTAGGGTGCATTTTCTTCATGTTTAACATGTGGTCCTATGAACCACTCTTGGAGTATCTAGCAGGTCGCACCATGCTGCAGTCTGAATGTTAATTCTACTGCACTGATCGTTCTTACAGCTAACCTTTTTGCCAGGGCTGATTTCATCTGGTTGAACAAGCTGGACTGAGCCAGCACCAAGAGGTTGTGCAGCCATCTTGTGGCCTGGAGCGCTCGCCCCTCCTGAAGCTGCACCGCTTCTGACCAGCTGTGTCCAGCCAGTGGCGCTGCAGGTCCCAGTGCGCATGTGTGAGCCCTGCTGACGCCAATGCCGCCGGGAGCGATGGGTGCGCCGGTCCTGCTGCTGCTGGCGGCGCTGGCGACGGGCCGTGCCGCCGCCTTCTACGTGCCCGGCGTGGCTCCGGTCGAGTTCGAGGAGGGCGCGCCGATCAAGGTGCAGGCCATCAAGATGACGAGTACGCACACCCAGCTGCCATATGACTACTACAGCCTGCCTCTTTGCCGGCCCAAGAACGGCACGCTCGTCTACAAGTCGGAGAACCTTGGTGAGTGGTGCTGAACTGACGCCCAGTGGCACCGCGCGGTGTGCAGGCAGTAACGTGCCAACGAGCTGCAGTCCGTTTTTCATCGCTAGTTAAACCGACTTGATCCCCGTTGTTTGCCATGGGCGCAGATGGAAGCTGATATTTGTGTGCTGGATGTCCCAGGCGTCGCCGTTTGGCTTTTGTCAAATAACATTCCTGCTGATTCCTACCATGTCTCTCCAATTTTGTTTCAGGCGAAGTATTGCGCGGAGACCGGATCGTGAACACGCCTTACGAGGTGCAGGTGAAGAAGAACGTCGAGTGCAGGGTGCTCTGCAACTCCGTCCAGAGCCCGATGACGTGGACGCCCGAAGATACGAACGAGGTTATCGGCAGGATACGACACGAGTATTCAGTTCACCTGTGAGTTGGAGGCAGCTGGCTCCAGTAGCAGTCAATTGCTGTGAGGCATTCTGATCTATATCCAGCATTCTGTTGTTTTTCCTGCACAATCCCAAACAGGTGTAAGAGAGCGCGTGATAGTTGTTGAAGGTGCCTGTCCGCGCGCGGTCGGGTTCATCATTCTCATCTGACTTAAAGCAGCAGTTGTTTGAGTTCTCGTTTTGCTTAGTGTTTCATGGCAACAGCAGGGAGACGACTGAGAAGTCGGCTATCAGTTTCCACATGCTCTGGTTGGTATATTGTGATTGCGCTTCCAGCTTGGTGGATAACCTACCGTGCGCCACGCGCTTCGAGAACGTCGACTCGAAGGAGGAGCAGCTGGACCGGGGCTACCGGCTGGGTCGCGTTACTGAGAACGACGTGCTGATCCACAACCACCTGCGTCTGGTGCTGTACTACCACACCGAGGACAAGTGGGTGACCTCTGCTGGGTCATGATGGCGTCCTGCTGACAGGATTACCATTTCTGACTCCACTGTTGTAGATGGAATAATTGCTCGGACTATCATCCTCACCATGTCTGTTGGTATGTGCGCAATGTTTCAGATGGTAATTCTCTGGTTGTTGCCAGCTGCTGTTATGGAATCTTGAGAAGGACTGGATGATGCCTGGCTTTCAGCCATACACGCGTCACAACGTGAATTTTGTTCTTACGCGCGATAGATTACTGACCAGAAGCCCTAACTGTTGTGCAGTTTGCAGATTTGGGAACAATGCGGCACTCTTGGAAAGACCTAGCATCCCCATCAATATTATGGAGTTACTCACGTTCTGTGTAACCACAGCTGTGCTCCAGCCAAACAAACAATGCTGCCAGCAAACCGAGGGGATGACCATGGGACCAGCCCTGTGACTAGTGATCGCCAACATGTGATGTGTCGGCGTCGCTGGTGACCCCTCATCAGCCGGCAGTTCCGACCGGTGGCAGTGTGTTGTGAGGCGCCGGCGGCCGGTGGCCCGGCGTTGACCGGCGGCCGGGCTCCGTTACAGCCTGAGCTTTCGTGTGTTGTGAGGCGCCGGCGGCCGGTGGCCCGGCGTTGACCGGCGGCCGGGCTCCGTTGCAGCCTCAGCTTTCATGTGTTGTGAGGCGCCGGCGACCGGGCTCCGTTACAGCCTGAGCTTCTGTGTGTTGTAAGGCACCGGCGGGCCGGTGGCCCGGCGTTGACCGGCGGCCGGGCTCCGTTACAGCCTGAGCTTCCGTGTGTTGTGAGGCGCCGGCGGCCGGGCTCCGTTGCATCCTCAGCTTCTGTGTGTTGTGAGGCGCCGGCGGGCCGGTGGCAAGGCGTTGACCGGCGGCCGGGCTCCGTTGCAGCCTGAGCTTCCGCGTGGTGCGGTTCGAGGTGGAGGCGCGCTCGGTCGACCTCTCGCAGGTCGAGGACGGGCCCGGCGGCTGCACCTTCGGCAAGGAGCGCAAGGAGATGAGGCTCGTCAAAGACGTGAGCGTGGCGGGTGGATACTTGGACGTCTGAAGGCACGCGGGTCAGCAGAAACCGACCAGAACTCACGCGTCATGCTAGGCCAAATTTCAAAATCGCAAAAGCTTTGTGAAATTGTGCTTTGAATTGTTCTGTGGGTATTTGTGATATCCGATGAAAGGGTCTTTCTGATCATGTCGAGGATGACAAGGCGATGGTGCAGCTGAAAGACGGTACAAATATGTGACTGGTCGTGAACTGTTTGTCAGATACTGATAACATTTAGTCAAATATATAATGCTGATGCCTGTAGCAGGATCAAATGGTAGAGTGCTAGATTTCTCTTTTCTGAATGGTGTGCGTGCTTGATATGTATGCCACCTGAACAGTACGTCTAGCAACCAAACCGACGTACCCCCCCCCCCCCCATTTTGTTTCACTCTGTCACCGTTGTCTTGCCTTGACCTGACCTGGCTTGACGGCTCACACGGCTGGGGGGCGCGTCGCGGCCGGCCCGTGCCGCCCCGCCAGGGCTGGCTGACCGGCAGTCGTGCCCGGCAGACGGAAACGCGGCTGGTCTTCACGTACAGCGTGGAGTGGCGGAGCTCGCAGGTGCGCTGGGCCTCGCGCTGGGACATCTACCTGGCCATGTCCGACGTGCAGATCCACTGGTTCAGCATCGTCAACTCGGTGGTCGTCGTGCTCTTCCTCTCGGGTCAGTTGTAGTCGCTCTCGAGGTGTGGCGGGCTGGCTCTGCGGTCTTCGCTGCTTTTGATTGCTGCGCGTTGCGACCACGACTTCGTGGCGACCTCCGGCGATATTTTGCTGTTTTGTTGACTGAACTACCACTACGTGCTGTAGTTCTGATTAAGTGTTCGGTTAGCCTTGGTACAGCGCATTATCAGAGCTCAATTGCTCGCTGCGTCCCTGGCATTCCTCGCATCTTGAGATGGTCGGCGTGACTCACAGCTTTTTCCAATAGCCGAGTTCCAAGTGATTTCACGCGGTGACTCCTGACCTCGGCATGACTCATATGCCTGCCCCATCTGCCGACCCCTGCGACTTCTGACTGACCCTTGCTTGTCGAAAGTGACGAGGAACGCTACAGTTCTGCTAAGGCGACTCCTCCTGTATGACCTTGGCGTAACCTCGTGCCCGTCTCGTCTGGCGGCCCCTGCCACCTCAAACTGACACATTTCCCACATCTGACAACATAAGTGCAGGACATATTGTATCATGTGGTCGTTAGAATAAACAAGGGAAACGCTTATATATGGCATATTGGAGCCTAGCTGCATTGCGCTCACGCGTGCCTGCATGCCCACTGATGTCCGCCCGCTGCCTGTGGCCACAGACTGACCGCGACGCCGTGTTGGCGTGATGTGCCCCGTTGACGCCCGAGCGTGGCGCCGCCGGCAGGCATCCTGACGATGATCATCATCCGCACGCTGCGGCGCGACATCGCCAAGTACAATCAGGACGACAGTCTGGAGGAGGCCATGGAGGAGACGGGCTGGAAGCTGGTGCACGGGGACGTGTTCCGGCCGCCGCAGCGCGCCAAGCTCTTCTGCGCGCTGGTCGGCAGCGGCGTCCAGATCTATCTGATGGCGCTGGTCACCATCTGTGAGTGGTGACGGTGACAGCGGCCCGTGGTCAGGCTCTGGCGACGGGCTGCGTTGTCGCCGGGTCTGGTCGCGGTCCGCGGGTCTGGGGGATGTCCTCGTGTTCTTGTGCCCAGCGAAGCTTCCCGCGCTCCTGAGTTGATGATTTGGCCACGTCTGTGACAAGATGTGGTGCAGAGGTCCGGCAGCGTCCCGTCGATGTCTGATGGGCTTCCAAGTGCCAGCTGAGCGGTTGGTTTTTTGGCTGATTATTGGTCATTTGGGTTGTTGGCTTGTTATTTGGTGCGTCGTCGGTTATTTGGTGCGTTGGGAAATTATTTGTTTCGTCGGTCAGTGGTTTGATGGTCTGACCGGGTGTTGTACACTGAAGTGTTAGCTTTTGGTACCTCATCTCTTTCCAGTCTGATGGCGGCGACGATGGTTAGTGCTAATTTTATCGATAGTGGCGGCTGCTATGATGATGGCGCAAGCGAAATCATAAAGCCACTGGTGGTAGCAATATGTATGATAGCCTTGGGATAATGCGTGGCCGTCGTCTGGCAGTTTTCGCCACGCTGGGCATGCTGTCGCCATCCTCGCGCGGCTCGCTCATGACGGCCGCCATCACCCTCTACAACTTCATGGGCGTTCTGGGCGGCTACTTCTCCGGCAGACTGTACAAGACGATGAAGGTGGGTGTCGGCTCACCATGACCGACTGGAGACCTCTGGGCCGTTGTTATTCGAATGGTACGCTATTATCGGATGAACACGCCCAGATTGTATCCGCCGTCGGAGCGCAGCGCTGGTCGTACAGAAGAAGGCACCAAAGATTTTTGCGAAGTTGTTTATGAGGCGTGCGAAGCTGCTACCGGTAACACGCGAGCAGCTGACACCGAGCTGTTGGTCATGGCACGGTCACAGCAGGCGTAGCGAAACGAATGGCGAAAGCTGCTTTTTAAAGGGGTGGACGGGCGCGAGAGACGATTTCGCCTGGGTTTCTGGGCCGTGTTGCCCTCGTGTCGTACCACCGCTGCGGTTTGTTCCGTGTGGTCGTCACCCAACCCCGCGCCCGTTCCGCAGGGCAAGATGTGGAAGTCGACCGCACTGTGGACGGGCGTGCTCTACCCGCTGGTAGTGTCATCTATCGTCGTGTTCCTCAACTTCTTCGTGTGGGGCAAGCACTCGTCGGGCGCTATCCCGTTCACGTCCATGCTTTCCGTGCTGGCCATGTGGTTCGGCATCTCCGTGCCGCTCGTCCTGCTCGGGTGAGTTAGTGAACGCTGGATTGCGTCGGTAAGGGAGCGAACGCCCATCCTGGTCGGTGAGCCTCTGCTCTTATTAGTCTCTCAATGCTTGGTTGAATGTTTGTTGATAAATATGAACTATTTGCAGATGAATAGGTGCTGAATAATTCCGTCACGCAGGTTTATGGCGAACTGACCGGATAACCTTAGTTGGTCATGCTTATTTACATGAAATTACACACCTCTCGTTCTTCTGGCACGAACAATGTGCTGTTCGTGTCGCTCCTTGTATTGTGAAGGAATATGTAAATGATGCATTGCCACATTTTTATCTGCATGCACTGTAGGTTATATGTCTCAGGACGTTACGCCTCTGCGTGTGCTCCTGCAGGCTGAACGCAGTAAGCAGGCTCATCAGCTCGTGCCTGACCGTGTCGCAAGTATCGCTCACCCGCGACCTGACGCACAACCTCATGTGACGGTGGTGCCACCTGTTGCCGACAGATCGTACGTGGGCTTCCGGAAGCCGCCGTACGAGCATCCGGTGCGGACGAACCAGATTCCGCGCCAAGTGCCCGAGCAGGCCTGGTACCTGCACCCGCTCTTCTGGTGGGTCTGGCCACGTGGCTGTTGTTCGCTCTGTCATCTGAAGATGGAAATTATCTGCGCTGTCTTTGTACGATCTGCGTGTTAAGGACGCCTTTGCCTGCATGCTGGCCATAAATCCCTCGTGTTTAGACGTGAAGTCCGGGAACCCGCTAGCCCACACACAGCACGCTGTTTGAGAAAGCTGAACATCCACGATGTGATGTGTGGAAAGTTTGCATGTTTAAAGTTAAAGGTTACTCGTTAGAGTCTTTTGGTAAATTGTTTAAAGTTCTGACTTCCACAAATTATTTAACATCCACTTTTGGAATCGTTTGCACCACCGTGGCTTGGGTGTCTTCATTGGCATTGCTGCCAAGCTGTTACCGTGTCTTGTGTTTGGTGTGGCGACGGGCATGGCCCCGCGCCTGCCGCTTCTAGGCTGTTGCGAGTCGCTTGCGTCTGTCAGCCGTCTGTAGCCGCAGTACATCGGTCGGTGTTTCAGTTCGCTGCTGGCTGGAGTGCTGCCGTTCGGAGCCATGTTCATCGAGCTGTTCTTCATCTTCTCGGCCATCTGGGAGAACCAGTTCTACTACATGTTCGGGTTCCTCTTCCTGGTCTACATCATACTCACCATCAGCTGCAGCCAGATCAGCATTGTGCTGGCTTACTTCCAGCTCTGTGGCGAGGTAGGACGGCTTTCAACACAAACCTCTCACCTGAACTTTGAGCGTGAAATGCGTCTGGTGACTTTCCAACAAAGGTTTTCTTACTTTGATAGCATGTGTCACCGGCACCTGTGACCCAGGGGGGGGGGGGGGTGTTAGATATCTAAGCTTTGCCCCATGATTTTGGACTCCTTGATTTAGGAGTGCCACGGGCAGACCCACATCCAGTGTTGTGAGGTCATGGGGTCGGTACTTACTACCGGCTGTTTTCTCGCAGTAGTCGGCAGGGTCTGCGTCGCCAGTGACCCTTGGTTGTAGAGGCAGAATGTTCCGGCGACGCGGACTTCCATGCGCCGCTGTCCGTGTTGACTGGCGTTGAGATGCCCCCCTCTAACATGTTTGTCTTGCGAGTTTGCGAAGACATCCCGTGCGTGTGACGACAGTGGCGGCGTGGCAGCATGAGGCCGACGTGTGTCGTCTCGTGCTGTGTTTGTCGTTGGCACCCCTGACGCCAGATGTTATGCAAGCGTGGAGGAAGCTTAAACCAGTGGAATAAAAACATGTTTCAGGACTACCACTGGTGGTGGCGTAGCTTCGTCGTGTCTGGCGGATCTGCCATCTACGTTGGAGCATATTCCATCTTCTACTTCTTCACAAAGCTTGAGATCGACGAGTTCGTCCCGACGTTGCTTTACTTCGGGTAGGCTAATGCCGCGCAGTGTTAACGTCCTCAACTTGAAGCTCTATGTATTAATGCGTATTTTCTCTCGTGCATTGCGCCCCTGGCAGATCGGTTGATCTGGTCTGATCATGGTATAGCTGTGAAGGAAAGATCTTCTTTGAAGATTCGACGATTTTCTTTGAAGAAATGATCGAATTGATGAAAGCTGACAAACGACCTTTTTTCCTTTGAGTTTTTTTTCTTGCTGGGGTATGCACATACGCTAAACGTAAAGATGGGAATAATTATGCATGCTTTGTATTAATGTTTACAGACAGTTTCTTTGTAGAAACCCTTACACTGCGGAATGTTGAAGCATTGATAAGCACTTGGCGTTGTTTGCGATTTTGTGAACCGGAACCATTTCTAGAGGGGGCAGACACCCTAACCTGTCTCGCTCGCCGGCCCTGCGGTCTAACCCTGTTGCCTTTCCAGCTACACGGCCATCATCGTGACCACCTTCTGGCTGCTGACGGGCACCATTGGCTTCTGGGCCGCCTACACCTTCATCAAGAAGATCTACGGCGCGGTGAAGATCGACTAGCTGCCGCGTCAGTGTGTCGCCGTCGCCGGAGGAGCGACGTCCAGAGCCGGCCGCGGCGGGCTACGCCCGGCCTCGGGCGGTCCGGCGCTGTGTGGTCCCAGAGACGCGCTAGGGACGGCGGGCGGGGCGCGCCGGCGCCGGCTGGAGAGCTGCACGGCCTGATGCGATCAGCAGCGTGACAACGGTGATAGGGGGCGAGTGACGCCCTGTTCTGAACCGACTGAAATCGTGTGGAGTGGTGACCAAGGGAGGCGTCGGAGGTGGGCATTGCTGTGCTGTCGACCTCGGCGGTAGCTAAATTCGGCGGCGCGTCTCGTAGACCGGGCTTGGCCGCGTGTCACGTGCTGGTGTATGGTTGTTACTGATTATGTTATCATCGTGCGATGTTTCTGGTGTGAGGGGAGCGTGGGTGTGGTGTGCGCCACAGGCTCCGTGGGCTTCGCAAACCAAATAGCAAATTCCACTACGCTGTTCTGCTATGCTGGTCCATACTCGATCGAGTATTTGTTTTCTCACGAGTCTTGTGTACCGGAAGTCGGTCTTCGATTTATTTATGTACGTATACGGTCACCCGTTTTATGGTACAGAATAAAATCATTCGTGAATATTGTCTGTGAATTTAGCAACATTGCTACGAGCCAGCATGGTGCTGGCGGTAATTGTGTAATGCTCAGGAGTGTAGAGGTACCATATGGCCGGTGCAGTCGGCGGTTCCTGAAGCTCAAATCATCACCATCACGATTTTTTCCCTAATTTCTTCGTTTTGATATTGGTTATAGCGTTTCGTACCGCATTGTGCGTTGCATTTTCCCTTTGGATGTTCGATAAGCCATCCCGCTCGGTTTGTGACGGGCTTGTGCAGCGGCGGATGCGGCATTATATCTTAGCTCTCGCGCGTCCCCGTAAATGGTAAGCTCGAAGTTGGCGCCAATCACGCAATAATCGAGCGCTTGTAGTCAAACTTAGATCTTCCCCACCATCTTGGTTAACCTTTAAACGGGACCCACGGTTCTCTTGGTCCCAGTTGAATCCGCCAAGACTACGCTTGCCCAAGAACACATTTGGTAGTGTAGCTCACTTGACTCCATTCTGTGATCACGTGTTGTGTTCATTGTATGAGTGCCCTGAATGTGGGTTACATTGTAAGCGCACCCTACAGGTCATACGGGGTACGCAAACAAACTGTGGCACGCGAGCTTTTGATTGCGTGCGTGCAGCCCGCAGGATAGGTCGGTGCCCGTATTCCACAAATCGAGCACCGACGAGCCGTTTGATCTCATGGTTTCCCTGCGATCTTTAAGTGGGTGGTAAGCACCACTTCATGCCCGTCCCGGGAGATAGCTCAGATGGCAAGAGCGCCCGCCTTCCGACCCACTCAACCGTGGCGGAGTGGGCTTGAGATCTTAACGCCACTTTAAACGCTCATCGTTTGCCCTCGGCAGATGTGTCTGCGCCCGGGGGTAACGGCCGCGTTGAAGATCAAGTGACGCCAGAGTGCAGGGCGGACGGTGCCGAACATTGCGGGACATCAAACTTCCGCCACTAATTCTGCCGTTGACCTGCAGTTTCAGGATTGAGTGGTTGCCTACAGGGTTTACGCAAACATTGCTAAGCGTGGGTCCTGATGCCAGAAATCTGTCCATTGAAAAGGCTCGGAGTTCGGGCTAAATCTTAAGGAAGGCATTTGAGGTACACACGGACGTGGCTACTGAACACGTGGCTGTGGGGCGGTCGAGATAGCTGTGGGCGGCCATCAGAATCCAAGACCGGCAACTGTGATCGTTTGTTCGGTTCTTGGTCAAATCATTGGTTATCTTGGTGATCGCGCGTTTCTTGATCATATCGTGAAACCACATCTACCTCCATGTCTTCAACCAACAACTTTTCAACAATCCTGAACGATGTCTTCAAACCATATTTTATTGCAAAATGTCTGTGTACAGACATGTTAAAATGTTGCAATACAGCAGTGCAGATGCCGTCAGTGAGCGAAGTCTCCTACATAGCAGACCGACGGAATCCCGGCAGTGTGCGGCAATTGGACACCATCCATAATCGGTCTGCTGTGTTCGAGGCCGTGAGGGCTGTTGCTGCAATACGGGTTCAGAGCAGCACCGCTGAATGGTACTAAAATTCAACATGCTACATGTCGGCACAGGACAGTGGACGCGGTCGTGGAGACGCGCGATGGCTGGCATGCGCTCAAACGGCGAGTGCGTCTCGCGCCGCTTTTATTTTGGTGCGCAGGTATTCGGTGCGTCACCTGCTTTATATTGGCCTTTTATGATTTACACACACCTACCAAATGTGTCCGCGTGGGACGTCGTGGTATCAAAGTCGCCGCATCAATAACTGTGCGTAACGACCCCACCTGTTGTGATTTAATAAAGGACCAGCTGCATTTATAAGATCTGCAGCTTTCCGAAATGTCATCAGGCCACAGGCCATCAGGCCATCAGGTAGAGGGCGTTATTGGCATCTCCATCCGCCGAAATCCACTCCTGGAGCGATGTCGCTAAAACGTCAGTCAGCCACAAACAACAGCGCCCATCAGGCTTTTATTAACTACACCGGCGTAAGCCCAACATGCAACCTACCTAACAAACCACCGAGGTCACCAGCGCACGCTCAGTCATCGACAGCGCGACAGACCACCACATTCGCGGCAACGCGCCCGGCTGCAGCAGCCGGGTCCCACGCGCCCAGGCCCCGCCCGCCAACACCGTGCGCCCGCTAACCAGTTCCATCAGAGCACGCACGTCCTCACCGATCGGTCAGGCCCCAATAGGGTCCACGTGACACGCGCGAGGCGGCAGCAGCCAACGCCACGCCTGGCTGCACAGTCCGTCCACCCGGCGGGCCGGGCCAGAACACGACATCGAGGCCACGAGAGGCCGCTTCACGTCGCACGCGCGCCGACCGCGGCGGCCACCGAAGGCGCGCGGCCGACACAGGCCCCACGGCCGGCGCACTACACGCCTCAGGCGCTGACACTGGCCGGACATTGCGTGCGCACGCTTGAACAGCGCGGCGGCGCCCGCAGCCGGAGCACCGGCTGGCGCCTAAGCGCCGGGCGCAATGGGTGCGCGGAACACACGCGCCCGGCCCAAATGTGCACAGGCGTCCGAAAACCGTAACAGACAGATCTAGATGAACACGGGCGTGATGGAATCTCAGAGTGCCAGGTACCCACGTATCACAAATTGGTCCCATCAGAACCACTTAAAATCGAGCGGCTGGCAGTTAGTACGTGGATGGAACATCTCAGCAAAAATAGCTCTCGCGAGCTCATGGCAAATGCATACCATCCCGCCACGGCCAGTTAAGAAATAACGGGAACCACCTGCCGTCTTGACCTTCCTATTGCCATGATGAACACAGAGGTCACCGACGCGAACAAGTTCTTGACATGTGAAAAGTAACGTACATTGATTGCAAAAATATGCTATCAAAAATACAGGCAGCGTCCATCAGACACCGAGTATACGAGTGAAAGCACAAAGGGATTTTCCAGGATGCCGCACCCAAGAAACCATCCCATTGCGACCGATACAAAACATCAAAGATATCCCAGTTTAGGAGCATTTCAAGCGCCTTTATTGCTGAAGCCCTCACCACAAAAATACAATACCAACATCCTAACGAGTAATTCAGAGATCCACAGAACCCTTCCCATTATGAGTTGAAAGTTCTTATGCTGAGTAACGACCTATAAGGCACAGCCCAGGATGTGGACAGGAACCGCTGCGCAGAGTAAGCACAGCGCGAAATATTGAGTGCCGTCAACATAATCGGCAGCCAGCATTGCAAATCTTGTTATCAGTACTTCCTGGTTTATTGAAGGTCATCAACTCAAACTAAGAACCAACAATTCATAACGCAAAAAAGAACCAAATCCTTTCTTACATACAGTGAAACCCTTCCGGAGATGACGACAGAGCATCGATACTCCCCCGTTTCAAAATGTCCAAATCGTGAGGTCATCATCCCACGTCCCCGCCAGGCGAGGGCAAGGGCGAGGTCCAGGTCCAGGTCAGACCAGGTCACGGGCGAGGTCAGCTGACCGACAGCACGTCCCAGGTGATGCTCGGGTCCTCGCGACACTCCGTCATGGCCAAGGGCGCGCCCTCCTCCCGGCCCGACGCCGACAGGCAGCCGCCCACCGCCAGGTTATACACAGGCGTCTCCACCTGTCAACAGACGACCGCCAGCCGATAGGTGAGGCGGAGCGGCTGACAGGCGCCGCGCACTTCCACGCGGGAGGTCCCCGCTCTTCTCCGACCGAGTTTCGGCGGCTGGGCACCAATGCGACCGCCGCCGTCGCTTGAAAGAGTTGCACTAAGGCAACATACGCGCGTGAGTTCAACAGGCTGTCAAATATAGCAATAGTCAAGGGCAGGCTCCCGGCAGCTCCACACATGGTGGCGACTTGCCGACTTCCTCCGTACTTATTATGATGTGTGCTACAACCGTGGGCGTTAGCTAGTTCTTTCGTTCCCTCTAGCGGCAACTGGCCGATGCAGGCAGTGGAATAATCACGACAGTTGTTTGTAGACAGTAACTAGTAACACGGGGTTGGAAATCAGGCGTCAAGATTATATCTCCCAAGCGCTACCAGCCTCACAGCTAACAATGCACCTCACCAGGCTCACATCCCATACACCAGCCAACAACCCCACTTAAATGGGCACAGTCTCTCTCGAAGCCCGACGGCCCGCGTGGTTTCCGACCGTTGGAAGCCGTCCGTTCGGCCAACAGGCGACCTAAGAGGACGCCAGCCTCGACTGCGGCCGCCGCGTGCGCGGCTGACGGGCCCGGCAGCCCGGCCGGCCTCCCACCTTGGCACCGTAGTTCCACTGTTGGTCGCCCATGCGGCCGTGGCAGGCGGCCAGTATGGGCGCGTCATCGGTGGCCTGCAGGCACAGCTCGCCCTGCGACAGCTCCTGTCGGCCCGTCTCCAAGAACACCTGGAGAACGGCGCCCGGTCAGGGTCGAGGTGTGACAAGGACCAGTGACACAAGGTCTGTACTGGACGCCCCGTCAGGGTCGAGGTGTGACAAGGACCAGTGACACAAGGTCTGCACTGGACGCCCCGTCAGGGTCGAGGTGTGACGGGGACCAGTGACACAAGGTCTGTACTGGACGCCCCCAGGGTCGAGGTGTGACACGGACTAGTGACACATGGTCTTTTCCAAGCGCCCGCTCATGATTCAGGTGTGGCTACGTCCCTGACTGGCCCCAGCCATGCCCTGCCCTGCCCTGCCCTGCGCCCTGCCCTACTGCCTCTAAACCCGCACTATTCTCCCCTTCCCGGACCCCGCTCGACCTTCGCCACCGCTGCCGACCTGGTCCGGCGCGTCGTCGGCGCAGGGCCGCAGCCGGAGCCGGCCGTGGCCGCGCTGCGCACAGAGCGTCGAGTCGCTGAGCCGGAGCCGGAGCCGGCCAGCGGCGGCGCGGCGCGCCGTGTCGGGGCTGGCCAGCCCGCCCGGCTGCCGCCCTCGCGTCACCGGCACCTCCAGCTCCGGGTACACCGTCTCCAGGTACCTGGACAACGGGCAGGGTGCTGGCTCGGCACACCGAACAGTGAGGAGCTTCCGGTGCTCCTCCGGGACGCATGCAGAAACATGGATATGATCTTATCATGGCGAAAGCGCATGATAACGAGTGACAGGTGAGGAGGATGCCGTTCGGCAAACGAGACGCTGGCGAACACACATCATGCAGCGCTGGAGCTAACAACTGACAAAATAACACCGGGCAAGCCGAAGGCCAGCACAATGCGCCTTCCAAAACTCACAATGCGCTAATCGAGCAAAGTAAAGCGATGCAATTTGGGACGAAATAGGGACCACTTTCAAGCCACTTGGCACAAGGACAAGCTTCTAGCTCCTACCCACTCGATGTGATCAGCACGACAACAAGACGACCAAGGCGCAGTGTTTTCCACATGTTCATTGCTTTAAATGAGTGTGCAAAAGATAATTGTTGCTCATTAGGAAGGCACCAGAAGGCAAAAGGCAGCGAAATGTCTTGAATAATTGGTTCACGATGTGGGACAGACAAGAAATAACAACGCAGCTGTGATGCCACTCAGGAATTTTTCGGCCGTTACGACGAATATCGCCACGCTAGACGTTCACATCGATGAAAGCCATGCAGTGACCCAAGTCTTTTGGCCTGGAGAGGTCTCGCTCCACACATCAACACAACACGCGTCGCTGATATCACACCGATGCTAGATCTCCGCGCTCACCACTGGAAAGATTTGCAGTTTAGTTTCTTGCGTAGCTTGATTCGGCTGGTAATGTCACCGTATTTCATCCCAGGCGCGTCGGGAAATTCGTCGTAGAAATGTTCCTGAAAAACAAGAGACGTTATATGTACCTTTGTGCCGTCCGACGACACAAACAAGGGAGCGACCACAGCAATTCAATATCAAACACAAATTCCTGTCAATTCAATGTAAACTGCAGCAATAAAATATTCCGAAATGTTGCAGTGCATAACAGATTAAACCAAGTGTGTATAACCACTCTATCACCAGCTTCGCAGGGAACGGTCCGGATATCACGACTGATGTTAATGTTGACGCAGGCTGATGGCTTACAAGCAAACGATGAATTTATTTAATTGCAAATCACATTTGAAAAGCGACAGTACTTAACATAAAACGATGGCAACAAAAATGAGCACACAATTTTGTTTTGTATTTGCTCGAAATCTATCAACGAGGTGGCCTTCCAGCTCGTTACCAGTGAAATATTCTGTAAAACACGGTGCTGCAAAACACGCACGAAGTCGAACGATGAATGCAATAGATGGGCTGATTCGACAAATGAATGCACCAAACCCAGAGCACACATTCAAAGCTGAATGAAAGCAAGTTGAAAACGCATGGGATCCTCATTGACATGCATAGATCACTCATACATAGACATGGGCGCACAATCACACCAGGGCACCAGCACGGGCCTAAACAAAAACACATCACCTGAAACTAGCGTTTTGAACCGCGAGTCTTTTATTCCATGCAGATATGGTGGTGGTTGGGGGCAGGCGGGGTCCCAACCCGCCGCAGCATAAGGAAAGGGTCGGTTCGGTGACTTCCAGTCGGCACCTGGGCGGGTGAAGAGACAATGACATGGAGGAGCGCGTCTCGCTTAGTGAAAGTGAGGAACATGGCTTGAAGAGATTGGACAGCGAGCGGCGATTCTTGACATATTAGCGCGTTTAATACATTCAGCGCGTCCCTCTCTCACTATATCATCGATCCGGGCTAGCCTAGACTCCAGAGTCGGTGTTACATGCTGACTGCTGGCTGGTTGTATGCGTCTCATTCCGGAGACAATCTTGGCGGCAAATCTGCAACTCTTTTAATCCTCTGCATCTGACGCTTCATTGCACTTCTTCATATGCACGGACAGGATCTTTGTGGGAAAACTTACCTTCACTAATCGTTTGAAAACAACAGGTATGCATTAATGCCTGAGGAGTTACGGTGAGATTAGAATTCCGTTGCATTTCTGCATGAATTTGGCGACGTACCTCTTCCACAAGAGCGTCGAGTCTACGATCACACCGTGTAAACGTGATGTGTAATGAACGCGTCATAGCATCTCAATCTATCTCAAAGTTGAACTTTCGTTTCAGTTATGTTTAGAGCCTATGAGAACACGGCCGGTTTTGTCTTTGTTCATTTTCAGAGCTGGCGCTGAACCAAGCCTAAAGTTCGCAAACTGACATTCCCAGACAGCGCTTTCGTGGGTCGATACTCGACTAGCTGGGAGCGGCGGGGTCCAGGGGCTGGGTGTCACCTGCACATCAGATTAGGCATCCACGTGACAGGTGACTGGACAAGTCGAGCGGCGGGGTCCAGGGGCTGGGTGTCACCTGCACATCAGATTAGGCATCCACGTGACAGGCGACTGGACAAGTCGAGCGGCGGGTCCAGCGGCTGGGTGTCACCTGCACATCAGATTAGGCATCCACGTGACCGGTGACCGGACAAGTCGAGCGGCGGGGTCCAGGGGCTGGGTGTCACCTGCACATCAGATTAGGCATCCACGTGACAGGCGACTGGACAAGTCGAGCGGCGGGGTCCAGCGGCTGGGTGTCACCTGCACATCAGATTAGGCATCCACGTGACAGGTGACTGGACAAGTCGAGCGGCGGGTCCAGGGGCTGGGTGTCACCTGCACATCAGATTAGGCATCCACGTGACAGGCGACTGGACAAGTCGAGCGGCGGGTCCAGGGGCTGGGTGTCACCTGCACATCAGATTAGGCATCCACGTGACAGGTGACTGGACAAGTCGAGCGGCGGGGTCCAGGGGCTGGGTGTCACCTGCACATCAGATTAGGCATCCACGTGACCGGCGACTGGACAAGTCGAGCGGCGGGGTCCAGGGGCTGGGTGTCACCTGCACATCAGATTAGGCATCCACGTGACAGGCGACTGGACAAGTCGTTTCCTAATGGGGTCAACAAGGGCGGACCGACTTCTGATCCCTGGGACACTGCGTGGGTTACCAGTCGGGTCGTCAATGGTCCGCGCACTATCCGCCTTCGACCACCCAAATAACTTGAGAGCCGATCAGGGTTCACACCGCATCACTGAGGCTGTGCTATAAGCAACTCATGATCCACGCCGCCGAAGGCCTTGGATGGTTCGACAGCTGGCAGTGCATATGTCTCTCCGCTGTCGACTTCCCAACAAGCTCTCCGCCAGAGTCGAGCAGTGCATCCTCAGTACAGCAATCTTGCAGGTAGGCAAATTGGACGGGACCGAGAATGCCATCGCTGAGATATACGTGTATAGCGAGGTGCAAACGACTTCTTCAAGATTTGTAACCAGCGCTTTAAAGAGAGACATCTGGGCCTACAGTCAACTGGTACAGTTGAGTGGCCTGTTGCATCGAGGTAGTCCGAAACAGTCATAGTCCGACCTGCAGCCGGACGCCACACATCCAGACCAGGGTCATCGAGATCAGTCACATGGCTGCCGTGCATTGGGACCTGGGTAACGAGGGCCACAAGGTTGTATCCGTTCTATGCTGCATACATTCCTCTTTAAACCAAAGCCAAGGAGCCACAATTCCACCAAACAGGACGGGAGCCGGCCAGGACCTCATCCACGCTCAGCAGTGCTCCTCTCTACTACCGCCATCTATCGGCGGCCCGCGCACCTTGTAGTCGTCAAGCCAGACCAGCACCAGCCGGAGCAGGTTCTGCAACACGGACTTGCTGCCGTCCGGCGTCTCATACGGCCGCCGCTTCCTGAACACGTGACCGATCCGAGAGCAGGGCACGATCTGCATCCGGCCGCCGCACATCCAGACCTGGGAACCCGGGGTCAGAGGTCACGTGGCCGCCGCACATCCAGACGTGGGTAACCGGGGTCAGAGGTCACGTGGCCGCCACACAAACAGACCTGGGTAACCGGGGCCAGAGGTCACGTGGCCGTCGCACATCCAGACCTGGGCAACCGGGGTCAAAGGTCACGTGGCCGGCGCACAAACAGACCTGGGTAACCGGGGTCAGAGGCCATGTGGCCGTCGCACATCCAGACCTGGGCAACCGGGGTCAGACGTCACGTGGCCGCCGCACAAACAGACCTGGGTAACCGGGGTCAGAGGTCACGTGGCCGCCGCACAGACCCGGGTAACCGGGGTCAGAGGTCACGTGGCCGCTGCACATCCAGACCTGGGCACCCAGGGTCAGAGGTCACGTGGCCGTTGCACATCCAGACCTGGGTACCCAGGGACAGAGGTCATGTGGCCGCCGCACATCCAGATCTGGGTACCCAGGGTCAGAGGTCATGTGGCTGCCGCACATCCAGACCCGGGGAACCCAGGGTCAGAGGTCACGTGGCCGCCGCACATCCAGACCTGGGCAACCGGGGTCAGAGATCACATGGCCGCCGCACATCCAGACCTGGGCAACCGGGGTCAGAGGTCACGTGGCCGCCGCACAAACAGACCTGGGTAACCGGGGTCAGAGGTCACGTGGCCGCCGCACCAACATACCTGGGTAACCGGGATCAGAGGTCACGTGGCCGTTGCACATCCAGACCTGGGTACCCAGGGTCAGGGGTCACGTGGCCGCCGCACAAACATACCTGGGTAACCGGGGTCAGAGGTCACATGGCCGCCGCACATCCAGACCTAGGCAACTGGGGTCAGAGGTCACGTGGCCGTTGCACATCCAGACCTGGGCAACCGGGGTCAGAGGTCACGTGGCCGCTGCACATACAGACCTGGGCAACCGGGGTAAGACGTCACGCGGCCGACACGCTACCAACCGTAGTGATCCAGGAAGGATCACTGTGACTGGCAGGGTGGTAGAGATCACTGTGGTTTGCGTTATAAATGAACAGTTGCGCATTCAGGCCTCACACAGCTAAGGTACTGCGACATCCGCTACTGCGTTAGCAGCGAGCGGATGTCTGCGACTGTGTGAGTGACTGATCGCCACCAACCACAACATACCCTGAACGAGAGCTCGAGGTTCTCGCCGCCCCAAATATCCATGCCGTCGTCGTACGTTCCAAGCTCGTAGAAGTAGCTGCGGTCCATGGCGAACAGACCGCCGGCCATGGCTGGGGTGCTGCAATGGCAGGCGTCGCGTCATTCGTGCAGCAAGCATGGGAGTTCAGAATCCATGCATCTGTCAGCAAGGACGATCTAGGCACACCACAAGAGCGTATTCCAGCTCCCTCCTCCATCGGCAAAGAGCTGGCTTCCGGCACTAATTAGCAACGGCCCAGAACCCCTTACACTTCAATCTGCAATTCTTCAATCGATCTTCAATTATTCCACAGGCCTGCCCCATCAATCAGCATTCACTCATTCACCCCAAACCGCGCTCTCCCCACGAATCAGCACTTACCCCAAGTCCCTCTCCCCACCAATGGGCACTAACTCCAAACCCCTCTCCACTAATCAGCACTTACCCCAGGCCAATCTCCCCAACAATCACCACTAACCCCAAACCCCTCTTCACCAATCAACACTCACCCTAGTCCCCTCTCCCCTCCCATCAGCACTCCATACATCGCTTCTCCCAGGAACCAACACTGACTGGAGATCCTGTTCCACCACTATTCATCTCATACGCACATCGCTACAACCTCTCTCACATGTCATTGGTACACCAGCCCCAGCCGCACCAATCAAGACTCAGCACAACGCCCCTCCTACAAATCAGCGCACAGCCTTCCCCATCCACCAATGACAGATACCGCCCTCCGCCAATAAGCGCTCACTCGATCGGTCGGACGAAGTCGTCCTCGGTGCGCCGCCCGCTGTGAGGCACGGCTACCCACTGGAAGTGCATCTGCCAGTTGAAGCCGCCCCTCACCAGCGGCGAGGCCGTGTAGGCGAACGTGTCGGCGTTGATGACGTCGATGATGGGCACGGTGACGGTGTGCCGGTCGGCGGCGATCGGCGCCAGCAGCGGCGGCAGCCACGCTACGTTCACCTCCACGTGCGAGTCCAGGAACACCAGCACCTGAAGCACGCAGCGCCAAGTACGTGAAGCGTATGCCAGTGACGCAAGATTCGAAGGAGGCGCCGCGCACTCTGGTGGCCACGCGGGTGAGATGTCTGTCGTTGGATCCGGGTTCAATTCTCGACTCAATAAACTTTCAGTGACACGATGCTCGCTACATTGCTCAGGCCACTAACGGCCTGAGTAGTCTTATGGTTGTTAAGTGTTACATCAGTTCTTTTCGCGCTGTATCACCCATAAGACATCGGGACCACAATCATACGACTTGGGCATCGCATTTACATGTGAAACGACTTTACATAATATTGCAATGAGGGAATGGTACACTGGCTACGCTTATAAGCTAACACAATCTCTACGAAACCCAATCGCCCAAAGAACGCGCACCTGACAAAACTAATGAAATATCTTTTGACAGCTCGCCTTCATGGTTGGAAGTCAATGTGTGAAACGCCGGCTTTGTCCCTGCACACTATACTGTTCTCGTCACTTCGCCTCCAGCGGACTGGGGCACGTCTCTTGATCAGCTGCCGGGCGGGCCTCACCTCGCCGGTGGCGTGCGCGGCGCCGTGCAGGCGGGCTCGGATCAAGCCCAGACGCACGTCGGAGCGGAGCAGCTGAACCTGCCGGCAGGGGCGGCCGGTCACGACACGGGTCACGACGGCCGGAGCACGCGCCAGCGGCCACAGGCGCTCAGCCACGAACAATGGTCACCGGCTCATTGCGAGACATGCCTGCATAGGACGGGCTGTCGGTGGACTTATGCACCCGTCCGCCACCCGCATACTAGTAATAACCTGTTTCAGCGATGATTTAACAGTCGATTACGTCGTGTTCAACCATATATATGATATAACTACTGGAAACTGATGGACAGGACAGGACAGATGTATCACATAATGTCGTAAAGCTCGCGAAACAAAGATTACATTCTTACCTTCACTACTGTTTCACATCCTTTACGGACTGCTAGACATGTAATGAAAATAGTCTTATAAGACTAGCCTTTGGGGATACAATTTACACCATATTCCTGCACTGCTACCATTGAAGACCATCACACTATACCAACACCACCACTAAATGACTGCAAATCACAAACTAACATGATTCAAAAACATCACACTGTATCAAAACTGGTATCCAGACAGATAACCAAAAAGACGTTTAGTCCAACGTCGTCTTGCCGAATGCCTTTCATCGAATGGTATTTTGTAGACGTGTTTTATTTTTGCCGCCGTGGCTAAAAGGTGAAGTGCTAAAAGCTGGAACAGCACTTTGCCGGTACACCTTTTGCCGACGCGTTTAACTGACAAAATGTTAGTAACTCGAAAAGCATATTTCCTCAACGCCAATTTGCCTTAGTACTATTCAATCGAATACTTATCGCCGAATCGTTCCTTAGCGGATACTAACTTCCCAACATACTTTGTAGCCGAATCAGATTTGCCAAACTATGTTTTATTAAAATGCCAATTCGCCGAAATGCTCTGTAGTCGAAGGTTGATTGGCTACATGTTCTTTACCCGAACGTACCTGCGTCAATATGCTTTTTTGAAGGAACTGTTAGTTACATACACATTTGAAGACATTGGGGCATGCATCCGAAACGATGGGAAAAAGCTCACTTGTCGCAATCGGTGTGCTTTTACGTGCGAAAGACTGCTCTAAAGAACAAAATTTTACTGTTCAAGTTTATTTTACTATTCAAATTATACTATTTTACTATATCAAGGTGTTTCTCAACACAACATAGTTTGATTGCGTTACGGGCCATTTTATGACGTCAGCGTCGACGCCAGCCTTACCGTGTAAGAGTTACCACTGTTAGGTCTGGCGCGGTCCTACCGACTGCGCCAATGTTAGGTGTGTACCGCGCTCCGCCACCTCCGTCCGCCGGCGTCCTTCCGTCCTAGTCTCAGGCCAGAGTGCATTTCCCCCGCGAGCCGGCCGGTCGCCGCACAGGTCACCGCCCCAGGCGTCCGGCCGCACGGGCGGGTCCAGGGGCGCCAGAGATGGGGTGCAATGGCACGGCGCACGGGCGGACCCTGGCCGGCTAACACCCCCCCCCCCCCCCCCCACACACACAACACTATAGCGGACGGGGTGACTCACTTGTGGTACTGATCAGGCCGCGAGATGACCCGCAACGTGACGAATACTGTCATCAACAGTATTGGATACGCCTGATCAACAATGCTATCAATGCATAACGCAATTCATGGGCCGCCTCCTTCGGCCTGCGGAATTTATCACTGGGGTCGTCAGTTATCAGGGCTTTCGGTTGATTCGACTACGTGGTCACATCGAGGCTAGAGCCCAGTCATTTCCAACCGTCTAATTCCAATTCAATAAAAAGTCGACAAGTGTTCACTTGACGAATTAATCTTAGCCTATTCGCCACTCTTTAAGTTTGTATTGCGACAAAATTGCTTTTGGTCAATCGACCATTCGGCGATTTTCAATGCGACGAATTGCCGTTCGTCAAATTCACGTTTCGCGAAAAATGCATTCGGCCCATTAAGCGTTCAGTGATTTTCTTCTCGCCCAAATCCCGTTTCGGCAACTTGGCATTAGGCTAATTAACATTGTGGCTGATCAACTGTTCGACAATTTGCACATCGTTAAAAAATATGTCCATAATATTATTTTCGCCTTTTGGTCACTCACCTTTTCACATTTTGTTTTAACACAGTGGCCAGATTCACATAGATAAGACAGCAGCATTAGCCTCATTCCTCGGATAAAAGGCAGGAGGATGGAGACAAAGTTGGGTTAATATTTCAGCAACATGCCTTTATCGAACCACTAGCAGTAGTCTTCTGCTAGTGGTTCGATAAAGGCATGTTGCCGAAATATCAACCAAACTTAATCTCCATTCTCCTGGTTTTTATCCGAGGAATGAGGCTAACACTACTGTCTTTTCCATGCCAATAATGTTCCTCGCTAATGCACTGAACAACTTACAGCGGCCAAATTCATTCGAGTCTTCAAGATTAGGTGATGATGATGATTGTCATAATATTCGGTTAAACACCATCCACCAATTTGTCCAGAAACCTCCAACACCAGTACTAAGTGACTATCATTCACTTCATGCTTCATGATTAATATGACACAGGTGGTTCTACAGCCAGTTACGAAAAGGTGCCTCATCAAGCTTTTCGGTATATGGTAAAATAATGGAATATGTAAGGTGTGGTGGCATGGAGGAATGACTCCTCTCATTTTGACAAACGGTCATTTAGAAGCACCAAGGTGTTTATATGGAGCCTAACGGGGATATAGCGTTACTTTGCATGGGTATGTGCTGTCTTGCACTCCTAGCTACTGAAGGAAAGCAAACAGACTGCTCTCCCACTGACCCAGCTTATGTTGACCACTTTGCGTCTTTTGAAGAGCAATCCAGTACGTCACACCTGGTCGGCAGCCAGCAGGGCATCAAGCACGTCGTGTCAACAACCACTTGCTTAGTTCATTCTTCCTACGCATTAGCATAAACTGCTCGTCCTAGCCGATGCTCTCAAGTGTTCCTACAAACAGCACGCTCGCGCGCCGTTTCAGTATCATCCGTTCTGTTCTGCCGGATCCGGCCAGAGGCCAGCCGTCCCTGAGCCACCTGCCACGGCTTACCCTGTGCTGCAGAGCACGGCTGTCGATGTGGTGCTGGACAGCTTCCGCCAGGCCGGCGTCGCTCGCGTCGTCAACCAGCAGCACCTGGCGCAGCAGCGGCGCCGGCGAACGCTGCAGCACCGCCTGCAGCGTGCGTAGCAGCACCGTCTCGTCCTCGTTGTAGAAGCAGATGACGACGCTGACGTCCGGAAGGCTGGCCGGGTAAGTTTGGTTTCGGCACCTGCGGGGGCGGAGGGGTGATAACGGTCAGTGTGTCACTAGGGCTCTACGACGCACTCAGCTGCTGAGGCTTTATGGCGTCGCCTGCCTCTCACCCTGGCAGGAAGGGTGGACACCGCGGGGAATCGAACCCCGTACCTCTGGTTTCCTAGACGCGTAGCGGTCAACGCAGACGCCCTAACCACTTCACTACCGGCACCCACACGTGACACGAGGGGGGGGGGGGGGGGGGGGGCACTGGCACCGGAGCTCCCATATCTGATGCATGGTTAGCGGGGCATGGTCGGCAGTGTCTTTGTTGGCTACAACATGACTTCAGCGCTGATATACTGGGGGATAATTATGAAGGCTAAGATCATTAGGAAGAAGGCAGACCTATTTCGGCGTCAGACACCACCTGACTGATGTGAATTGATCTTTTTGTACAAAGCACTCGCACCTCTCACAGATTCCTTCAACGTCTCCTACCCAAAAAGGGGAGCCCCGCCAAGAAGACGGCCGCGCGCGGGAGCACGTACCCGGCATGCCTGGTGTCCGGGATCGAACGGCGCAAGCCAATCCGGTCGCTGACCAGCGTATTGAAGGCGTGTCGCTCGTATCCCTCGCGCTTCCGTCGGCCGTCGGCCTCCGAGCTGACCCGGCCCAGCCGCGCCGGGTCGGGGCCGGCGTCGGGCGGCGGGGAGGGCCAGGCGGCGTGGGGCGCCGTCACCGGCCCTGCCGCCCCTCCTCCTCCGCCGCCGCTCTCCAGGCCCAGGTACATGTAGAGCAGGAGCAGCCAGCAGGCGGAGACGGCACACATGGCGAGCATGATCCAGCGCGGGTGCAGAGAGAGCCGCATGGTGCCCAGGTGTCGCACCGCTGCCCGGCCACGGCGGGGAGGAGAGGGGAGGGGGGAGATCAGATGTGGCTCCTCTCACATGCTGTTATCAGAGCCAAACAAAACATAAACATTGCAAATATTCTGTGCATGCTAAAAACTGAACAGCGTTCGATAATGCATTGCGAGTTCCCAAGGGCCGAATTCTACTGCCATTGAAGACGTCTCGCTTTTGCATTCATCTGATGCGCCAATGCAAAATGTGTGGCATAAGTCAGGCTTGCTAACATTTCTCTCACAACATATACAAGGATTTGTGATGTGTAAGTGATGTTCATATTCAGACACAACCAGACTTTGATGACCAATTATTAGTTGACACTTCCTGATGGAACATACAAAACACCTTCTCTAGGCGAGGGGTTTCTTACATGATGTGGGTTTTATGGCGAGTGGATTCCGAACATGTCACACTCACCATGGCCACTCTGCCTGTGCTGGTGCAATATTGGATCCCGTCCATTGGTGTGGGGAACCCTATGTGTCAGCATCATGCCCATCTCCCACTGCTACGAAAACATACTTCAGCCGAGCACCTGAACAGAACAGAAAGGTGTTTGTCAGCAGAGGTTATTCCTTTGAACACAAATATCTGGCACCAAACTACAGACAGCTCATAAAACACACATGTGACACTTTGTTGTCATCACCAGCGCAGTAACAGCATGAACATACCTCACAACAGTAATCTTCTCTTGTTTTCTTCCATACAGGCAATGTGCAAAATGGGAAATGACTGGCATCAGTTGGTCAACCACTCCATCCTGGTTCTGTGTGAAAATTGGAGGTTTACAGACCAGCCACCAGCCTGGAGTTTCATCACTCAAAAATACAATAATTGTCCATGAACATGATTTAGATGTTGGCTGTGTCATAACAGTCCACACTTGGTAGCACTATCATCATGGCAGTGTTATTTAGATCACATACTGAATGTCAGTAGTGATGTATCAATATTTGCATGGCATGGCTTCACATCACTGAGCTACAGCTGAGATACATGCCTGCCTCAGAGCCAATACTGAGGTGGCTCATTTGTGCTGAGGAGAAGTTGCAACACCACAAACAATGGGGTGGCCAAATTGCTTTGAGAACCTTTCATGGCCTAAATGGAACATATCACCTTATTAACACATGTCCAGGTGGCTGGTTGGACACCCTTCAATCAGGTGGGGGTGGGGGTCAATTTGACCTCCTTAGATCTCACAAACTAAGAGGGCTAGACACACCAAATTCACAGGGTGTATTGGCCTGTATAAGAACTCACTTGACTCAAAGTTTGAGCCTCCTAGGTTAGACCTTTGGGTCAAACAAGGTCAAGAACCTAGATACCTGTTCTACCAAAAAAATCCCATGCTTAATCAAGGTCAGCAACCTTGTTTGGCCTTTTGAAGGTCATGATGACCAAAATCATACAAGACTGCTTTGAGTTTTGCATTTGAATATGCAAAAAAGATTAAGCTAGGCAGTGCGTTCCTAAAAACAAAATGTTGACCTCTGTCATTTTAGGTCAGTGACATATTCTGATCTATAAGAAGTCAATGGAAGATATCTTATGCAGTTCATGTTATTCACAGCCTAACTTTCACCTGCCATAGGTCAGCAACCTTACAGGGTACATTCAATTTTTGATAAATGATCCAAGTGCAACTTTAGGCATGCTTTTGACTGAGAATATACAATACAAATATGTCCAAGTGTGTAATAGTTAATGTGTGTAATAATGTAATAGTAGTAAACACCAATTTGGGGTGATGTTTGTGTTGAAAAGGAGTGTCCATTTTTTGAAATTGGCAAAATACAGTAAACTACAACTACTGTAACTGAAACTTAGCACCTAAAATTTGCAGTGAATGTGCAGTACATGGCCAATGGAAGAATAACTATATGAAGCATCTGTCAGCCATCATCTAATCACTTGGCACAGCTTTCAGATGGCAGAGAGGATACCAAAGGAGGATGAACAAGTACCATGTACCTGCTTAGACAATATAATCCTTGAAAAAATATGAGTCACACACAGATTCTCCAACCTTTTTGACACCCAACACTTGGACCATTTTCAAGTCTTCCCACTGTGCCCACACCACCTGCTTCAAGAGTCACAAGTCCTCTCACACTGTAATGCAAGTAATTTTTCCTGATATCTCTTTTATACCATGTGCTCCTCATCTCATATGAAGCAAAACACAGACACACCTCAACTGTGCACACAAAATACACCTTCCTGGCTAAGGTTGGGTTGGAGAATATGAGAATGGAAGGTCAGAAATAACCTGGATGATGTTTTAGCTCTTCCCTTCAGCCTAATATTCACTCAAATTGTTCCTCAGGTTGCACTTGTGGTTCTCACAATGTTGGTCTACCCAGTTCTTGAAAATGTTCATGCAAGGGGAAGTCACTGCTTGAGGCAGGATTCCATTCTCCAACTAAAGGAGAAAATAGCAGAAGAAGCAGCAGATAGCACTGGAAAATAATGCAGTGGATGGACTTCTGTCACAAATGAGTGTTTAATCTGGGCTGTCTTAGCTTCAGCAGGTGACCTGACAGCCTCTGATCAACCATGATTACATCTTTTCTCAGTCTCCTGTAGTACAAGCTTGGAAGTTCCAGGGTCCAAAGATATCTTGATAACTGAGGTATGGCAGGGGAAAAGCAGTCTGTGGCTTTTCCTTGCACTATCTATGGCATCTTGCTCCATCCTTAGCACTGGCACCCACACAGAATTTGCATACTCAAGGTGTGGCCTGACCATAATGTTAAAGAACAGTGGCAGCATTGTGGCATCCAACATGAGACAGACCTGCCTGCTGAGTCAGAGCACTTTGTTTGTGCATGCCACCACTGCAGATGCTTGCTCATGGAAATTGTGGAAACTGAGTGGATTGCAATGAGAACCACAAGACCCTTTCCCCTGCTCATTGAGGTTATCTCATCATACCCATTTTGTAGTTGAACCCCTGATTGGTGCTCTCCACATCATCAGCTTGCATCACTTTTTGTTCACAGGGACCACACATTTCTTGGCTTTCCTTTTTGAAACTGCAATGCCAGCCTGAAAAATTTGTGTGTTGGGTGCAAAACACTTCCCTGTAAACCTTTGAAATTGGAAAACCCCTTAAAAGCCATCTAAAATGCCCAGGACAGGGAACACTCATGAAAATCACAGCCATGGTATCAACAGTGCCCAGATGGTCGACACTCTTGAGCCATCCTTAAAAAAATCCAAGGAGCTGCAATGCACAGGATCGTTGAGGCCGGGGCCCAACACGGTCATCTGGTAGCATATCTCTAGAGGCAAGGTAGTTCAGGCTATAAATTTCACAGAAAGCAGTCGCCGTCATTTGTTACACTGCACCCGACAAGCACGGACAGGGAACAGAATTTATGCCACGTCGGGACACCGGCTTACATTAAAACACAAGGCCAGCGCTCCCTGTAACTGCGGAAATGCTAACCATAACTGTGTATTATGTAAAGTATCAAATCTACATGTCAACGTGATCACACCCTCACCGTGCAACACCTCGAGCCCCAACTCACACGACCCAAAGCAGCATATGGGATTTAGAAAGGCTCAATGCATGCAACTCCATCAGCGGTTTCGGTTCATTCTGCGCCATAACCTTGTGGCGTCATGACTGTCCCATATAATATGCATTTAAATTTGGAAAGGATATTTAACCTATTTTCAGACAAAAGGTAACTTAATTTTTTTGCTCCTGGCAAACATTATTTTTATCGACATTTTCTGTTACTAATATTTTTTTCCAAATATTTTATAATACTTCTAGAGAAGGCATGCTGAGCACATGCGCCATGGCTGTCGCATTGAGTGCATGTACTGTGAAACCGTATGGGCCCTGCGTGATAGGTGGGGGTGCCGCCGGGTGAGCTGGACTGGTATATCTTCTGTACAGGTACATGATTTGGTGGCGTAAGTGCATGCGATATTTTGCTTTTTATCAACTTGTCAAGTTTACTTTATTTAGCTGATAAACCAGGTATACCGGTTGAATTGCCTTGCTCCACTTAACGCGACGGTAAACGCCTGTCTTAAGCCCTGCATCGCCCATCTGGTTTTGGATGGAGAACATATATGTTCGGTTGGAAAGGAGTGTGCGTTGCCGAAAGTTTTGGGTGTTTTTTTATTAACACTCAGAAAGACTCGCTGCAATTTATCCTTTCCATGACCATCTGTACTTGCAAGGTGACAAGGGGCACGACCCAGTTTACAAAAGATTGTGATGAGAGACTTGCTTGTCAGCATGCCAAATAGCTCATGTGTATGCTCCATCTTGTGTCCTCATGATAGGCCAGTGGTACAAGCGGACAATGGTACCTTACGTCACAAAAGCACACTGTACATAAATTGTCCTCTGAGGAAGGATGTTTTCTACATAGTCATAAAATGGTATAATCTTACCTTCAAAATTGAGTTAGTTATGATATTGAGCACATGAGTTCCCTAGTGATGTGACAGTTCTGGCCTGCAGATGCCATGGCCCTAACATAGTGAAATTACTGTGCATCAAGAAGCATAAGAAATAAACATGGTCAGCATAATAATTAGATAAGATATATTTCTTTAAGCAATATTGGTTAGCAATATTGCTCATTAACACTCACCCAGGCGGCCTGGTAGATACCCTCTGCTTTGGTGGGAAGGAGGGTCAATTTGACCCCCTGAGATCTCAGGAACTCGGAAAGCTAGATACACCAAATTTGCAGGGTGTCTTGACCTGTATGTAAACTTAGGTTGAAGTTTCAGGCTCCTAGATTGTGACCTTCAGGTCAAAAAGGTCAAACAATGTCAAGTTCCATGTTGGCTTCCACAGTGCCCCCAGAACCTAGATAACCATTTCGTAACAAAAGGTCACATGCTCATTCAAGGTCAGTGACCTTGTTTGACCTTTTGAAGGTCAAGGTGACCAAAATCATGCAAGGTTGCTTTGAGTTTTGCATTTGACTAAGCAACAAAGACTCTCTAGGCAGTATGTTCCTAAAACAAAATGTTGACCTGGTTCATTTTAGGTCAACAATCCATTCTGGCCTCTAAGAAGGCCATAGAAGATGTATAATGCGGTTCCTGCTATCAATGCATTCAAAAGGAGCACCAGAAACCATCACATACAGGAAGCCCTATAGTAACAAAACAGGTTGGTTTGACCTTGGTGTGACCTTTATACCTGACTTGAGGTCAATGTAATTTGCTCATATTACTGTTGTGTTGCCTAAGAAAGCATCTCAGGGATGTATGGCTTTGTCTAACACTGTTGTTGGATCAGATTGAAGGATTCACTAGAAATTGTCTTTGCTGAAACCATGGCCTGACTTTGACCTGCCCTAGGTCAGTGACCTTACAGGGTACATCTAAGTTTTTATGCTGAATGATCTGCTATTCATTTGTCTACAGCTATGCAAATTTTGATGTGGCTACAGCCGCACCATTCAGAAATCAATCTGGAAAAACCTTCGGGGGGTGGGGTCAATTTGACCCCCACCCGAGTGTGTGTTAAGGGCAAGATAAAGGTGCACAAAGTGAGCTTAAAACTGAAATTTGTGACCAAAGGCCTAAATGACTGGTAACTTGTTTAAAAAATAGCCTTTCCAAAAGTAGGAGGAAGGACTAGAATTTAACCTAATCTAATCTAGATAAATCTAATCACTGAAATTGTGCTGAAATTTTTGCCAGGCTATTGCTGCTATTCCTAACATGATGAGCATTAGGTGTGATTTTTTGTAGTCTTGAGGTCCAGCAATGTGGGAAGTCTGCCAAAAAATCATCCATTGCCCTATACATCTATTCCAAGGGTGTGCTGCACTCTGCACACCTGTGTCAAACCTGATGAGACCATGTGGTGCATAATTTGAAAAATGTAAGTTGTATTTTATTGGAATAATGAAATAGACAAATGTGGGATAAATTACCATAGCAAACAGACTATTTCAGCATGCTGGCACTCAAAGTGGGCCAATGCTGACGTCAAATTATAAGTTGTTATGGCGCAATAACAGAGCATAGGAATAATGAAGATGTGCAATATACTGCAACTATATGCATTTAGTTCAGGGTGACTGGGGTTGGCCCTGTCTCACTAAATGCTGTGTGATTTGTGTAGATTTCATCAGTCACATTACATGAAATTCCTGTTGCACCAGTTGAAAACACAAGATGCTGTGCTGGTTAGTGTAAAGGTTAAATTTCTATGATCATAATTTCTCCTCTCACATGTTGAAACTTTCCACAGAGGGCTGGAAAGCTGAGCTGAACTGCGGCCGCGACCATGGCGGACTATGACCTTTCCACGAAGATCGCGACCTACTTGGACCGGCACATGGTGTTCCCGCTGCTCGAGTTCCTCTCGCAGCTGGGCATCTACAACGAGATCGACCTCAACAAGTTCCGTCTTGACATGCTGAAAGGCTCCAAGATGGTGGACTACAATACAGAGGTGTTGCAGAAGGTGTACCCGGAGCGCGAGATCCCGCAGGAGATCGTCGACTGCCGCCGGGAGGTCATGGCTGAGTGGGAGCAGATCAACAATGAGATGAAGCCCATCTTTGAGATATTCAGGCTGGATGAGGTGAAGAAGCAAATCCAGGTGTCGCGCGATTCAAAGCAGCTGGTCGACTTCCTGGTGGACCGGTTCAATTTCGAGCTGGAAATGATGGACACGCTCTACAAGTTCGCCAAGTTCAACTATGAGGTGGGCAGCTACGGCCGCGCCGCCGAGTACCTGTACCTGCATAAGGTGCTGGTGCCGATGAGCGACAAGAACTACCTGAGCAGCCTGTGGGGCAAACTGTCCTCAGAGATCCTGATGCAGAACTGGGATACGGCCGTCGAGGACATGAACCGGCTCAAGGAGTACATCGACAATCAGGGCTTCAATAACGACGCGCAGGCGCTGACGCAGCGGTGCTGGCTCATTCACTGGAGCCTCTTCATCTTCTTCAACACGCCCAAGGGCTACGAGCTGCTCATCGACATGTTCCTGTACCAGGCCAACTACCTGAACACCATCCAGACCATGTGCCCGCACATTCTGCGCTATCTGACCACGGCCGTGGTCATCAGCAGACAGAACCGGCCGAACGCGCTCAAAGACTTGGTCAAGGTCATCCAGCAGGAGTCGTACTCTTACAAGGACCCCATCACCGAGTTCATCGAGTGTCTGTACGTCAACTTCGACTTCGACGGCGCCCAGCACAAGCTTAAGGCATGCGAGTCGGTGTTGTCCAACGACTTCTTCACCGTGGCCTGCCCGGCTGAGTTCATCGAGAACGCACGCCTCATGACATTCGAGACGTTCTGCCGCATCCACCAGGTGATCAGCATCGACATGCTGGCGCAGAAGCTAAACATGGAGTCTAGCGAGGCCGAGCGCTGGATCGTCAACCTCATCCGCCAAGCGCATCTGGACGCCAAGATCGACTCGGCACAGGGCCACGTCATCATGGGACAACAGGCCGTGTCGCCGTACCAGCAGCTGATCGAGAAGACAAAGCACATCAGCTTCCGCGCGCAGGCGCTCACCGACACCATCCGAAAGAAGCTGAACGCCAAAAACCAGGACCATGGAGGGTGGGCAGGCGAAATGTGAACGTGGGGAACTAGGTCACTTTCTCGGACGGTGAATACATTTACCAGGTGTTTGGAGCGGCGTGCTCGCTTGATCTCGGTGAAGGCCGACCCGACACGGCCGGCTAAAACTGACCTCTCCGGGCGACCGGCGTGCGGGTTACTGAGCAACAGCAGGCCTTGGGGCCCCCGAGGTCAGTTGTGGGTCATGGTTAACAAAGATGGCACGTTCTAAAAATAGCGTCCCCGATACAGTGCATCAGTGTTGTAATGTTGTGGGCGGCCACCGCGGTGATGAGTCGTTTCAAACGGCGGTAAAAACCGCCAGCAAAAGCGGATCGCCCGCTCCACAAGGCGGCGCATGTTTACAGTCAGCAGAGGGCAACTTACAGTATCACTGTTGTATTGTGCATCCCTTTCGACCGGGTAGCACCTCAATGGATAGGTTTCAGCCGCAACTGCTGCACACTGGTTCTCATCTGACGTTCACTGAAAGCCCCGTGCCACGGCGGGCGCAACAACACTATCCAGCAACGGTTACACGATCATGACCTTGTGGTTTCATGGATCACGGCGTCCGCGCGGCCAACAGTCACTCGCGGGCACCGTCGCTGCGCATACCACTCCTCCGGTTACCATCCACTATGGGCGAGGTAGACATACCTGCAATGTTATACCCCAATCGAGCGCAGCTCCGGCAGGTCCTTGGCGTACAACGCGCGCATACACAGTCAAGCTCTAACAGACGCGCATGCGGGATGTCGGCAGTACCATTGGCAGACGGTTTGGCATAAAGTCGCCCGGTTCCGTAGCACAGCCTGAGGCTGGCCGCCATGATCTGCCGGCAGCGCCATGGAAGCGTACACACGACCTCAGCGGCTGCACCCGCGGCCAGCTCGGGCCCGCGACGGCTGACACGCCATCGAAAGACGGGCCGACTGCAGCCGGCGATCACAGGTGATCTGCCGCGAGGTACACTGCGCCACCAGCCGGCACTTTCGGCGAAGGATGGTGATCGCGCCCGGTGGGTCAGCCGACGCCGCACCGTCTCGCGGGTGGGCACAAGTTCCGTCCCAGCACGCATCTACTGCGACGCGGTGCGGGGTCGAGCGAGGTCAGAGGCCGTCCTCACGCCGCTGCGCCGCCTCCAGCGCCTCGCGTATGCTGGAAGATGCTCCGAACAGCTGGCTAAAGTGACGTACGTACGGATCGCAGTGCTCACCTGCAGGGGAGGGATGGTAATGATCGAACAGGTCGCCAGGCTAGTGATCACTACCTGCACCTTCACTCACATGGCCCATACAGCAGCAGGGAAATACTTCGGATTCTCAACGCACGTGCCCAAAAATACAGTTAAAACACTACGAATGAGTAACGATGGGCACACCGGCGGGCGAACTACCACCGGTGATGGTAGAAAACGCGACAACACGATGCCGGCCTGTTGACGGCACCTCAATACCAACAATGCACATCCCGTCCTCCCGTGATTAGACGCTCACGAGCCAGTCACATGGCGAAAGACGAACGCTTCAGGTGAGACCAGTGGTCTCGTGACGCGTGCAGCCCGCAGTGCGTACCTGAAAGGAAATCCACCTTCCCTCTGCTTTGGTAGTTTCTTTCCTCAAAGAATTTGAACGTTGTGTAGAAGACGTCACTGTCGCCCGTATTCTTTGCGACGTCCAAGAACTTCCGGGCCGACAAGCTTTCGATCATGTCGTTCTGTCTCGCGAACCTGCGCGAAAACAGGATGTAGCTTCGCGAACAGGTTCCATCCGGTTTTCAGCTCTCGGTATCACTATTCCTGGCACCAGAACATACACCTCGAATGAGGTTACAGCCAGACAGGTTCACTGAAACCGGCTTACCAGGAAACACGACGACAGATCAAGACAGTCATGCCACTGCTTCGAGCTGTTACACTCTGTTGGGTAATCTACAATACCACACTAGTTAGGGCATTTTTGGTCATTGGAGCATGGTCTGCTATATAAAATTCATGCGTTCAGTGGCGACGTGCACAGCGTGGACACAAGCAGCCTATTTCCCCGTAACTTGTGCGAGAGCGTACGCAAAGCAGCCGAGTCATGTAGAGGGACGCATCAGTTAACCCATGTCCACACCTCTCCCATTGCATGACGGCCCAACCCGGTTATGAACAACATGCACACAAACGAACCGAACGCAAACACTAGTGAAAAAACAAAAGTACAGTCACCAAAACTCACCCGCCAGTTGCGGAAGTAAACTGAACAAGGGATCGCATCAGCGCGATGGAGATCATGTATTGTGAAAATCGCGAGGAAAATCGTTTCCCCTCTAAAATGATTTAACTTTCCTTGCTTTCAAATACACTTCCTCCTCAAATAAGGCCGCTCGTAACCCCCAATCCCGGATCCCCCTCTTACTTGAGTGCGCAGGCGACGCAATTCCGTGACAGGAGGACCTCCAAGATCTCCTCGTGAGCGTTCCCGAGCCGGCACAGCATATCCAGCGCCATCTGCTCCGACGGTGGGTACACACTCTGGCGAAAGGGCACACCACCATCACGTCAGCTATGCGATCGGTACACAGTCTGACATCAGCGCGCACCACGCTGGCCCGGCGACGGGCGCAGGCTAACAGGCGCCGCGCCACCGCGTCATCCGAAGGGCTGGTGCACCGCGCCAGCAGACCCGCGTGTACGGAAAGTCCACACACACTGAGCAAAGACAATTTCGAGGTTAGCATCGTCCTATCACATGAGCGTCGCATTTAGATAAGTGACGACTTGACAATGTAGCAACTCGCACATACCCAGAGCCCACGCGGCGCCCGCCGTGGTCGATTACCATACATCCATCTACCGCGCCGTGGCCTCCAACATCCTGCACCACTAGAAACCCCCAGTTACTAGCCTGCAGCGACAGCAACAAGCAGGCCAGCGGCTTCGAGTCATCCACCACGTGGTACTGCAGCAGCTGCTGCAGCTGGTAGAAGCAGCCACGCAGCACCAGCGTGTTGATCAGCATCTCGTACAGGAAGTGCTCCACCGCCAGGCCGTGCTGGTTCAGTGACCTGCAGCAGCGCGGGGACACGGGCTATGGCTCAGCCGAGATCACAAGCCAGTCGAGGGGGAAGGGGACTCAGTGACGACTGCCGCTTTTGGCCCGGATGCTGCAGTCCTGACTCAGTGGAGCCCAATCTCGGTTCGGTCTCACCAAACCCTGGTCCAGGAGGCCATAGCCCGAATCAAAGGTCAAATCCACACGTAGGGCTAACAGGAGACCTGACCGCGACACCAAAAAACAAATTCGGACACGGAGAGATTCAACGGAGGATGATCTAACTCTTCACCTTACAGGAACGGGGCGCATCGCAGAACTTTCCATCCCACAGCAGCGCAAATAAGTGAGACATGCCGCGTCTGTGACGCGCCGTAGTGACTTAACTTCGACTACAGGGGACCTGAGTCTGGACTCAGACTCGACTGGGGTCCTGACCACCCCGGGAGCGGCCGTCGCAGCAGGCCGCGACTACAGGGGACCTGAGTCTGGACTCAGACTCGGCTGGGGTCCCGACCACCCCGGGAGCGGCCGTCGCAGCAGGCCGCGACTACAGGGGACCTGAGTCTGGACTCAGACTCGGCTGGGGTCCCGACCACCCCGGGAGCGGCCGTCGCAGCAGGCCGCGACGCCGTCAGCGAGTAGGCTGGACAGATACAAGGCTGGCTGTGTACTCGGCTGCCGCGCGCGACTGCAGCTGGCAACACAAAAATCCCGCCGACCGCGCAGCTGAGGTCACGAGCTCAACGCCATCACAGTCGTGAAATGAGAAGCACGAGCATATAAGGTATGGGTGGCGCTTGAAGATCGTCGTGGACTAAAACCGACTGCTTGGAAGCAATTCTAATTTTTTGTGTGCTTTATTTCATACTCTTTTTTGCATACCACATTGTTGGTAATGTGGCCTCATGCATGGACACCACATGTCTCATACCACGCTTGGGTGTGTTTTTATTCTGCCCTCGCATGCCTCATACCACGCTTTCCTCATATCGCTCAGACTATGCTGACCTGACACACCCACCTGACACCCGGCTGACACAAACGAGCTGATAGCCAATGACTCTCCTCACCTGACAGACTCGCCGGCTCCCGCACCTAACACACTCGATGGTACGACCAGTCTGCCACCTGCTGACACAACTAACCTGATACTCCGCCGACCGAAGTAAGCTGACAGCCCATAGACTCCACTGACCTGACGCACTCGACCAGCACGCCGGTGACCCAGCGCTGGTCGGCGCGGCCTAGCAGGTCGCGGTCGACCAGCGCCGAGAGCGCCTCGCCGTGCAGGTCGGCCTGGCTGATGACGAACGGCACCGGCCGGGTAGCCGGCAGCGTGGGCGACGTGCCTATCGCCGACACCGGTGTCCCCATCTGTCGGCCGCGACGGGCACTACGTCAGCCCGCGGGTATCGCCAGCCAGCGCCGCAAATGAGGCGTTATGACGACGCCATTTGGAGACGCACGGTGGCGACGGAAGATGACGATATCGGTTCGGAGCTGCGTGACATTGGCGAGACTGTTCAGGGCCACCGCAATACTCTACCGGACAAACGCCACTGCCTAATATCAACGGCGGTAAAGACAGCCGTACTTCCCAGCACACTTCAGGACATTACCAATATTTGCTTGCTGTCATCCCTGCAACACAACTTGGGAAGGGAGAGGTTATCAATGTGACATGCATATAGCATACTGACATTCCAACATCCCGCTCACCCTTCAGTCCGTTACACTAGAGCACAGGGGCCGTGGTGTGGCCGAAACGCCAGCCTGAGATCCCCACGTGCGGGCCGGAGGTCCCACCAGCTTGGCCGTTACGCCTGTCCCAGCCTTTGCGATAACTGGTGAAACATTACCACGCTGCTTACCTCTGATCTAAGCAACGACTCCCTGCTCCGGCCGCTGACCCAGTGACCCAGCTGCTCACCTCCCGGCGTGGCCGTTCGCCTCAGGACCCGGCTACCAGCACCGTGACCCAGCTGCTCACCTCCTGGCGTGGCCGCTCGCCTCAGGACCCGGCTACCAGTACCGTGACCCAGCTGCCCACCTCCTGGCGCGGTCGGACGCCACAGAACCCGGCTACCAGTACCGTGACCCGACCGCCGACCACCCGGATGCGCACGCCCTGACCCAGCCGCTGACATCTGACATGCCGACCCGTGACCCGCCCACCTGACCTGGCTGCTGAGAGTGCTCCAGCTGACGTGTGACATGCCGACCCGTGACCCGCCCACCTGACCTGGCTGCTGACAGTGTGTCCCAGCTGACGTGTGACATGCCGACCCGTGACCCGCCCACCTGACATGGCTGCTGACAGTGTGTCCCAGCTGACGTGTGACATGCCGACCCGTGACCCGCCCACCTGACATGGCTGCTGAGTGTGCTCCAGCTGACGTGTGACATGCCGACCCGTGACCCGCCCGCCTGACCTGGCTGCTGACAGTGTGTTCCAGCTGACGCTGCGTCTGCGCGTTGACCAGGTCCAGCGCGTCGCCGACGGCGCCCAGCCGACCAGGCTGGCGCAGCAGCTGGCGCAGCAGGCCCAGCAGCACCGGCTTGCCGGCGCGCCGCGCCAGCAGCAGCCGCGTGGCCGCCACCGGGTCGGCCAGCACGCGCGGCACCGCCTCCACGGCCACGGCCAGCGTCCAGAAGCAGCCCAGCTTGGCGTCGATGATGATGTTCGGCTGGAAGACCACCCAGGAGGGCGCGTCTGGCGGGCGCCGGTTAAGGAGGTCGCCGGTGTCACGGGGTGGCCTGGTTGACGGAGCCGCTGCCGCCGACGGTATTCCAACGAGCGGGTTCGAGAGCGGATCAGGCAAGGCGGGTCGTTGACAGCAAGGGATACTGTTAAAGCGCGCTCACTAATAAATGAATGGTAGTGTGTTTCTGGCAGAGCGTGCACGTAGTACATGTTCGGCGGGGCCAATAAAGCGCAGCCAGATAAACTCCGCTGCAACACCAATAATGGGTGCAACTATGAGAAGACGGTGACGAAGGTGTCCAAAATTTTCCCAAAATAGGATACTGTCTCACAAATTTTGGTCATAAAATGTGCGTTTCTTTTACCTTTCCCACCCACAAACATCAATTTCAGATCAGGTAGTTCCCCCGCTTCCCCCCCCCCCCTCCACCCAACGTGGGAGTCAAAAGTGTTAGCCACTTGGCAATTACGCCCTTATGGGTGGGTCCATCGCGCACGACGAACCCACGGCGCCGGACGGGTCCATCGCGTCAGACAAGCCGACGGCGCTGGGCGGGTCCATCGCGTCAGACAAGCCGACGGCGCTGGGCGGGTCCATCGCGCCTGAGGCGTCCATTACGCCGGGCCCCTCGGCGCCGCCGCGACAGTGAGGATACAGAGCTCGCAGGTGATGAGCGTGGGCTCGGAGTCGAGGGCGGCGGCCGCTGTCGGCAGGCGCAGCTGGAACGGCCGGATGGCGGCAGGGGGCGCCACTGCCCGCTGGAAGGTCACGCAGCCGTCCGACTCGCCCGACAGCGTGATGTCGAACACCTGCGACGTCTGCCGATGGACGAACCGGTGGCGTTACGCGCATGCGCGGCCGACAGTGGGACAAGGCGGGTGACTTAACACATGCAATGGTTGACATCGGGGTATGACATGGTGACGTCAAAACGTGACGAAAACTGGCGTCTGCCAATCAAAAACGGCGGTTGGCGTCCGCATAGCCAGTGACGTCACTCATGCCAGAGAGACAGTGAGGTGATTCAAAGAAGTCCAAGATATCTTCGCGTTGCTTGCTAACCACACATGACTTAAATGCTTCGGCATTTTTCACACGAATCATTGCAAATGAATATGTCCTAGGCAGAAATATAGCCACAAGCGTGGCAACATTGGCACCAGCCTTCAGTCCTCTATATGTTCGGCAGCGCGTCCCCGACCTTTGATTCCTGGTGATGGACGATGATGAGGTTGTCGATGACTGAGATGGCGAAGCTGCCGCTGGTATTGAGCAACAGGGTGCTGTTCTTGACCATTGCTCCGTCCCTAGCGAAAGGCGGCGACGTCAAAGATCCACCACAGAGTGCATGCACAAACACATGACAAGCCCTCCTTTACTGGGATTTCATAGGACCAATCACCCTTACACGAAAGTAAATCCAAATCGCATGGTCAAAAGCCGCCAGCTTAATTTACTTTTGAGATTCCTTGTTTGAAAGCCGACAGCAGATATACCCTCGCCGAGTCGACGCCAAGAGTGCTGCTGGCTATACCAGGGCACCGCCGTCACCAGCTGAGCCGCTGCGGGGAATCTAAGGCCATCGGCACCCGGCACTGGGCAAGTCATTACAAGATCAGTTGCAGAGATGGTCTGCTCAGACGGATGTGTCCGAACGTACGGCTATGGGTGGGAGCGGTTAATGCAATGGTTTTTACGCAAGGTCAAGACGTCCCTAGAGAAGATTCCCAGTTGTGCGTCACTGGGGCTTTGCGACGCACTCAGCTGCTGAGGCTATATGGTATCCCCTCCCTCTGACCCTGCCAAGAACGATGGGCACCGCAGAGAGTCGAATCGCGTACCTCTGACTTCCCAGGTGGCAGCTTAATCACCACACTATCGCCCCCCCCCCCCCTTGCCATTTGCAAAGGCCCGTCAGCTTGAAATTACCGTTAATCCCCTGTTGTACCACTAACCTGTTAGCCTGGTGCAGCCGGATCTCAGCACCGTGGCCGGGGCTGGAGCTGGAGCTGGGCGAGCCGGCGGCGGCGCCGTGCTGCAGCGCCAGCACCGCCAGCTGACCGTGCAGCTCGCACAGCGTCACGTCGTGCGCGTGCAGCGCCAGCCGCGCCGGCCGCGGCACCTCCATCAGCTCCACTGTCCCATGCACCCGACAATTTTGTGTCATGATTTGTTGTTCATTGTTGAAAAATTTACACCCCAGGCAACACATTTATCTTAAATTTAAGCGATTTTGGACGGCGCAGCATAACGAATTGCAACCATTCTGCTCAGAAAACACGACTGTGAATCAATCATGCCAGATTCCGCGCTCAAAAACCAGATATCCCTGAACACATTCCAACCTGGGGAATGCAACAAAATGGGACCAGAACGGAGCAAAGGTCTCCTGGAGGGACTGGTTGAAAGAGCCGACACAAGACGAGCATAACTAAGTGTATCGGTGGTACATTTAGAATGCGTGCAATGCCAACACAATGAAAATATGAGCGCATGGTGCAGGGCCAACTTCGAGAAATTTCATTCGCCCCGATTACGACTGTCATTTACTGTACAATGAATATGCTCACAAGCGCTATACGTAACTACGTTATTCCGCAAGTGGGCACATGCACCGGCAAGACCGTAACCTGGGCCGCACTCTTCCGAGACAAGAGCGGGCATAGTCCATGCCAGCGGACAAAAGTTGCAGTTGGAGCGATCACCAGACTAAACAACGCAGCGACGCTGAGCACCCCACGGTCGTCCGGTCGCGTATTACCATCAAACTTGGTTAGCTTGGTCATGGTGCCTGGTTTGAAGGTGAACGGCTGCAGGGTGTTGCCCAGCGCGCCGCTGGATACCAGCAAGTAGGAGAAGCGGGCGGAGAAAACAGACCAGTTGATGGATAAGCTGCTGTTCTTCAGCGACTTCAGCTGCCGCCGCGCCGGAAGCACCTGGTGAATAGGGATAACACCAAGGTCATGAGTTGACTTGTGGAGGAGGTTGGTATGTAGTTGGTATGGGTCTGCCACCAACCCATGCCAACTAACACCAAACGTCGAACTCAACGTGGGCCGAAAAGGGAGCATGTGAACAAGATGGGTGGGTCCCGATCCAGAAACCGGGAGAGAAGTACTGAAGCGAAGTAACGCAGATGCTCCGTGACATAGGACGCCACTATGTCAGAACGCGGTCATCTGTCGGATACTCGCCATGGTCCTAGCACTGTGGCATTTCCTGATCCCAGCAGTGACATGAGCGTGCAGCCTGGGCATGTCCGAGCCGTAGTCGGCAAACGACAACCTCCTTAAAACTTTTGACCCGGTGAGACGATTTACACAATCCAACGAGCACTTTGATGGTCTTGAAAGCGTGATTTGTCCCATCAAAATCTTTTTGTCACCTATCATACGCATTATTGCAACTACTGGCTTCAGTTCGCACGCCCGGTAGACTGATAGGGAGACGCCAGTTCACCGCAGCGGAACAGATCCAAAAGCTCAGAAGCAGGTTCCATCAACGAGCTCAGTGACCACGCTTCAAACAAGACTCTGGGCAGGTCCATTTGCGAAAACATCATGTGTAGCGTGCCTCTCTTCCACCGCATCCGACCGCGTCTAGGAGTGAAAAAAGGTTTTCTACACCGCAAACGCTGTTTATGAGCATTCGTCCGCCGAATGACTTGATCAGCTGAGTACCCCGACGCCCGTGCTTCACACGTAACGCGTGCCGCGTGCCGCGTGCAGGGACGGCCGACGGATCGCCTTGACCCCGCCACAGCCCTGCTCGGTCACGAAGCTCCCCTACTCTGCCACGAAGCTCGGACCGCGAGGGCCGCTGCAGCGACAGGCGGCGGCCGCTCGTCGGACCCGGCTCGCTCCGTCTCCCGGCCGTTAGCTGGCGTCGGTCCAGAGTTGAGCCCGCCGGGCCGTGCGTGGCGTTTGGTGGTGGTCCAAGTCGAGGCTGGACGGGGTTAGTTGAGTCCGATGCCGTATGTACGGTCCGAATAAGCGTTTTTAGAAATTATCATTAGTCAGACACCATCCTGGGACGGTACAATCACAGCAAAGATAAAGTCCTTCGCGCTCCAGTGCGCCTCATTTCTCAGACGTTAATCCTGGAGGCTTAGACTGTAACGCAGCACATAGCTACTGTGTGGAGCAGTCCTGATCCACGCGCAAGCTTTCGCCAGCGGGAAGATCAGAGAGGTAGAGTGATTGATGGCCGGCCCATTCGTTCGACGTTGTGGTAGTGAATCTCCGCCGGAATGGAAGTGAGATCAAGAGGCTGCTGAGCGGTCGGTGCTGCTCGCAGGTCGGATAAAGAGGCTGCTGAGCGGCCGTTGCTGCTCGCAGGTCGGATAAAGGGGCTGCTGAGCGGTCGGTGCTGCTCGCAGGTCGGATAAAGAGGCTGCTGAGCGGCCGGTGCTGCTCACAGGTCGGATAAAGAGGCTGCTGAGCGGCCGGGCCCAGGTCGATAAAGAGGCTGCTGAGGCGGCAGTTGGCTGCTCCAGTCAGATAAAGGGGCTGCTGAGCGGTCGGGTGCTGCTCGCAGGTCGGATAAAGAGGCTGCTGAGCGGTCGGTGCTGCTCGCAGGTCGGATAAAGAGGCTGCTGAGCGGCCGGTGCTGCTCGCAGGTCGGATAAAGAGGCTGCTGAGCGGCCGGTGCTGCTCGCAGGTCGGATAAAGAGGCTGCTGAGCGGTCGGTGCTGCTCCCAGGTCGGATAAAGAGGCTGCTGAGCGGCCGTTGCCTGCTCGCAGGTCGGATAAAGGGGCTGCTGAGCGGTCGATGCTGCTCGCAGGTCGGATAAAGAGGGCTGCTGAGGCGGCCCGGTCGGCTGCTCGCAGGTCGGATAAGGGGCTGCTGAAGGGGCCCCCGGCCGTTGCTGCTCGCAGGTCCGGATAAAGAGGCCTGCTGAGCGCCGGTGCCTGCTCGCAGTCGGATAAAGAGGCTGCTGAGCGGCCGTTGCTGCTCGCAGGTCGGATAAAGAGGCTGCTGAGCGGCCGGTGCTGCTCGCAGGTCGGATAAAGAGGCTGCTGAGCGGCCGGTGCTGCTCGCAGGTCGGATAAAGAGGCTGCTGAGCGGCCGGTGCTGCTCGCAGGTCGGATAAAGAGGCTGCTGAGCGGCCGTTGCTGCTCGCAGGTCGGATAAAGAGGCTGCTGAGCGGCCGGTGCTGCTTGCAGGTCGGATAAGAGGCGCTGATGCGGCCAGGTGCTGCTCGCAGGTCGGATAAAGAGGCTGCTGAGCGGCCGGTGCTGCTCGCAGGTCGGATAAAGAGGCTGCTGAGCGGCCGGTGCTGCTCGCAGGTCGGATAAAGAGGCTGCTGAGCGGCCGGTGCTGCTCGCAGGTCGGATAAAGAGGCTGCTGAACGGTCGGTGCTGCTCACAGGTCGGATAAAGAGGCTGCTGAGCGGCCGGTGCTGCTCGCAGGTCGGATAAAGAGGCTGCTGAGCGGCCGGTGCTGCTTGCAGGTCGGATAAAGAGGCTGCTGAGCGGCCGGTGCTGCCCGCAGGTCGGACGAGTGGGTGGTAGTCTTCCGTCACTATTTGCCCAGGCAAATAGTGACGGCTCGGCAATATATGCGAAAAAAGCGCGGAATCCGTCGAAGCACGTAAGAAGATTTAGTCCTCACCTTTACATTGCATGAATTTCTGGAATGAGCGCCCCTGCAACTAGCGCTCGTCGCGTGAGCCCTGACACCACCATTCGAGCGTGGAGCTCCGGGTCAACGGTGTAATTTCACGGAGAAAGCCTTACGTACCGCAGCCCTCGCAGCAGTGCATTCCTAGGACAGTCAGCACGCGGGACGCGGCATGTTAACTTTTAACCGTAAAACTATGCTGTTGAACTGGACTTCCACGACCGAGTGGGAGTCAGAACTCACGCAACAAGCGGCTCAGCGTGGGCGCTGATCCCAGAAATCTAACCGGCCAAAAGGAAAGGGCAATTTTTTATTAAACGCCGCAACCAATTCATTGGTTTTATTTCGTGCATCTTCCTGAATTATGGCCAAATGGGGATAGAGGACTATCACCCACTCGTCCGACATGCGAACATCACCGACTGCACAGCAGCCTCTTTATCTCACTTCCATTTCGGTCAAGCTTTACTAGCACGCCATCCAGCGGATGGGTCAGCCATCAATCAATCCGTCTCTCTGACCTGTCCGCTGCCGAGAGCATGCGGCTGAATCAAAACTGTTCCGCACAGCAGCTTTGTGCTGCGCTACAGTTCAAGGTTGCAGGGTTATGCTTTGAAAGATAAGGCGCATGGGACGCGAAGGGAATTTATTTGTGCTGTGATTGTACCTAAGCAGCCGTGTCTAGACAGCAATGGAACGTTCATGCAACGTCCCCACGCAGACAGAGGTCCCAAAGACAGTCACAAGGCCTTTGAGAAAGAAATCCATTTGGGTAAGATGGTTCATACACCGAATGATACGTTACTAGTAGCTTACTCTGGCGTGTCAAGCGGCCTGCTCACTCGATTTCATTCATAATACCGCACTACACTCGATTTCATTCATAACATTTGGTGGCATCCGTGCTGAAACCAGCATCTGTTCTTATTTATCGCACATTTGACGCGTCTCCAATACGCAATGGCCATTCGATGACTGATTCAGGTTCTTAGCCCGTGCGCATCCTTTTTTTCTTGTTTCGGTCACAACTAAGTTTACCGTCACAATTACTGGCGTAAAACACCGGACTAAGGACGAGGCACCTTAACGACACTTCCCCTCTCCCCTCATCCCAGGTCAAGAAACCAACATTATTTGCCGATGGAATTTGTGCACAGATATGATGGGCCTAGTGCCCATAGTTCCAGCTTCACAAAAAAGGTATCCACTCTAGCGTTGTGTTTGCCTGACAGTAGCCTCTAGTTTACATTCTCTAGTTAACAATGATGGTGTTCAAATGGCATCAAATCAGTGTAAATCCTACGGAAGCGCAGGATAAAAATGTGGTCGAAACTTGATAAAAAGCACGTCTGTCGCGCGACAGTTAAAGCTTACAAAAAAAACATTACGCGGTTTTGCTAGGATCGCGGTGTTTTTGGGACTGATCGCCACAATCGCGTGTCATTCATTACTTAGCATTATCACATACGGCGGCCCGAAAAACTCGAGAGCGCAAACAGCGCATCCGCGCACAACAGATTGGGCCGAGCACGCCACGGCACGACCCGGCCGCGTTCGATCCCGTCGCGTGCCGGTGGGCGGACCCTGCCTGACGACCCTCGGCGGGTAGGCGGACCGAGCGCGACCGTCCAGCGGCACGGATGACAGACCCTCCCCGTCCGAACGACAACGTCAGCGGCGATCGCTGGTGGTCTCGTCGAGCGCCAGGCCGGTCAGACTCGCGTCGCTACAGCCTCTCTCCGCAGCGCTCGGCCGCGAGGCTTCGAAGCTGCTGCGACAAGAAGCCCGACCTGCGCAGAGTAGTTCCACGCCAGGCCGCCTCCGGCCCCTCGTGTAGTGCAGCCCGCGTCGTGGCTTGGCGGCCCAGCAGCACCATGTCCGTCAGCGACACGCGGAGCGGGAGCCGTGTCGCCGACAGCAGCGGCTCCGGCGGCTGGCAGCAGCGGCCGCCGAAGCCGCGCTGCCAGCCGCCCGGCCAGCTCAGCACCACCGGCGTGTCCATCGTGCTGAGCCGGCAGGCCTGCTGGCCACGCCGGCTGCTCTGGTCGCTGGTGCTGGCCGTGCTGCTCGTCGCGCTGGTCGTGCAGCTCAGCAACCCGCTGCGGCGGCTGGCGCGCGGCGGTGCGGTCGTCAAGTTCTCGCGCCAGTTCCTGGACCGGGTGCCGCTGCCGGCGCTCACCGTATGCCACAGCAACCGGCTGAAGAGGGAGGCGCTGGAGCACATGAGCCGACCGGGAACAGGGCTGCACGACTGGCTGGACGAGACAACGCCCGCGTTCTCGCTGCTGCGCTGGGACGAGTTCAACCTGGACGA